AGACCAGAATGCCGATCGCCCCCTTTTTGAGAAACACTACTGTTTTTTTACTCATTATTCGCAGTACCCTTATACATTCTCTATTTGTTATAATAATTAGAAAAGGCTGATTGGCTAATTTCTGATATTTTGGAACTTCTTCTATTATTCTTCATTTAAATAAGCGAAACTTTGTAATCATAATTATCAAAATTTAATACAATTATCTATTTATATGGCATTATTTCACCTACTTTCTTTCATTCCCCTTTTCAAAATAAAATCCTTTATTTACTACTCACTCCATTATAACTTTTCTTAATTCCTCTAATAAAAATAAATAAATATTTAGGAAATTCTACAATTTTAAAATCTAATTTAGCTATACAATTTACCAAAATTGAGAGTTCATCAACTTTTCATCAAATTTTCTCTTTTATATGCTGATTTAGTAAAATTAAACTATAATTTACATGTGGGGTGCATGGCGGGAAAAAATTAGTAAGTATAATTATATAGATTAGTATAAAAAGTATTCAAAAAATAATAATAATAATTAAAGGTATAAATTAAAAAAGGTAAACAAAATTTATTAGCTAGAACTTTAATAAAGAAGTAATTGTCTATAAAGAAAGATTTTGTCTATCTTTAAGTTGTTTAATGAGAAGAAATTAGTTATTTATCATTTTTAAGTTGCTATGCTGGTTGGAGTTTCAGGCAAGGATGATAGATCATTATCGTTGAAGGAAGTATATGGGGAGAAACTGGGTTCATTTTTAGAGGCAAAAGAGAGTTGCTATAAAGCTTGGAATCGTTCAGAACCTCCAGAAAGGCTATGGAAAACTTTACAAGAAGAGAAAGAGAATTATCTTGCTCAGCTGGTTTCATCCGGATTAAGGTTTTCAGAAGAAGTTCAAAATGAGGTAGATTGGCGAAATATGTTTGATCTGCTTCAAAAAAGTGAATTATCCTTGGAGTACCCATTCTCACTTCCATATAAATCAGAATCTCTGTCAAATTTAGATATTTCAAACTCTGAATCTCAACTCATATGTAACCAATTTTCACCTAAGTGGGGAATCAATGCAGGAAAAAGTAAAACAAAAAGAATTGAGGGGAGGAGGATAAATGAAAAATCTAAGAATATTCCTTTTGAAATGGATGAGAGGCAGTGGCATCTTGCTGGATACGAGGTAGTACTATTGTGTATTGACTTTATAAGACGTAATATTGGGGAGTTGAGACTAGAAATTACCAGGTTAGAAGAAAACAAGCTTAAGATGGATCGTTTAGAAGAACAACATAAGGGTAGCTTTGGTGCAAATCGAAGAATTACATCTGGGATACAAGGTAAATTTTCTAATGTATTAGAAGAAAAGAGTGAAAATTACAATTTTTCTAAACTTTGTACAGAACAGGGAATGACTTACGAGAAGCTACAAAGTCTACATTCCAAGTTAACAAAAGACTGTGACAACTTAATGTCTATTAATAAATCATTAATTATGTTTTCTGAGATGGCCAGAATCAGATTCGATATAGATTCTTCTACTGACTATTTGATTAACAAATTGTTAAGCAGATTTGATTCTGGTGGTATGGGTTTCTTTAGTTCTGAAGACATTCATCCTCTAGAAACAAGATATAGAGTTCTATTACTTTTAGAAAGCTGGTCCAAATCTGACTTACTAACTTCTAGGTGTTCAACCTGGGACCATGGAAAATTAAGAATTAAACCAGGAGGAGCTCCAAGAATTGTTCCTGAACTATCTAACTCAAAAGCTATCAAAGATGAACCAGAATTCAAATCCTGGGTTCACAGACAAATTCACATTATCTACTCAAATTTGGCTTTTAAACTTCAAAGGTTAGTATTATTTATTCCTCCTGGGTGGCTTCAATATCTTCCTGGTGAAATTGATCTAAGAGATATGTTGGATTTAAGAAACAAATCCTGGTCTTATAGTGATCGAAGTATTGGGTTAGGTATTCACAAGGAGTTCCTATCTGAAGGAATTCAAAAATCTCTTGGGAAAAATCCCCAATACCTTTTGGAGTTTGTTTTAGAATCCATTTCTATTCTTGACAAGCTTAGGAATTTGTTGGATTTGGGGTTTTGGGGGGATCTGAGTTATCTTAAAAACATTGAAAACCAGATCAATGGCCGTGATCTCCTTAACAGACTACTCAAACTCATGTCAGCAATGGAGAGATTGGACTTAGCTGTTAGAAGAGACATTTCAAAAAGTTCATTAAAATCTGTATCTCCTACATTTCACATCAATCTATCATCTTACTGTGTGGAAGCAGGGACTACAGAGAAGACTTTAACATCTATATCAAGCCAAAGCAAACAGGATGGCCACGTTTACACTCTGAATAATCATATTTATAATGGTAACAATACTAATCATGTAATTTTGGGTTCTAATTCTTCCCAAATTGAATCTAAAAAGTACCCAGGGCATATTAACAGAAGGCAATTAATATACAGCAATGAGTTTGTTAGGGATTCAATAGAAGAAAAACTTTTAGCTTTGCCAAAATTGAATTCTTATTGGATGTTCGAGCCCCAAGTATTACATGTATTGATTAAAACTTTAATGCTTGTAAACGTGAATCCTGTGGATCTTAATAATGGGATTAAAGGAACAGGTTTAGATTCTATAGGTCTCCACCAGTACTCTCCATTCATTTCTAGATGTGTAGTATTTATAGGTTATATGCTAGAGAATGGAATCTTTGTGGATGAGGATCTTGAATACATGGGTAAAGTAACTATTACCAAGACTAATGTAATACCCACAAGTCTGGATACTTATTCTCTGTATTTAGCATCTAGCATGTGGATATGTTATGAGAACTTTCTTTCTATTAGAAGCTTAAGGCCTATTTCTGGCCCATCTCTAGACACTAACCATGAATCTCCATTGAGAGTAGAAGAAACCTCAGGGCCAAGAGTCAAAGAGTTTGACAATTCAAGTATACAGGAACTCTTCTTTTCAGTGTTGGACCTTGTCCTAAAGGATCTTCTTAGCTTTTTAAAGCATCAAACTGTATCAAGTTTGGAAGAGGAGCTTACTAGCTCTTCTCAATCCTTGACTAATGCTTACTTTTCAATTTCTAAGCCCATTGGCCAAAAATCTGCTACTGGAAGTTCTGAGGTAGTCTCCAAGGAGGCTCCAAAACAGACTGGATCTAACATCAGGTCCAGGTTCCACAGCAATAGTAGAGAACTTTTGAGGAAGATTACGAACAGTAAAGAGGCTAAAGGGACTTCCGTGGAGAAATCTTCAAATGAAAACAAGGAAGATGAATTTGATGAAGACTTTACTCATTTAAATAGATTCTATAAGATCACCTCATTTCTAAATAATATCAAAGGGAGAAAGGTAAATGTTAATTCAAATGCAAATTCTACCATTTCACAACCTATTTTGAGACAATCTGACCAACTTTGGAGGAATCCAGACTGGATGATATCCTTTGGGGATGGTTCTAAAGGAGCAAAGAATAAGAATAATAGGGAGGATGGTTTGAGTGAACAGCTCTGGAAGGTTTTTGGAATCTCCTTAACAACTAGTTCAAGATCAGAAAGGGTTTATGGGGAAATATTGGTGAGAAGATTAAGTACCCTTTCTTTTAGGTCAAGAATTCTCTGTCTTTGTCAAAGTTTCTTTAAATTGGGAGCTCCAGGAATTTTGAGGAAACTTTTACAGATTGTGAGTAAGATAAGTACATACTTGGTATTAGAGGAAGATGAAAACTCTTCCTTAGTAGCTAGAAGAGCAAATATGGGCCAGATTGGCCCAGATAGAAGACTTTGGACTCGGTACTGCAATTATTGTATTTTAAGATCTAATGAACTGAGAATTAGAGAGCTGTTTGAGATTCCAATACAAATGTTAAGACTCCCAGCAACCCATTATGTGGAGCTGAAACTCAGATTAAAGTCTAAAGATCTCAAGGAAAGTGAGGAGAAAGAAAGAATGGAAAGGTTAGCTCGTCAGGAGATTCAGGGATGTTTAGAGACTTTTATCCATTCATTCCAATTTTTGGAAAATGTATATATTTGGGAAACTATTACGTGTTGGAGCAGAGTTATGTATGAGGGAGCTAGTCTAACTGCTGGGGGAGGAAGTATAAGTTTAGTTAGAGACTATGTATTAATCACTGTGAGATTATTGGAAGTTTATGTACCATATTATATGCAGGAACTGATGAACTCAGAGTATTGGGATCTTTTAATGATCTCGAAGTCACAATTTGAAGATCTAGTCTCTAGTATTATTGCAATAGATAAATACATGGTAATCTTAAGAAACTGGCTAGAGTTTAACTTGGATTCTATTAAGATCCAGAGTAGGATTATAGATGCTCAGATGATTTACAACCAAGTTAATGGTGATAATGATTCAAATTCTCAGATTGAATTAAAATTGCAAGAAATGATGAGAAGACGGTATATGAATGATCATCTTCAGCAGGTAACTTTGTTTAACTTGTTTTCTCCTCAGTTTATATTGTTAATCCAAAATAGGATTAATAATATTGAGTACCTTGTCTACAAAGTTTATCAAAATAGCAAAGATCTAGGTTTTAATGCTTGGACTGAAGGGATTAATACTCCTGATATTTACACATCCTCTATAATGATTGATATTGGAACAATTGTTAATACTGGGGTTGAATCTTTGGTGGAGTGGCTAATTTTTCCTCTAGAGGATGAACAATCATTAACTCTTTCTTTATCTCCAATTATGAAGTTTTATAGAGATCTTACAACTTTTATTGTAAACACGGTAAAAAGAGAACTTAATTGTAAAAAATATGAGTTAATTGACTCCTACCTTCAATATAACTTGGAAATCCTATCAGTATTGTCTAAAAATGGAGTTGGGATGAATGGGAGTTCTCTAGGGGGCTCTGTAATCCAGGAACTCATGAACCTATTAATAACCCACAAAATTCCTAATTTGGCTCGGCAAATTCTCTCTTTCTCTTCTTCCTCTAGTACATGCAATTCTGGAAATTCGAATACCGGTATTGATAATACCGGTATTAATAACACCACGTGTACCAACAATAACAATATGTTATTTTCTTCTGGAATTGGAAGTAGTGTGATTAGTGGGAATGGAGATATTTTGGGGATTGGATCTGGAAATAGGTCAGGTAATGGAAGTTTGAACAGGAGCAAAGGTAAACTGACAGAAGGTGGAGGGATATCTGAGGCTTTGATAGCGGAGAAATTTGAAAGAGGGACCATATTTTTCAGCTTATTGAACCTTTGTTTAAGGGCTGAAAATGAGGAGAGGGATGGCTTAGAAGAAGGAACTGTGATTGGAAGTGGGACTAGGATGGAAAGGATGGTAGGGATTAAGAAAGGTTTAAGGGATGGGAGTATTAGAGGGGAGCATTATTCAAATATGGCCCTTAAAAGTAACATTTATGGAGATACCGGTATTAATATGAATGGCAATTATAACAGTAGTGGTAACAGTGCTAGCTACATTAATTATGTTGATACATATGATCTAAAATATTTAGTTTCAATCCACAACTTATTCTTCTTTAAGAATATAATTTTTGAGACTTGCTCCAAGTTTTTCAATCTTTTCTTTGGAGACGGTTTTTCTCCTAACCAAGATGAAGATCACGATGATCTTGATCAGAGGTACCGGACCCAAAATGAGAATCTGGGGAATATTGAGTCTTCAATCCCCTTAAATAATAGAAAAAACAGACAAAAAGGAGTTTCTAGGCCAGAAGGTAGAACCTCAATATCTGCTGGTTTCACAGGCAATTCAGATCCTGTCTCTGGCTCCATCTCGCATCATGTGGATGACTGGCGAGAAAGTCTTCAAGAGAAACAATTTTACAAACTTCCTGATGAGGTTTTATTGAAAATGAAGAATATTTTGGAATTCCTTAGGAGTTATGGGGCAATGGACAATGATGAGAATAAGTTATTGGCCTCAGAAACCATGACTGAGTTAAACCGTCTTTTATTTTCCCAAGGCTCTAACTCCGTGTTCTCAGACCCTAAAGTTCTAGATCGTCACAGAGATTTATTCCTGAATCTCATAGGAGAATGCATTCAAAGTATAGACTCTTTGGTAATTTATATTTTCAGGATGTATTGCATCAAAACAATATCATGTACTTTTGGTTTAGAATTCTACCTAAGAATCTACAGTACCGGATTGTTAAATGAAATCCAAAATCGTGATACTAACAAAAATAATGTTAATATTAACGCTAATAAAGGAAGCTATTCTTACACTTCATCATATGAAGAGGAAGCGGTTCTCACCTTAGAGAGTTTGATTCCAGGACTAACCTCATGTTTCAGGGATTTTCTGTCTCAGTGCCCCAACCAGGGCAGGTTTGAGAACCGGGATGAAGAGGGGAATTTAGGAAAAAATGACCACAACTTTGAAAGCGATAAATTATTTTCTCTACTTTCTAAAGGTCTTTCAACACAAAACCAAATTGAAGCTGAATTTAACAAAGAATATATGAGATCTTTGGAACTCCTCTGGCTTTCTCACATATTTGAATTATCCTTATGTAAGATAGGTTTACAATCATATACTGACGAGATCACTCCACTTTTTGAATATGATTTTGAAATTTTGGATGAGTTAAGGAGGAGTTCAAATGTAAGCGAAATCCGCTCTTCTTCTAAAAACAAAGAATCAAAGCAAACACTTATGATTTCCGATATAATCCTCTACTTTATTACCCAGCTCCTTCCAAATAAGAAAATAATACAACACAAGATCTTTAAAGATCTAACCTTACTCTCAAACTTAAGCTCCGAGGAAAATAGTCTAATCCCACAAAAAGAGAGGAATTCCAGTCAAAACTCTTCAAATTCAAAAACCAAACTTAAAACAAAAACTAAAGTTACTAATGAAAGTACCCGATACCTATCAAATCAAGATCTAAATTCAGAAAATGCCTGGGCTGTATCTAATGAAGTAAGGATGAAGAATAATAGTAATTTAGAAAGGAGCAAAGAACCAGAGAGAGGTGAATCCAGTAGGAGTAGAGGTTCATTCCTTAACACGGCAAGTTTTACTGGAGGTTTTGATTACTCCAATATTTCAAAACAGCTTTCCAAAGGTCCTCCTCAAATCGTATCTAAGATTATAAAGAATTCAAATTCTGGACAGAAAAAGATTAAGAACTTTATTAGTAGAAATTTATATCACTAGTTAGGAAAGCTAGCATTTTACTTTTCTATTTATGCATGCATGCAGATTATATATATTAATTATTATATATATTCATTTCCCGCTCAAAAATTTCTTTAAGATCTAATTATCATGAGTAACGTATGCATCCAAATCGATTGCAACACAATTATTAATTGCATAAAGTAATCTTGATCTCAAGATTTCTATGCTTGAATATTTTGGTAAAGATAATCTGAATCCACAAGTTGTTGCAATAGGAAGCCTATTATCTTGTATAGTATCGGGGTTATCATAGTTTATAGAGAATTTCCAATCGCTAGAGCTATTATTAATTTGAGGAAGTCTGCTCCTGCCTGAGACAAATCTAAGGAGCTTTTGAAGTTGTTCATTATTAAAAGTTTCAAGTACCTGAAATAGTTGTTCTTTAAGTTCTGGATGTGGGGAAACCGTATGATTTTTAAGTATTACCAAATCTATTTTTGATTCTCCACATATTAAATATTCAATTTTTTGATAATTAAATAACATTCTCATCCTTCCTAATGGTATAATAGTACCGAATCCTTTTAAGATATTTGTCATTATATTAGTATCATCCAAAATTCTGCACCTCTCTGCTAATTGTATAAACAAATGAAGATTTTCAAGAGTAACTCCTACACTTGATTCCATTTCTCCTTCTAAATTCAACAGAGATGTAATACTTCCATTCATGTTTTCTATTTGGAATGTTAGACCTTCAATCTCTGGAATACTTGTAACTCCTGCTCCTGTTTCTTGTGACTTATCATAACAACCAGTAACTTCTTTTTTTTCCATTCTTTGTTTGTTACTCAAATTTTCGCTTTCTATAGACTTTAGAGAATTAAGCATCTCATAAGCTATACAATCTGCATCCACCAAATCTTTCATAGAGAGAGGAAGTCCAGAAAATTTCTTCCAGATTAAAGGATTAAGATTGATGTTCATTGCACTTTTGGTTGTAACACAAATTCCCATTAGTCTTCCCAAACATTCATACATTTCTGCAATAATCTCGCTGGTTTCTTTTTCTTTTGGCCACTCCCATGGCTCCAGCTTGTGTATTATTCCCAAGTCTCCTTCCACTACATTTGGTTGTGGAGCTTCCTGTTGAGTAGTTATTGGAGTAGGATTTGTGTTATTTACAGACTCAGTATTGTTGATCTCTTCTGGAACAGATCTTATCGATACTGGTGAAGAATTTGAAGGTGAAGAGGCTGATGGTGAAGAGGATAAAGATATATTCTCTAATGTATATCTACTTTCAGTTCTCCTAAGTTGAATTGTTTCTTCCCTCTCTTCTTGTTCAGAATCAACTGAGACTTCTTCTTTTGTATTCTCAACTTCATCATCATTTTCATTTTCATGTTCATTTTCATTTTCTTGATCCCTCCTAAAGAAAGATTGGATTTTACTTTCTATAGTATATATAAGTATCTTAGAGTTTTCTGAGTATTTATGGTTACATCTTAAAGAAGGAACCTTATTAACAATTGCTTTAAAAATTTGGTACTCAGTCCCTGGATTCCCTGATTCACATTCTTGTATCTTGGATTCATAACTTTGAATTTCTCCTCCTGTACCAAAATATGATCCAGTTGCCAAACTTTTTTTACTATAATATTCTCTTTTGAACTTAGTAAGCAAAGATTCTGACTGAGTATCACTCACTCCTTTCTCTTTTCTGGTTCCAAAAAGTAGAAACTCCTCACATATATATAAGGAATTTGTAGTCTTATAATTAGAATACATAGAATTTATAGAAACAGTATCTTGGTTATGACCAATAGAGTGAAGAGCATTTGCACAAGGAGTAAATAATCCATAATATTTGTTTTCATTGGACATATGGTGATTTGGAGCCAAACCCATAACTTCATTCAGGTACCCATCATTATTTTTGGCACTCTTATTTATATTCTCATTATTTTTACTCATTATTTCATTTGAAATCCATGAAAGAAACTCTTGAAATGGTCCACCAAAATCAGTACTTCCCTCTCCTCTAAATACAATAAGAAATGGTCTTTCAGTAATTCTTAGCTTTTCTGGAAGCATATGCAATATTTGTCTTGTAGATTGTGAAAGAAGAGAATATTTTAAAGGATTTCCTCCTGTAACTGCTAGATTTCTATTCAAATGAACAGTTAATCCATTATTAGCTGTAGAATTCCCATTTCCATCTCTTTTTTTTGAATCTATTAACCTCTTTAGGATGTCATTCCAAAGAGAATTAACTAAATTAAGTTTATAGTAAGGTTTTAGAAGTAAATAGGAACTTATTGGGATGGGAATATCATAAGGACCTACATGAATTAAATATCTTGGTGATGAATAAATATTGTAATATGATCCCCAACTCCCAAGTAATTTACTTGATTGTAATAATAATAATGGAATTTTTGTCATCATTTCTTGTCTCAAGATCTTATTTTTTAATCTTCCACCTTTTTGGAAATAATAAGTATTAAAGGTTTTAAAAATGACTTTATCATCAATATTTTGAGAATTCTCAAAATTCTCCCTTGTTAATTTCCAGAAAAGATCTCCAAAGTAATTATTAGAGAAGTAAAATGGCGAAGATATTCTTAGAAAATCTTCCTGCTCATATTTTAAGGTTGGTGAATTAAATACTCCAGAAATCATTGGAATTGTAAATTTAGAGATATCATTAAACTTATTAAGAAGTAAAATTCTTCCAGATAAGAATTGTTTCATTATATCCACATACCAAAACAAAGACTGTAATCTTAACTTGATTTGATTCTTTGCTCCATTTGCATTGTTGCTTAACTGGATCTTTGTAAATACATCCATTGATGTTGTATATATAGGAAGAATATTTGTCAAAAGAATTTCTATTACTTTAAAAGGAAATTCTTCTTCACTATAGTATAAGTTATTTATATCAATTAAATTAGGTTCAGAGTTTTCATAATTATTACTTCTAAATTCATCTTTCTCAAAGTCCAAATAATTAAAATCATCATATTTTGAATCTTGATTTTCATCTGTCTCAAGATCAAATAGATCAACAGGTATCGAATTTTCAGATTTAAGATTTCCAATTAATTTAATTTCATCATCTTTGGTAAAACAATATTTTAATAATATTAGAGCAAATAAATTTTTTATTGCATTTGAGACAAATCGAATCATATCCAAAGAATCTGAATGTGAAATTTTGGTTCTACTCCATATATTAGAGTCATGTTTAGGTATCATTTTTGAGATATCTAATGTTTTAATTCCAAGTAAAGCCATAGATTTATTTCTAAATTCATCTTCTTTGATTAGATTTTTATCAATATTAGCTTCAAACTCAGGCTTATCAATAAAATTAATTTGTCTCAAAAGTTCAAATAAAATTACTCTATATATTTGTTGTTCTCCCAATTCTATATTCAAAAGCTGAATTAATTTTTGATCTATAACAGTTTGACAGTTTTGGTGCATCTTAGATAAGATTTTCATATCTAATGAAATTATTGGTCTTGCTAAGAACTGGAAATCAAAAATTTGATTACCAATTTGATCCAATTTTTCTTGATTTATGTTTTTATCATTTAATAAAGACTTTTTATATTTGTTATATAGACTCTTATCAAAAAGATCCAAATTAGGTATCCATTCAATCCAAGAGTTACATGATATATAGTCTAGATTATTCTCATAATCATTATTAACTAGAGAAAGAAGTTTTCTTATGTTATGAATCCAAATAAATCTTTCATGTTCCATATTCCAATAGGGATAGTATCCATAATTTCTATCAATTGCCTCCTCCATCTCTAATAACTCCCAACAAATTTTAACCATTTGTTCTTGAAATTGTTTCTCATCTATTTTTTCTGCTTTCAAAGAATTTTGTTCATTTTCAAGATTTTCTCTCGATTCAGAACTACTAATTCCTGCATTTTTTGGAAAGTTAATTTCGATATTTCCCATATTATGGAATCCTTCTCCTCCTCCTCCTCCTCCTCCTCCTACTCTTCCTCCTCCTCCCATTGAACATTTTACAGTCAAAACTTGAGCTATATACTTGTAAATTACATGGATAATGTCTAACAATTCTTTAATATTTCTTACTTGAGAAAGTCCATTATATATCTCTTCCATTACTTCTTGGGTTATCACAATCTTATTAGGAGCAATAATCATTGTTCCAAATGATTCTCCCAAAGATGTATTAAAGTTAACTGCTCTTCCTGGAGATCTTAGATTACCAAAACGATTTGGAATTTGTAATTCTGGACCTGAGTTTTGTACATCACCAGAAATAGTAGTTAAGCTTCCTCTATGATTGTTAATTCTATTATATCCAGTATTAATCCCAGAAGTAACCCCTACTACTATTGGTGGAGGGTTTGAAGATGAATTATTAATAGAAGAAACTGGAGATGGGGAGATTGAGAATTGAGTTACTCCAGATTGATCATGTCCAAAATGATTACTTGGAGATCCACTTTGTGAAGGTGGTATAGTATTAGTATTAGTATTATTATGATAATAATAATTAATACTATTTACATTATACACAAAATCATCAGTTGGTCTACCTGTCTCAGGTTTTCTATTAATGGAGACATTTACTATGCTATTTGTTGATATACCTCCAGAAACAGAACCTGATCCAGAATAACATTTGATTGATCTAATCCACCTGTAAAAAAGATACTGAATTATGTGTATATTGATTCTTTTCTTGTCATATATCTTATTCAAATGATCTTGATGTTTTTTTGTCTTATTTTTGGTATCATTTTGCATTTTTTCAAGATCTTTACTTTCAGAATCATCCATGAGAGGTTTTTTTTGGAGAACTCCCCCAACTTCAAGAGATTCTATGGAGATATAAATCTCTGACTGATCTCTTGAACTAGAAGATTCAGGATCAATCATAGCTACAATTTGGCAATCAGAAAATAGTCCTGGCCAAGGATACTGATAAGGAGGAAGTAAGTTAGATTTATTTTGGATATCCATGTTAATAGATGATTTATGTGCCTCCTTTTCTGCCTCAATTTTTTGACCATTGAAGACTGAAAAACAATATAACTTTTCGTATTGCTGAGTAAACTCTGCAATATCCTCTTTTTCACTATGAAAAGAGATATTTGGAGGAGATGGACTCATTACCCAATCATTTACATTATTTCTTGTTCCTGATGCAGAACCAGATGTAGAATTATTCTGTTCAACTGAACCTTGATCTGTATTTTGGTCAGATTGACCTGTTACTTTTTGATTTCTATCTTTTTCCAAGAATTTTTTGAGGTTTATTCTGTAAAGAGAACCAGCAAATTGATCATGGCTATTCATAATATAAGGATTTACTCCTTTATAAGAAAGAAGTTGAATAATATCCAAATGACCAAAGGCTACAGCAAAGTGATAACTTGTATTTCCTTGTCTGTCTTGAATATTAACATCAGAATCATAAATAACCATTAGTATATATGCTATCCTTGCATTTCCACTTATTATAGATGCCATCAATCCTGTCTGGAAAAGAGAGTCTTCTTTCTTCTCTCCTGATACTGATTCTACTCTTTCTTTCTGTAAATACAGACTTCTGTTTTCTGTTTGAATTAAATATTTAACCTTAAGGGAATTAGAGTGAGAAACAGAATAATAAGAAGAGTTATTAGGAATAATAGTAGTATTAGGAGTAATAGCAGTTCCTGAATCAACCCTTTCTCCATTTCCAATTGGCATCCCAAAACAACCAATATAAAGGGAAAATTGATCATCTTTATCCATAAGATTTAAAGCTCTGTTATCAACATGAACAAATCTAAGAAGATACTGAATAATATGCTCATTTCCTATCCAACAAGCTAACCAAAATGGTGTCTCATGTTTAACAACTTTCTGACTTCTTTTTTCTGAAAAAGTTTTCAAAGATGAAATTGAAGAACTAAATCCTAAAGAATCTGTTTCATCTTGTGAACTAACTGAAAAGAAAGTATCCAATAAGTTCCAATTCAACGATTGTTCTTGTATAGAAAAGAATTCTCTGGGATCTGGAAACATTAAATAATCATAAATATTATTTAGAAGGCTTCTGATTGTAAGTTTTGAGCTTGAAATACATTTTGGAATACAGTTTAATATATTATTATAAAGATCTTCAGTTATTAAAATTTTAAATAGAAACTCTCTCTTCTCCAAATCTATTAAACAATTTGCATATTTAGAAATCAAATGACTCATTACAAGTACATCATTCTGTAAAATAGTCATCACAAAAAGAGTTCGAATAATCCAAATCATTTTCTCAGATAAATTCTCAGGATGATCCATTTTTCTCTTAATTTCATCATATTCATTTAAAGTATTGCATGGATTATATGGGACATTCTCTAAACTTAAAGATAAATTCCCATTCATTCTCATATAAAACTCTGTGAAATTAAATGAAAAACTATATTGATCATTCTTAAAGAATATTAAAGCTGGTATACTTGGTTGAAATTCTATAGTAATTTTGTCATATAATCCATATTTTGGTATCGATACCTTATTAGATCTTGGATCTGAAAATTCATTAGAACCCAAGTTTTGGATAATAATCTCGTGATTAGTTGGTATTTTATACTCTTTATAAAGTTTACTAATTTCAAATGGTAAAGGAGGTAAAGAAGGAATTATGAACCTTCCATCATTCACCCATATAAATCTATACATACCATCCAACCAATCTATACCAACACCAAATACATGAGATGAATTATCCCTAGATACAGAACTTTCTGATAAATCATTTTGTTTCTGAATTTTAAAAGTAATACTAAATGATTTACATGGATCTAGAGACTTAAATAGACGTGATTTGATACTAATTTCTTCATTATCATTCAAATAGCATTCATCATCATTATTTTGTGTTAGAATCTCATCTTCAAATCTATTAATACTCCAAACTGAGTTTTCTGGTAACAGCCAATTCTTCCAATTTTTAAATAAGCTTGAAGAATATAGATCTCTACTGGTATTAATACTACTACAGAAACTAATTCCACTTGGAATATTTGGGTGCATGTGTCCCAGAACAGACAGACTTCTCTTTTTAGATTTCAATTCTAATCTTGGGGTTGAACCTTCATTTAAAATTTGGCTTGAATTACCTCCTTTTCTTAAAGAAGATTGAATCTTTAGCATTGTAAATCTGTTACTAGGATTTCCAGCTTCTATTAAATCATTGTTACCAGTTTTTTGATCTTGAATTTCAAACCTATGCTTGAACTCTGTTGGAATCCATTTCACTGAATCATTCTCAAATTGAACATTATCTTTAGACTTTGAATTTTCAGATATTACTGGAAGATAATCTATTATTGAAATAATCTGAGTATAAGGGATGAATATATCTGAAAAACAACTACTTATCTGAACATCACAGTATATTAAACTTTTTGGTCGGATTTCCAAGTCATTTGATTCAGAATTTGGGACAGAAAAAGAAGGATTTGGTGATAATGATACTGGAGTAGAATTTGAAGAAATGCTTTTATTACTCTCCAAGTAAATAATTGGAAGCATAAATCTAGCTTCAGGTGGCAAACCAGTAATAGCAACTGGGATACCATTTACTTCCAAAATCAAAAGACGATTTTGGAACACCATAGTAATCTCTAAGAATTTCTGTTTAACTCTGGTTTGTATAGAAAAATCTGAAGTAGCTCTGATTCTCGTTAAACTTTGAGAAATATCATCTCCTCCAAATTTTAAGCATTTATCATCATAATAAGAATACAATATACTACCAAGATATCCATTTCTTTGGCTTAGAAGTTCATTCTTAATATTTGTATCTCTTTTTTTTGGTTTAAGCTTTTGGAATAACTCACTTTGAATCCAATTAGTATAAAATGATGAAATTTCTTTCTCACTTAAATGTCTCTCAAAAACTATTCCTCCAAATAAAATAAGTTTAATTGGATGAATAGAGTTACTTCCAATATTGGACTCTGATATATTGTTAATATGAAAAAAAGTCTTTACACTACTGGAATGTAAACCATTTACATAAAGTAAACTATCAGATCTAAAACAATGAGATGTACTTTTCTGTCCAGAATTAATAATCACTCTAAATTTACTTTTTTTAATATTAAATCTCTCTTCAAATTGAATCTCTCCATTTTCATAAGAATGTTTTACTACCTCTTTAAACTGAATCTCTTTTTGGCCAATTTCATATCCTCCATATTCATAAATTAATCCATTTATACCATTATTATTAATACTATACAAAATTCTTGGTACTTTACCATTTCTTTTGTAATCAAACTCTAGTTTTACAGGTTTAATCTTAAATCCAATAAATCCTGAATTTCTTTTATGTAATTTATTTAACTGTAAATTTACTAGACTTTGATTCTGACTAATATACCCATTATTACCCTGATTTCTTCTTTTATTCTTTTCTATCAAGTCATTCTCTAAAGAATTTCCATAATTAATTCTTAAAACTGAATGATATTCCTGACAAATAGGATTTTCTCCAAGATTTAATAACATGCTTTTAGGGTTAATATAGTTTAAGGTATTTTGTATATATTTCCATGGGAAAAGAGTATTAGGTTTAATATCATCATTAAATATTTCATCATAAATTTCATTTCTATATAATCTTCTTCCTGATAAAGATCTCATCTTGTTTATTTCGTTACTTGAAAGTATTACAGTGTCACTGGTACTTAACATTAAATGATTTGAAATAGAAATAAAGCTTAAATATCTATTAAAGAATGATAGAATATGAGGAAGAGGTAATAAAGTATATTGATCAGAAGACTCCAAAATACATCTTGCTGAACATGCCATAAAATGACAAACCAATGTAGTGTTAATTTTTTGTCTGTTGATTGGTTTATAATCTTCAGCAGAAGTAAAGTAATCCCATCCAAGTTGAGTAATAGGTATTTTGCCTAGAATTAGTTCCCTGAATACTGGAAGATTATTAACATTAACTAGAGGATTTTCCCCATCATAATTAACTTTGTTTTCATATAAAGACAAAATACATGATACACAATAACATATTGAATCAAGTATACCTTGAGTTTGATTAATAATTTCTCTAGTTTGATGATGATCATTTTGATCTTTTTTATGATTAGTAATCCAATAAGTCATTCTACAAGAATCAATTGCTAGTTTTGTTGGGATATAGAGTCCATTAGTTAATAGAGAAAAAAGAAAGTTCCATGTTAATCTATTTACAATAGAAGATCTGATAAAGCTCGGACATAGTGGATGTCTGATAAACTGATCCATTAACCAATGAGCAACATATACAGAAGGGGAAAGAGAAGAATATTTGAGTTGTTTTGAATTATTTCCAGAGGACTGACCATTACTTGTTTCTTTGATTCGTATTGAGAAGATTTGAATTAAAGATCCAATAAGATGGAATATAACCTCAGTCTTTAAAAAATTGGTAATAATTTCTCTTATTTGGTTCTTTTCTATAACTAAGGAGTCGATAATATGATCTGAAATTTGATCAGTTTCTAGATCCATATCTAAATAACAAGCTGTGATATATATAAGTCTTTGCCAAGAATATAGTTTATCAGTTAATGTACTTTCACTATCAATTCTGTTAAGAATTTTCTTTGTAGAATCTTTAATTGAGATTTCTGAGCTATTGTGAATATCATTATACATGGATCTCTTAAACATAAGCCAGTAATCAGGAGAAGGAGAAAGATGATTATTATCATCCATATTTTGATGAGCTGCTGGGAATACAAAATCTTCTCTTCCTCTAATGATGAAATAAGTACATATTCTCATAATACGAATAATTTGATAGAATCTTTGAGAAATAACCTTTTGATTTTTCAAATCTTGGAAAAGTAAATTATTAATATGATCTGGTATAATTCCACATATATTACATAAAGTGTCAATAGCTGAGATCTTAATGGACCAAGTTGCTATAGTACCATTAGACTTTAATACAAGTTTCTTTGCAGTAATTGGGTTAGAACCTTCTAGATTAAAGATTCTCTGGTTCATGCTAAGCTTTCCATAAATAGAATTATCTAAATGTCTAATGGATTTAATTCTTGGATAAAGATTTGGATGATTATCACCTACTATAAAGCTTTGTCTCAAGATCCATTTCCAAAGTGTATTACAATCTTGAGTAAGTAGAATAGTTTTCATTTTTATTTCTGGTAAATCATATAATGCATTAGAACATTCAAATTGATTATGATCTTGAATTTGATCAAATTTTGAATTCTGTTCACATTCGATACCTGTACTTGTAATAATATCATATAAACTTTTTTGATCCTGTGTTTCAATAGGTTTAAACCTATCTTGAGTTTCATTTTGAAATTCTTTTTCTTCTACTGAAAATATATCAAAAAGATTGTATTCCTTAGTTTTTTGTTTAGATATTATTTCTTTATTTGTTTCTCCACAAGAATAAAAAGAGAAATTACTCATTAGAGAAAAGAATCCAAAAAGTATGTTTTTCATTTTTTCTGAAAGTTTTGGACCATCATTTCCATGACAAAATTCCAATACAACTCTAGAAATAAGGGAAACCACAAGTGAAGATCTTGAAATCAATACAGAAAGTGAATCCAAAAGATGTTTTTGGAGCTCCAAAATATCTCCTTTGTTTTCTAGATCTTCAGATATATTAATTTTAAGATTTTCTGTTCCCAATAAAAAGTAAAGTTGATGAATAAATCTTATATTGAAAAGTTGATAAAATCCTTCCAATATTAGTTCTAAATGTGAAAGCTTAAGACCAAAAAGAGATGAATAACACAGAACTCCACTATCTATGCTGCTGCTTAGCCAAGGGAGGTCCCCATAGGTAATGTTAGAGCATCTTCTTCTTAATAAAAGTTCTCGTTCAACATGGTTTTTTGAATTATCTTTGTAATTTAAGTTCTCTTGGTGTTTTAAAGGTAGAGTATCTACTTCATCTTGCTCTTCTAAAGGATTCAAATCAATTCCAAAGATGGTACATATGGAACACAAAAGTAAAGTCTTCTCAATAAGAGAATCAAGTAATTGTGATGTCTCAGTATTTAATTCCTGATTAATAATAGATAATTCCAAAGAATTTGATTTATCATCATCTAAAATCTTTACTAAAAAGAATTTTTCAAGGTTTTTTTCATAATCCAAACTGATTGACAAGATACTTTTTTGTATAGATTTGACCAGATTATCTTTTAGACTTGAGAGTAATCCATGACTAGAAACCAAAATTTCCTGAAAAAGTTTGATATTCTGAATGTAAATCAAAAAGCTGACATTAAGTAATTGGTTTTTATTATTAAAGTCCAAGTCTTTTAGAGCTAGATTTTGTACAGAAGGAGAGGCTGAAGAGGAGGGTAATCCTGCGGTTAATTGCTGAATTTGCTCTTGAGTTACTATTCTTCCACTTTGTATGGATTCAAACCAAGTACTGCTTCTTCTTCTATATCTGGTAGAAAAAGGAAGTCCTTCATAAAGTATGGTGAGTGGATCTAAGATTACAAAAATGACAGAAAGACGAGTATCCTCAGAAATCTGAGCTAATTCATTAAACTGAACTTCCAAGACACTTCCAATACTTTCCCCTCCAATAAAGATCTCAGATCTTAAAATAAATCCAGAAGAATTGGTGCTTACTCCGTATCTTATGTCAATTACGGTTCCTTCTTCATATGGTATTTCCAATGCAAACATATTCTCTGGTAATTGGTAAAGATTAGAATTGGGTATTTCTGAAGAAGAAGAAGAGGGAGGTTGTGGTCGAAAACCTACAACATCATTTCGTTGAAATACCTCTTCCAAAGGCATTGTCAATACATTTGAAGGAGCCACAGTTATTCCAAATCTTCCAGTTCCAAGAACTCTAAATGAAAGGATATTAGGGGGCATGGACAATCCTGTAGATTGAAGACCTCTGAAAGTTAAAGGAGCTCTACAAATTACGATACCACCTCCCATAGATGCCAAGCTACAGTGAACAACCCTTCCATCAATGTTCACATTAAAATTCTCATTTGGAAGTGCTCCAATGAAGGTGGAAGAGTAGGGATGGTTTCTGAATGCGGAAGGAATTTCATTCCCTCCACTATTAGTTCCTATTGGGTGTATATCTCCTCCATTTGCTGTAGTTCCTGGTCCTGTATTTCTAGATCCAGATCCAGATCCAGATTCAGAGTTAGAGTTTTGATTTGTAGGAGTATCTTTTGATTTAGAATCAACATCTTGAATTTCTGTATTATAATTAATAAGCTCACAAGAAATGCATTTGAGGAAAGATCTAGGGAATAAGTGTAGATCTGGTAGGGTAACTGAGAAATTACAAATATTATTGGTAGCTTCTTTATTGTTCTGGGTAACTTCATTTAATTGAAGTATCCATTCTTGAGTTTTTTGGAAATCTAGTATATCAGAACCAGTTCCATTATCTTTTTTTGCATTTTTAAAAGAATTTCCTTCTCGGTTAGAGTCTGAAGTTAAATCCTTCAATGTACATTGTCTAATACATTCAGTCAATAAAGCAGAGATTTTCCCTTCAATTTTTGAATTTCTTGTCCATAGATCTTTCAGAATATGTTTCTCACCATTATGTAACTTTAAAAACTTTATCAGGATTGAATATGAAATATCTCCTAAATCACCTGAATTCTGATTATTACTCAAGTTCTGGTTTCCTGTTTCTTGCAAATTTTCTGTCTCGTCTTTTTTGAGCCTTGTTGAGTAACATGTTAACTGTATTGAGTAAATAAGAATGTTCAGAATATCTTCAACATAAAGTTCCAGCTCCTCAATAACCTCTTCATTTCTGTTAACTCCTTCTCCAGCTTTGACTGAATCTTCTATTGTTTGAGTTTCTTGTATCTTTTTTGAGATTGCTGTGAGGATACTAAAAGTATAGGATATCATTCTTTCTTTAATAGCTTTGTCATTTCCTCCTGATATTAAAGTAGTTAGAAGGTATGTTTTAAACAATATCCACCCTCTCTTTTTTAATCTTGTAATGTAGCTATTGTTGAGAATTATGCTATTTATTCTGTTTAAGCTGTTCAATAGAATAATTGAAGAAGATGATGAGGAGGATGATGAAAATGATAAATAAGATGTCATGTGGGAGGAATTTAATGACTGGTTAAATTCAGATCTTTTCAAATAAAGATCAGATTCTTCTTCCTTGAGTTTAGAATCTTCTCTAAGATTTGAAATAAAACGATTTCCAATGTTACTATTACTTTTGGACATAAATCCTCCATATCCTCCAGAAATAGTAAAAGTTATTTGGTCTATTCTAATCTTCTTACTGTAAAGGCCAACAATGGTACATCCACATCCTTTTACACTATCTAAATCATTAACTGTGTGATTTAGACTAAAATATCCCTGATTTTGTTCATGATCCTTGTTCAGATACCTATTGCAAGTGTGTAAGGGTACCAGGGATTCAAACTTAAATTCATCTTTAGAGTTCATCGCATTAGTTTGATTTGAAAGAATTGAACTTTCAGAGTTGTCCATGACCTTTATTTGGAACTGATAGTAAAAGAACATTTGATCATTTTCAGAAATTGGATCACAGTTATCATCATCTTCAGGCTTAAAGATTAATAGATTGGAATTAGAGTTATAGCTTATTTGATAAAAAGAACTAAACTTTTCTTTATTAACAAATATTGGAATGGAATAAACTGGTAAACTTGAAAGTCTTTGAACGAATAAGATGATACGAGTATCATTTTGATCTCCATTAGGTTCTTGAAGAATTTGTTCTATATGGTATCCTTGTTCCTGAAATACTTGAATTAAGCTCTTTTCGTCTTGGCACTTCATTTCAGCAATAATAAGTCCAGTTATAGAATCTCCAAGTGTGATTTGATTGTCAAATGAACTTGATTCTCGTATTTGAGGTTTTAAGATCTCCTGATCTATTTCTTGTTCCTGAATAAAAGGGAATATACAAGAACTGATATTTTTAAGTATTGAGATCTCATCATTATTTTTTCTTGAAACAATCATAAAGTATAGTATTACCAGTCTGAGTGAGGAGTCAAACCAGAACTCATCGTTTTCCGTTATGTTTTGATGGAATTGTTTTTTTTGTAGAATCTTATTGTTAAAGATTTGAGTAATCCACTCTTGGATATTATTTACAATTTTCCCTATATATCTAAAAGTTTCACCAGAAAAAGGCTTTCTTTCTGTTTCTACTACAGAAAGGATCTGTGATAAACTATCCAAAGATGATGATGAAGATAAACTTTTTTTACTCCTCTTTTCAAAACAAAGCTCTAGTAAAGATCTGAATTTAAATTCATAGATCATCACTAACTGAGCAAGACGAATATATAGCCAACCTTCGTATCTCAAAAATGATTGAAGAGATATTTTAAAGCATTTATGGTATGATGTAATTTTGTAGATCTGTTCAAGAGTCATTAACTTAAGGAAGGAGTAGAATATCTGACTCTTAACAACTTTATTCATATCCTGAATTTGTGTAGGCCCGTTCATAATAAAATTAATATAAAGATCTAAAATTTGGCTTGAATCCATTTCATCACCGCTTATATTCTCTTCAAGACCAGGTTTATGTCCGTGATCCTCAATATTAATAGGAATTGACGAGTTATCTACTCTCCAATTTGGAGAGTTTGTTGAATTTGAAAAAACAGAAGGGTCTGAGTTATTTCTATTAAGTCTTGAGGATAAAGAAATAGAAGGTGAAGTTGTGACTCCAAAAGACCCCATTGAGGTAATGATAGGATTTTCAATACTCTGCTGAGAGGATCTTCTTCTAATACTTAAGAGCTGCTTAAGCATGCCTATATGATGGCTATTACTGTTGAAGATAATATTAGTATCAGTAGCTCTTCTATTCTTCTTCTTTCCTTCTATTATTGTTCTATTATCTGAGTTAGGACTACCAAAACTTAGTGTTTCTTGTTCATTATTCCAAAAGACATCAAAATGATCACCATCTTCTTTCTGAGTAATTATAGGATTTCTGTACCTATTGCAGAGGTTAAATGGAACATTCTCAATAATCCATTTGCATCTTGTAATTGTACTTTCTATGAACTTCTCCTTGATTTTGGCTTGTTGTTGAGAATCCATATTCTCTTGTCCATTTGAACTGCTTTGTACCTGCAAATTAGACAAAAGCTGTGAACAACACTTTTTTGAAATGTTTAATGACATCTCTAAAACTGCAATTTTGTTATTGTCGAGTGTAGAGATATCATCGACTCCAAAGAGATGCATTATTACAGAATAAACGGCTAATTGGAGGTTTTTGTATTTTGGATGAAAAATCTTCCAATAATTTCCTAGTGACTTGATACTTTCCGAATCAGAATTAATGATTTTCATAATCAAATTCCCATCAATAGACTCATTTGTTTGGTTTGGTTTATTATCAGTGTCCTGATCTGATAAGACAGTTAATAGATTATCAATCCATTCAGATTTTGGATTCATTAAGCTTGATAGTTTCAAACTAAAATGATCGAAACTTTTATATTCTAGTAAATTCTCTATCACATTTCTCAAGATAATAGGATGTATACTAGTTGATAACTGAATTAAGCTCTTCTCTTTAATAGAATTGATTAAATAGTCTCTTAATATCACGGAAATATCAATACTTGCCCAAACAAATAACTGAGATAACAACCAATTAAACTGTATATGAGATTCAGCCACAGAATGTATAGACTCTTGATTCAAAATTCCTCCTAAAATCAAAAGATCATGATCAAACAAATCTCTGGAGAAATCTGAGAATTTCTCATTAAAGTTGACCATTTCTCTTATAATTCGTATGTTTAAATTGACCAAATTCTCATTAAGGAGGTATAATAACTGCTTCTTTATTCTTCCTATTACCGCTGGATGAAGATATTGAAAGTTTTCAATGCTTTCTTCAGATCTCTTTAAGCTGTTCATTAATAGATCCGAACAACATAAGTTGTATGATATAACATTTCCTAATACCTCAGTTATTCCATATCTAAGTAGATGCCCAAACCAAATGATCTCTGAAGATGTATAAATTCCACTCTTGTCTTTGTAAACATTATACATTACATTTCTAATAGTATTTTTGGAAGATAAATCAGAACTACAGACTGGATGCTTTAAATTATCCACCTTATTATCTTTACTATATTTATGGTAATAGTAGTAATTAGCTTCAAACCACTCCTGAGAATGCTTTACCAAGAGATCCACTATTTGAAAAATCACTTCTCTCCAGAATATAATGTTCTTATCATTCTTCAAGTAATCCTTGGATGATTTAAGATTTCTCAAAGGTTCTAGAAGATCATCTCTTGTTTCATCTTCATGATGAACATTATGATCTACCCTCTCTTCTGTACAGAATTGATCTTGAGAAGTTCCAATCTCAGTATTTCTTACATTCATTGAACTACTGAGTCTCCTTCTTGCTTTCGCTTTATTTTCATAATTCTCACATGTTGTTGTTGTAGGTACCGATTTTTTAGATTGATCGAAAAGACAAGGTTTATCAGGATCCTCAAGATTTTCCAAAGTTTCTTTACCCCTCTGTACATAATGTCCATCTCTTTTCTTTGGATGGCCTTGGTTTTTGGATCTAACAAAAATTAGTTCCTTTTCAAACCTATTAGAAATTAATTCCACAATATTAGCTTGAGAAATCTTCATCCCATTAGTAATAAAAATATTAATCAGTATGTTAAGTACAATTCTATTGTCACAGTTATTGCGATAAACTGGATTACGGAGACTCATGAATTGTTTACTACTCTTATTCTTAAAACTATCATAATACTTATACATCCAGTCTAATGTAGAACAATTTCTTCTCTCTGTTTCAATTTGAATTTTAAGCCAATCTGCCAAGTTTTGGGTTAAAATGTTATCTTTTGAAAGTTGATCTTCTATTTCTAAGCTTTTGTTGAAGATTTCAGCTTGAAAGTCTTTATTAGAAGAGAAATCAGTATTCTTTTTCAATAACTCTTTAAGTATAATAAAAAAACTTGAATCGTAGTCAAATACCTCACTGGTTTCCAAATTACAATCTTGTTTACTTTTTAATAATCTGGTTACAATAAGAACAAAGATGTTTGCCTCATCCAAGTGCCTAATTAAATCAATAATCTCATTTACTTCATTCCTATTAGAATTCATGATGCCTCTAATAAATCCCAAGAGATTTTCCAAAGAAATACAATGGAAAATAGTCTTTATAACTTCAAAACTCATTTGGGTTAAAGTATTTATAGCAGTAATTCTACATAGCCATTGAAATCCCTCTAAATTAGGGTGCAGACTTAAGTTCATTAATTTAGATATAAGATGGAAACAATTCTTTAAGTTTGGTGAAATCTTACTATAATTGAAGTTAACCCCACTAAAAGAATTATCTGTATTTTCTGATGTTTGGATATGTTGAACCATTGAATTATCCCCAGATACAAAGTTCTTAAGAATGAATATGAGATTCAAAACCAATTGAATATCAGATTCAATCTCAGATATTTGAAACTCTTGTTCATTTTTCTTATCTGTACAATACTTTGTAATGAAATTAAGTTCTTGATTTAAAATTCTAAGGAGTTTTGACATGTCATCATTACCCATAATGTCCTCCCCTAGATTATAATAATGGTTTGAGTGGAGCTCAAAGATAGCCCTAGGGTCCTTAATAATTCTGCCTCTCCATAAACTGGATAGAAATATTAACAAACTTCCAATTGAAATACGAACTCCGATATGATTCTCATGATTTTTTTCAGTTATGGACTTGTTGTATTCTTGGTCTGATATTTGAGTCTCTGTAATAAAATCATCTATAATCCCATTCTTCAATAAGATATCTTTGACAAGTTTTTTGGTTAAATTCTCACAGTTTTGAATTTCAAGAAAAACCTCATCTATCATAGTAACCTGAACTTTTAAATTGTTGATAATTTCTTTGGAGAATCGAAGAGTATGGATTATTTCTCCATTTACTAAGATAGAAAAACAGTTCTGAATTGTCTTAGTTCCTTGAGTCTCAATATAAGTCACAAGTTCCACCAAATAATCTCCTACAAAGGATTTCTCCAACTGCTTAGTGGATTTCCATTCCATGGAACTTCCGGTCCCTGTATTTCCTGAGCTACATGAAATAGAGGCATTATTTCCTGCAAGACAAAAACCATTAATCTGTTTGGATTCGTAGATATTTATCCTGTTATCACAGAACTCCAACATAAGCAAGGTTCCCAAAGGTCTTGTTTCCTTTCCTCCTTTAATAGATGTGTCAAACTTTCTTAGACTTGGAATACCTTTACTTTGTTTAGGAGACCTTAAATGACCAATTTCCTCTATATTGGGCATTTCCAGTGAAATTTCAATTCGAGACCTAACAAGATCTTCTTGAATAGCTTCGTTGAAAACTCTAGAATCTGAAATTAGATGAAACTGGATAATGTTGCAACCAAAAAGTGGAATCTTTTCAAATACTAAATGTCTTGAAAAGGGTAATCCCAAGATTTCTTCCTTATCTCGCCAGGAGTTTGAAATTTTTCTGAGATTTTCATGACTATCATTCTGTTCATCGTGTACCAGAAGATCAAAACTGGATGCCAACAATATAAATTGGAGTTTATTCCAAACTAAAGAATCAATTTCTAAAACAAACTGGTCTCCTATTAGATCTTTAAGTTCTGTAAGTTCTTGCAAGATTTCCAATAGAAATGACATATTACTTAACTTAATTATTATTCTTAGACACAAATTCATGATCAAGTTTGTTTGCTCAATATTAAAGTATTCACGCGAAATGAACTTCAATGTACTTGAAAATACGTTCTCTAGTTTCGATGACTGAATCATTCTCATTCTTCGTCCATACAAGTTAAATTCAGTTCCACTTCTTAAAAATTCGCTTAGATTCTGTACCATAGATCTCAACTCTGATCCAGAATCTTCTTTAAAAAGTAGGCTGTAACTTCTTTCAATAGAAACTTCTTTCAAGTTCTTCCCAAAATAAATCTCCTCCTCTTGTTCTTTATTCATCATCAGTCTTCTGCTCATATACCTTGAACCTTCATGAAGGATGCTCATCTCTTTTCCTTTAGTACTATTTAATCCCACAACCTGGGATAAATTTAGGACAGATTCTCTTAATTTCAACAATGTGGCTGGAAAATTAATTACTTCAGCATTACTCAGCTTTCCCATCTCATACAATCCTTTATTCTCTGATCTCACTATTACGTTATCCTCTAGTAAAACGTCACTAATTCTCTTCATGCTTCCTGCATCTTCAACACTAATTGCTCTACTTATACTCAAAAACTGGTTCATCTGTTCTGCCAAACTCTTAATGACCTCTTTATCACATTCTACCATTCTTCCAAAATGCCTAGATAGACTCTCTTTAAGCCATTCTCCATAGTCCTCAGAAATACTTCCAAGAGGGTCCATTTTTAACATCTTATTCTCATCCATAATCATTTTACAATCTTCATAACTCACATTTCTTCCTCCATTCTTAGTTTCTACATAAATCATATCACTTAACTTTTTGGTTCTCCGAATAGAATTAAAAATCATTTTACTTACATACTCAGTTCTTACTTCCTTGGAATCTAAACCATAAAGCTGGTCTAAACCTACTAATATGTACTTCTCTGCTACTTCTGAAGGAGAAACATCCAATTTCCTCAATTCTAAAAATATTTCCATTGGATGCACACATCTTTCCCTAACTATCTTATCAAGATCATTCTTTTGCATATTCATCTTCAAAAATTCTTTAAACCTGAACAGTCTATAGCTTTAGCTTATAATACTGTATATTATTTATCTTAATTTATTATGGTTTTGCATGCAATACAAGATTCCTAACTTTGCATGCAATTTCCCCACACTCTTTCAATGCAAACAATATTATTACGTGTGAAATTTGTGCCACTTAATTTTCCTTTTAATTCAATTCAAAAATTGTACATATAATTACTAACTGGCTAAATTTCTTTTTTGTAATTTACTTAGTTTATATTTTACCTATCTTATTATTCACTTTCTCCTTTACCTGGAAATTTCCTTTTTTTAATTCCTTGCAGCTATTTTTAAATTTCTCTTTATTTTTCAGTCAATTTAGCTTTTTAGTCTCGACTTTTCCTGCTTTCCTCCCCCTCACCCAATCTAAATATTTATTGCATGTGTAAACAGGCGGGAACTTTAAAGCATATATTTATATGTACCAATTTTTAGTTAAAATACAAAATAAAGAGAAAATACAAAGAAAAAAAAAAAAAAAAATAAAAAAGAATAAAAAAGAGAAAAACCTATTAAGTGCTGTTTAACTTTGTTCTAATAGTTATATGTATATATACAAGAGTATTTATATTAAATTAAAAAACCTAATATATAGAAGAAAGACGAACAGAAAAATAAAAGATTCGAATAATGAGAGAAATATTTTCTCCATAAATAAATTTTTTATCAAAATTTGAAAAAAAGGAACAAATTTTTTTTAATTCACATTTTTTAGTATTAAATTTTGGCTGCTTATATTTGTAGAGATTAAGTTTTACCCGGTAGCGGGTATTTTTTAGAAAACCTAAAATAACCTCAAATAAGTAATAAAAAATATGTCTATCTGTCTATTAAATTAAAAAATACAAAAATTAAGAGTTTAAAAGGAGCAAATTAGAAGAAGTTACCAAATCCTTTTTATTTGCAACTTGAAAATTCATAGCAAGACTTGGAAACTACCATAGGTCAGGATATCCAAGTAAATTAGAAAATCTAGAAGACTGAGAAGTTAGGTTTGAAAAACAGAAATAGATATGAAATCGGAAGAAAAGAACCATGGCACAATCTATAAGGTTGCTGGGCCTTTGGTTGTTGCTGAAAATATGAGTGGAACAAAGATGTACGAGTTAGTTCGTGTTGGTTTCCAAAAGTTAGTTGGAGAAATTATTCGTCTTGAAGGTGATACTGCTTCAATTCAAGTTTATGAAGATACTTTTGGACTTACTGTCGGTGATCCTGTTATTAAGACTGGCCAGCCACTTTCAGTTGAGCTTGGACCTGGCATATTAGATAATATTTTTGATGGTATCCAGAGACCTTTAAGATTTATTGCAGAATCTACAAAAGACATGTTTATTCCTAGAGGAATTGATGTTAAATGCTTAGACCATGATAAACTTTGGGAATTTACTCCAAATGCGAATTTAAGAGTTGGTGATATTATTACTGGAGGTGATATCTTTGGGTCAGTTTACGAGAATTCTCTTTTTAAGTCACATAGGATTATGTTACCACCAAATGTTCAAGGTAGAGTTGTGAGGCTTCCAACTGCAGGTAACTACACAATTGATGAGGATTTGATTGAGATAGAATATGATGGAGTTGTAAAAAGTTATTCTATGCACCATACTTGGCCTGTCAGAGTTCCGAGACCATGCTTGGAGAAATTACAAGGTAATACTCCTCTCTTAACTGGACAGAGAATTTTGGATGCTTTATTCCCATCAGTTCAAGGAGGAACCTGTGCCATCCCAGGAGCATTTGGATGTGGTAAGACTTGTATTTCTCAAGCTTTGAGTAAGTATAGTAACTCTGACGTAATCATTTACATTGGTTGTGGAGAAAGAGGAAATGAAATGGCAGAAGTTCTTACAGAGTTCCCTGAACTTTATACTATTGTTGACGGTAAGAAGGAGTCAATTATGCAAAGAACTTGCTTAGTAGCTAATACTTCAAATATGCCAGTCGCTGCTAGAGAAGCTTCCATATACACTGGTATCACACTTTCTGAATACTTTAGAGATATGGGTTGTAACGTTTCTATGATGGCAGATTCTACTTCTCGTTGGGCTGAAGCTCTTAGAGAAATTTCTGGAAGATTGGCTGAAATGCCGGCAGATTCAGGTTACCCAGCATATTTAGGCGCCAGACTTGCTTCTTTCTATGAAAGATCAGGAAGAGTAAGATGTATGGGTTCTCCAGATAGAGAAGGTACAGTAACTATAGTCGGAGCAGTATCTCCTCCTGGTGGTGACTTTTCTGATCCAGTTACTACTGCAACAATTGGTATTGTTCAAGTATTTTGGGGATTAGATAAGAAGCTTGCTCAGAGAAAGCATTTCCCTTCAGTAAACTGGAATACATCATTTAGTAAGTATTCCAGAGTTTTAGAGCCATACTTTGACTCAGTTGACCCAGAATTCAATAATTTGAGACAGAAGATTTCTGAGATTTTACAAAAGGAGAATGAGCTTGCTGATATTTTGCAATTAGTTGGTAAGGATTCCCTTTCTGAGGATCAGAAGATTGTTTTGGAAGTTGCCAAAATTATTAGGGAAGACTTCCTCCAACAAAATGCTTTTTCAGACTATGATTTTACTTGTCCTATCCAAAAGACTCTCGGAATGATGAAAACCATTGGAAACTTATACGACCTTTCTTTAAAAGCTGTAAAAGATTCATCTCAGCAACAACAAAAGATTGGATGGTCTACAATTTATAATTCAATGAGAGGTACTATCAATAAGATCACTTCTATGAAGTTTTTGGACCCAAGATTAACTGATCAAGAAATCAAAAACCACTTTTCTCAACTTAATGAGGAGGTTTCAAGCCAATTCAGAGCCATTTCTGATAAGTAAACTAAAGTTTTAGATATCTTCCACATTTTTCTATACAACTCATATTTGTCAATTCCACATGCATCATAACTTTTGTCTCGTCTCCTATTATGTTGCACCAAATCATGTTATTTGTTCTGGGATACAGAGATAATGGGGAAACGAGGGGAAGGAGGATAATGAAGATGAAAGGATTTTGAGTAAGAATGAGAGGAGTAGGAAGATTTATTCATCACTCCGTACTGTACTATTTATACTTCTCGCCTCCAAAACAATATAACGGTTAGAAATGAAACCAATTTTTTTAAAAGAAGAAAATAATAATCGTAGAAATTTAAGTATTTCCTATCACTAAAATCTTCCAGTTGTTTTTTGATCTATTTATTTGATTCTTTTGGGACTTTGAGGAGAGCAATATGGGAGGAGAGGAAAGGAGCTTTACTATTATTATGTGTGTTATCAACTAGAACAGCAAAAGTAAAGGATACTATTGATATGTTACCAAGGAAAAGTTTATGTTTTTAATGGATGGAGAGGAAAGGAGGGAAAAGCTAGTCTCGGTGTTCCTGTGGCCTTCAAAAAGCTGCCTCCTTCTCTAAGCTTAAAACTTTGTACTTTTAATTCCTACCACTGCTTTCTCATATCTCGATTAGACCATTAATCCCTTGGCTTTGACTGTTTCTTTCCGTTATTTCTTTTATGCCTGGAAGGAGGTTTGGGAGATCCGGTAGAAGGTTCGGCAGCGTTTGCTCCCACCTCCTGCTCCTTTTTCCCTGTTCTTTTTCCTCCACCTCCACCTCCACCTCCTCCCCCTCCTCCTCTACCACTTGGTTTAAAGCGTGGGGAAGATGAGGGAGATAAAGATGGTGACCTGCTTCCTTTTCTGCCACTTTTTTGCCTGTTCTCACCTTCAACCTCATTCTGGTGGTGGTGATAGTGGTTGTGGCGACCACGGTGGTGTTGATGGCCTTGGTGAGCTCCGGGAGATGATTCAACGCTTAACTCAGAACTTCTTCTGTGGCTGTTTTGTTTATTTTGGTCTTTCTTGTGATACTTTTGTTCTGGTTGTGGTTCTTGTTCAACTTCGTTGACGGTCTGTGACTTATTTTGAAGAGGACTCTGAGCCTTAACTTGCAGATTCTCATCATATCTAACTTCGGATTCAATCTCATGTTCTCCTCCTTCACCAAATTCCGATATTTTGGGAGATGAAAAAGCAGAAAAATCTTCTTCTTCATCTATAGGACAAAACTTTGGACTTTCTGCTTCTTTAATAGAATCAATTTCCGCTTCCTCCTGATTCCCAAATTGAAAACTTTTGCCAACCGTATTATTTAAGTCATCCAAATTAATATCATCACCTCCCCAGATCTGGTCCTTCAAATAGTTAAAACCATTATTCTTAAAATCTTCTAGTATATCAGAATTAAAAGCTTGGAAAAGTTGGTCCCATGACCCCACAGGACGATTAATCAACTCCTGATTAGTAAGTAGTGACTCTAACTTAAGAGACTCCTGATGAAAGGGAAATAACTCCAAATTCTCATCAGGGCTTGCTAAGAGTTGCTCCCCTTTCTTATTAAACTCTCTCCACGTGTTAACAACCTCTTCTAACTTAGAAGGATAATAACATCTAGCAAACATTGCTGCATAAGGTATCAAGTCTGATTGAATCAAATCTTCAATACAGGAATCCTTGTCCTGAAGTAGATTATGACATATAAATGCTATATTCCATAAATTTTGTTTACTTGCCATCTTTGCCACATACCTTAATCCCTCAATATCCCCTATACAAGAATAAATTAAAAGTAGAGAATCCAAATCTTGAACTTCTCTATAACAGGCAATTGCCATTGAAAACCTTCCTTTTTCTAAAGCTATATCTCCCAAAACTTTCCACCTCTTTCTATTGACACTTGAAATATTTACCAATGTTTCAGCAGATCCTCCTCCCATTTTAATATCATCTTGAGCATTACTAATGGATTCCATAGTAACACTATTATTCTCAGCCTGATCCTTTAGTTGCATTTCTTGTAGAATCGAAATACATAATTCCAATTTTCCTAAACCCAAAGCCAAATCGAATTTCTGGTCTTGATCATCAGTTATAGATAAAGCCTTTTCCTTATATCCTTGAATTTCCAAGAATCTTGCAATTTTTGTGTGAAGATTAGATGGTATCCTACCCCAATAAACATTCTCAGCTGTATCAAAATCTTTATTAATAATGCAAGACTGATATTCTATGTAATTTAAATCCAATGAATAACTAACACAATTAAAATCTTTACTCATTAACATGATCCTCTGGATCTCCTTCACATAACCCAATATATGATACATTGTCTTTTCTGGGAGATATGCAACCAAATCAATAAAACCATTCATCCATATCTGTAATCGCATCTGAGATGTAACATAAACAAAACATGTAGATATCCAGACACCACTCTCTACTTTATCATTAATCTCTGATACAAAATCAAATGATATTTCTATACCGTCATTATTGTCCACATGCACAATATTATTCATAGTACCGGTATAATCATTAGAAGTATAAATAGGTGTAGACAAGACCTCTTCAACTTGTTTTTTGTTATATTTAAGTATATAAAATGTATCAGAGCATGTAATACAGACATAATTACCAATATCATCCCAATATACATTGTTAATAGGAGATGAAACATCAATTCTTCTTATGAGGCGGCATTCATTCCATTCATAGAAACAGATAAAGTCATTAGATTTGATACCTAATAGCTGGCCTCCAAAAATCTCATCTACAAAGAAGCTTGGAAGAAATGAAAAGCATTCTTTAAAATTGTTGTATATAACAATCCTACCTCCATTTTCTCGGATCGCAAAGAAATGACCATCAATGGACCATGAAAGTTCTATAGCTTTTCCAAAACATTTACTTCTGAGAGCTTGAGTAGTATAAATAACAAACTCTCCATCTCCACATATCGAAAGAAATCTACCATTTGGATGAAACTGAATATCCTGAGGATATATCTCACTGCATCCAAGTTCTTTATAAGGCAATATAACCCTTTCACCATCATCAAATTCAAAATCCCATTCAGTTCCTGAAGAAGATTTGGATGCAAGTGCTCTAAGATTTGCCTGGCATATTTCAGTACCTTTTGCTATAAGAATTTTACCACTATTCAAAGTAGCAAGAGGTTGTTCAGATCCAATTTTAACAACAACAGAACCCTCATCATAACCAATTCCAAGAATATTTTCACAAGCAGATAAACACCAACATCTGTCCAACATATAATTTAAAGTACATTCCAATCTATATGTTGCAGAATGCCAAATTTTGATTGTGCCATCCTCACTAGAAGAAAGAATGAGAGGAAGTTGACTATGATAAATAACAGATCTAACTGCTTTTGAATGACCAGTAAGAACTTGAATGCATTGTTTAGTCTGGTAGTCCCAAACTCGAACGGTTTTGTCATCACTTCCCGTTGCTATGTAAGGTTTTTCAGCTGAAGGAGAATAGGCCAAACAATTAATTCCTCCATCATGTCCTGTTAAACTATACTTGGGAGTATTAACAGTATTATTCACTAAAGAGCATATATTGGGTTGTAAACCCCAAATTCGAACAGTTCTATCCAAAGAAACCGAAGCAAAAACATGGGTATCTTTTGGATTCCATTGTATCATCATCACATAATGAGAATTTCCTTGGAATGTTTGGGCTTTAACCCAATCTCTATCCCAATCCCAAACCTTGATTGTCATATCATCTGAACATGTTAATAATAAAGGAAGCTTATTGTGAACCATAATATGACGAATAAAATCACTATGAGCTTCAAAACTTGTAATTTTGTTCATTGTATTATAATTGTAAACTCTCACTTGTAAATCATCACCACATGTTATTATCCATTGCTTCCTACATACAAATATAGCACATCTTATTGGGTACTCTGATACCTCTAAAGATTTTAGTAGACTCTGTGTCTCATAATCATGTACTGTAATTGTACCGTTGTATAATCCTGAGAGAATCCATGGTTCAGAAGTATGGAAATCTATACTCTTTACTCTCTCACTTGAAGTCTGTAACTTCTTTTTAATATCCAACCTTAAAGGCATGTTATCCTTATTTCTATGATCAGAACAGTTTCAAATAATTACTTGTAATTTATTTATTCTGTTAATAATCTTATCAAGTATTAAAACTTATTCTTAAATTATATTTTTTGAATATAACCAATTTTTAACTACGTGATCTATTCCGAAGTTTTATTCTTTATATTACTCTATCTTGCTCCCTCAATGACTATTAAACATCATACAATTATCAATTAAATTTAATCTTCCTTAATTATAGTTTTTGACCAACTTTTTCCTACTTAATTAAATTTTGATTTCTTCATATAACTCCCTTTTTGACATTCTATGAAATTATCTCTGTTATTCCTCCTTAGTGGGGTACATTCCTCTTGCCGCAATCCTGCTCCCAGCCTTGGCGCCTTTTAATGACTATTTTAATCCAGTATTATTTCTGTTGAATAGAATTACTTATTAACAAATCTTCGATTTCATTAATAATAGGAAAACTATTTCTTGCCACACACATCAAAATCTAGTTATATGAACCTTCATGTCTTGTTTTTCATAAGCATTTCTTAATTTTTTCTGATTATTATAGACTTTCTATTATTTTTTCGTGATCTTGTGCAAAAATTATTTAAAAGGGCGCCACAAAGGGCGCCACAAAGGCTCTGAATAAATTTATATTATAATGTTATATATATAATGTAGTATATAATTATTGTATTTTTGAATTATTTTTTTTTTAATAAATATTATTTAATAAATAAGTATATTATGATAGTTATTACAGGATAACCAGACCCCTCTTCATAAAGAAACAATTCTGAATTATTTTAGGTAAAGGTTCGTAGAACATAGTGGTAGTAAATAAGCAATTGGTTGATCTTTGAGTTTTTAATGTTAAATATATTCAAGAGATTTCTTTTTAGTATACAAGTCTTCAAAATTATTGATAATCTTTGATTAATTGGAAAATATTTGTATTTAATTGGAAGAAATACCAATCAATTTAATAATTATATTAAATTATTTACTAGTGTTAATCAGTGTATAATCCAACCTTACTTGGAAACAATTTTAAGGGGAAGCTAGAACCACAAATATTTATGTATATATATGCACTTTTGTATATTTGAATAAATCATTTAAATTGCATGTATAAATGATAAAATTTAATATTCGAAATTTCATCAGAATTTCTGTAATTATATTTGAATAAATAAATAAATATATATATGATATGACATATATATGTGTATAATTATTTATATATTTAGCCAATAATTATTTGATCCAAACTTTGTAATATAAAAAGATGGTCAACTTGAATGACGAAGGAATTAATGTAAATGTTAAGTTGTTAAATGGTGATATTATTAAAGTTCCAAACAAAATTGACACTAAAAAAACTTCAGTCTTGAAACTTAAGGAAATCATTAGCAGTATTTGTAACATTCCAGTTTTTGAGATAAGACTTGTTTGGAAAGATAAAATACTTTCAAATAATGCCTTATTATGCAGTTATGGAATTGAAGATAATAGTACTTTAATTCTTGCACGCTCTCCATCAAGAAGCTCTAACTCATCTTCTCAAAGAATCGGAACTAGTTCGAGCTCAAGTTCTAATATCCAACCTGAATCTGGAGGATTATTTGGTGATTCGAATACAGATGACTTCCTTTCCTCAGCTTTAGCATCTCCTTGGATTCAAAGTATTTTAAATGACCCAGAAATATTCAGAGTAATGTTAGAATCTAACCCACAACTTAAGGCTTTAAGAGAACAAAATCCTGAATTAAATCACATCTTTAATGATCCCCAATTTTTGCAAATGTCTTTGGATGTTTTAAAAAACCCAGAACTTATGAAGGAGATGATGAGGAATTCTGATAGGGCAATTAGCAATATAGAAAGTATCCCTGGAGGATTTAGTGCACTTAAAAGAATGTACCATACTGTCCAAGAGCCAATGTGGGACGCTGCAATGTATAATCCAAACACTAATAAAACAAATACTTATAACCAATACAATATAGATAAGAGTTCTGGGCCAAACTCGGAAGCCCTACCAAACCCTTGGAGTGGTAACAAAAATCCCAATAATACTGATAATATAAATTCTTCATCTTCGTCTGAAACATTCGGAAATTTTGGTCCAGACATTTCAGGAAGGATACAGTTACCACTTAATATGTTTCCTTTCAATTTTGAGACTATGAATCCCGCGAATAACCAGAGTAATGGAAATTTTGGTAGTGATAATAACAATAGTGATAATATGTTAACTGGATTCGCTGGTCTCGGCAACTTTGGTGGTATCCCCAATCTTGGAAATCTAGCAAATATGGGAATCTTAAATCCCAACATCAACCAAAACAATATCTCTGAATCCGTTACAAATACCAACAATTCTAATAATTCCCAAACAACGTCTCAACTTCCCAATCTAATGAATTTATATTCTCCGTTTGCTGCGAGTAACCCCAATACTATCCAAACTGTTATTGATGCAATGAGAAATATGGACATTAATAACAATAACACATTCCAAAACCAAATCAGTGCATTGTTTGGGAATGGAGCTACTGGTGCCAATGCCAATGCCAATACCAATACCAATGCAAATGGTATTATAGAAGATTTTTCCCGAGGTGGTAACACAAGTTTTGGTAATTTGCTTAATATGATCAATGCAGGAAGTTCTCCTATAAATACAAACGAAACAGGGAACCAAAGCAATATATCTAATCAAGTGAATGCTTCCAACAATGAAAACGATAATGGAAGACAAAATTATAATTACCAACTTGAAGTTCTTTCCAATATGGGATTCACAGACACTGAAGCATGCATTAAAGCACTTACTGAATCTGATGGAAGTATTAATAGAGCAATTGATAAGCTTCTAAATCCGAACTAACTCTTATATATTACTCTTTAATCTTACCATTTAATCACCTTCCTGTTCCACATTAATTTTTATGTGTTAATCCTTATTTCCAATTGAAAAACCACTAGCCATTATATTTTCTTTATTTAATTTTTAAAATTGACCAATTTTTTTTTCAGACCTCTTTCAATATATTTTCTCTTTGCTCATGGATAGTCTTTGTAAGGCATGTATACAGATATAGGGCACGCGCCCACACATTCCCGCCATTACATGCGACTTTAAATCTATTTTCTTTAAACTAAATTGATTAATTATAGTAAATGAGAATTTACTTGCAAATATTTATTTTTAAAGCTGCATAAATCTTCTTAAATGATGGTTTAAAGCAGGCTAGATTTAAAAAACGGAATCATCTTTTTGTCTATTATTTATAGCAGGTTAGGATTAATAATAGCCACAAGAATAATTGGCTCTCAAAAAGAGCTTTCTATTAATTATTGACTCGATGCCTTTAAAGGAAGTTTAAAACTGATATGTTTCGAGAAACGAGTGTATATTCGGGCTCAATTAAGTATACCGTACAAATATGTTTTGACCAACCATATTATTACAGCTCTGAAAAAATAAGATGTAGCATAAAAGTATTTTACGAAAGGCTTGGCCAGGAGAGCGAATTCCTGGATGAATTTGAGCTCTTAGACTATATTACCATTCAACTGTTTGGCTATGCTTCGTTTTCAGACGAATTATTAAACTATTTGAGTACTAGTAATCATTTCTCTGCTTCATCAATAGCTCCATCATCTTCAATGAACCGGTTCATTTCTAATTTATTCAATATAACTTCAAGATTTGATCGACTCGGAATAACTGTAAAGCAAAGTAACCAAAGAAACAAACCGATTTTTGTAAGTAACCCATATATATTAATTAGTGATGTAAAGATTCTGAAATCCAGAGATGAAATTGGGACCTTCATGTATACTTGTTTTTTGCCTCCATTTATTCCCCCAACCTTTTCTGGAAAACTTATTTCCTTCAACTACATTGCCCTGGTTACTATGGGAATCAATAACAAGATGAAGTCAGAAAGGTCAAATTATTTATTCAACTTAGACTTCATTCAAGCTAGAGGCCGAATAATCCAAGATCAAGGCAAAGAGTCCTTAAGAAACTCCATACCAACCATTCAAAAAAAACTCAAATTTGATATAAGATGTTTGGGACCTCACCCAAGATCTTCAGGAATTCTTTTTTCTCCAATAAAAAGAATCGGGATATATCATCCAATCACCGCACTAAACAATAACTATTATCATTCTATCCCTATTGATGACTTTAATTCAGTAATAACCAACTCTTCTGAGAAAATACCGTCTATAGCAACCACTACACCATACAGTAATATTTGTGAACTCTCTGAGATTGAATTTTTAACTGCATGTGGAAGCAATCCCAAAATTATCTTGGACCATCTAAATAGCAAATTCCAAAGAAGATCTCTCTGTTTAAAGGGAATACAAGCTCAAAGTGACTCAACAATTCCAAAGATGAGATTCTTCGAACTTCAGGACAATATTGATATTTACTCATCTCTAAATGCTCTTCCAAAGTCTCTTCTAGAGGTTTATTGGGAAAACGAAGCTTCAAGAATTCACTTCCCTGAAAGCTTAAATAGTGAACAAATTTTATATTCAACTTTTCATCCTTCCAAAGGCCTCAATAATAATGAAACCCTTAGCATTAATTATAAAAATGAATTAGTTGCTACATGCAGAATTTCAAATTCCAGTTCATGGTCATCTTCATGCCCAATAATTATTCATTTTGACCTCTCTAAATCATACTGGAAAACCCAAGAAATTCACATTATACTTAAAAGGATTGAAGTAATTCGTCAGAATTCCCAAGACCAGCATGGTATACAAAATCAAATTGTAATATATAATTACAAGAAATGCACAATCTGGGATTTGGAGTTTTCTCATCAAATTAATCCCCTTTCTTCATTCTTGATTAAATCCTTGGATTCGGACATATTTTATGTTTACTACCAACTGTCATTTGACTTTTTCATATATACTACTGAAAAGAAGCTTAAAAAAATTAATTTCTTGGATGTTAATCGTTTTCCAAACTTGATTAAATTATCATGGTGTTCATCTCCAATTAGCTACTATGACCAATTCCAGAAGCTTCAAATTCAAAGTGCTGGAAAAATTGATAGTTTATCGGATATCAGCTCTTTTTCTCATCCATTGTCTTCTATTCTTCCAAATAACAACATTAGTGTTTCAAAGTCTGTTGAATTTTAATTTTTACTCAAATTTTATGTGCTTAATTATCTTAATTTACTTTTTTTTATGTTATTTGTATTCATATAATCAGTATTTTTAGATTTGGTTTTATTCTCTTTGTATTGGACTGCTCACAAATTGCGGGAATTTTGGGTACCAATGTTTTTGAAAATCGGCGTTTTCAAAGGAACCTAATAGAATAGATTAATCGCTGGAATTTGTAAGTAATGAAGCCATATTTTTAACTCCGGAGCCAATATGATGAATGTTTGGTCTCTTAAACGCTTTTCCTCTACTACAGGAAGTTCTATTACTTCCAGTTCAAATAGCATTGGGTACTTTGCATATAGTATTAACTCAAAAATCATTGTATTTGACATAAATTCGATGATTGATGGGAGCAATGGTAACATTATGTTGAAGTCAAATACCTTCAATAGGGTTGTAATAGATATTCAAGGTGAAACTAAAAATATCCGACCTTGGAAAGACTTTAGTGCAAACAAGTCCCAGGATTACATTACCCTAGAACCGTTCTGTAAGTTTTGGGTCAAATCCGTATTTGTGAATGACCTTCAATGGGGCCCATATACCCAAAGTAGGTGGTCAATTCTTTTTTCTTCCTTAAACAATGGAGTAGTACATATATGGCTTGTCCCAAACATTGATTCATACTCGCTTCCAAATTATTCTCCAATCCCGTGTTTTGAACTATTGGACTTAGTATACAACAGCTTAACAACTGAGACTGATAGTAAGCTAGTTGAATTTGACTGGGATACCATGAAGGCTGTTAAAGGAAATATATCACAAAATCTTTGTACAGATCTTATGCTGAACACGGATACCCCTATTGCTTATTCTTGTGTATTATCAGTTCAGAAAAGCGAAATTTCTTTCAAAAATAATGGTTTTGCCCTTTTTTCAGCCTGCTGGAATGAGTTCTTTGTAGTTTATGCAATTGATATATGCGAAAACCCTGAAGAAAGTTGCAAAACTACCATTAACAAAATTCTAACCTCAGAACAGAAATATTTATTTGAATCTTTTCCGATAACCCCAAAAGTAAACTGTAGGCCTTTAATACTGACTCGAATTCCAGATAAAAAATTGGATGAAATAGTAACGAGTTGCTTAATTACTGAATTTTGGTCTTCTGGAAAGGAGTTACTTTTCGAGATTTATACTGGTTCATCTGAAGGGAAAATACAAATATTTAAATTTTCTATATTAGAAGACTCCAGAGATATTAAATGTTTAGGCCATAATTTGATCAATAAAAGCTGCCCCAGTGTTCCAATTACACAATTAAGTTATAAACCTGTTTCAAATATTAGCAATGGGAAGGAACATATACTTCTTGCTTCAAAAGGTACAAACATCTTTTTTGGAAAAGTTGGTGTTGAAGGCATGAACTGTGAAATTCTCAAACCAACTATTCATAACATCAAATTCAGCCACCAAATGCCAATTAAAACTGCAAAATACATGGAGGATATTATATACAATGAGAAAATATTTGATACTGCTTTTTTAACAGTAGACCAAAGTGGACTGGGGATTCTTCATATTGTTGATTTGGAAAAAAAAACGTTTAATTCAGTCCAGGTTCTTACAATGAGTAAGTTGAACGATGCTCCCTCGATGTTTCCAAACCTAGACCAAAGTTCAAATAATTCTAGTAATGACTTAGAAAGTTCCAACCAAAACCTGAACAAGAGTTTTTCTCTGGAAAGCTTGCAGAATGTTCCCTCCAGCATAAAGTCAATTAAAAACTCCAACAATGATTTTAGATTGATTTCTTTTGAAAATCCTTTGGTACCTGGACAATTTTACAACTTTAAAAAAAAAAGTCTTCATAATTTCTCCATTGCTGTAACTAACTCAGCAGCTTTAAACACAATTCGTCTGATCATTGTATTCAACAATTTCTCTCCGATGGACCATATCTGTAACAGAATTTCAAATCACTTTATCCATACTGAATCTCTAATTAACAACTACTCCGACTTTGAGGACGAAAAATGCCTGTACAATCTCTCCAAAGCAGTTTCTCAAGCCTTTACACTTAACGACATAAGACTTATTCTTGCGGGCCCTCTAACCATGAACAAAATTCCTCTATTGGAAGAAATAGATGAAAAGCCACCAAAAGGACATGAGGATCTTATTCAACCTAAGGAGGTCAGCGGCAGTAATAGCAATGGCAGTTTAAACGAGGATACCAATAAAAAGATGAGTTCGTTTTTGAATTTAAAACTTGGGGAAAAACTTAGATTGAAAGTAAAAGATGAGGAATCTTGCAAAGATGAAAGTTCTGATGAGGTTCTGAATGTATTTTTCTCTATATTCTATGAGATTATACCTTTGGAACTGATTAAAGATGCGATTTCTTATAACTTAATTGAAGATGAGTTTCCACAAGATATTACCAGTTTTTTCAATATTTACAAACCAATCTTTTCTAACTTAATTCTGTTGATTTTCTGCTACATAATTGAAATTGAGCCATTTATACCTAAGTCTTTGGAATATGTAGTCGGCTGTAAAGACAAAAACAATAGCTTTGAAACCCTTGTTAAGACCCTAAATCAAGCAGTCCCCCTCTCTGAACTTCCAAATAAAGAGCTTGAGAAATCTAATTTAAGCAAAGAGTCTATGTTATCTCTCTTGTTCAAAATCATTTATTTGGTTAGAATTCTGAATTCATTAAGATGCCTTGTAGTTTTACTTTACTCTCGTTCTAATGAAACGGTGGATCCCTCAGTAATAAAACGTGAAGAACAGATGTCCATATATCTAGTTAAGTTGCAATACTACATTCAACTTCAAATAACTCAAGTATACCACGTTGAGTTCCTTGGATTACAGCCAAATTTATCCGTTACCGCTGGCTTAAAATATATCTGGAGTTGTGTGAAAGAATCTAAACCCATATACTTGTCCCAAATTGCCTTGTCAGACAAAGGTTTGGGTGAATACTTTCAAGATTTGATTGATAACTCATGTTGCCTGATTTCAGAGCCGCCCTATAACCTTTATCAGTGTTTAAATAAGCACCAAGAATTCATGGATTCAAAAACTTTTGATGCTGGTAGCTCCAACTCCAACTCTAACTCTAACTTTAAAGATGGCTGTGTATCTTCTGTTCCAATTTGCCCAATTACCTTTCTTCCAGTAAATGTTTTTGCAATGCACAAACATCTTTCATGCAATTTTTGTGGGAAGGTTATTTTCATTCCAACAGAAATGATTAACCAAACTTGTATTCAAAGCGGAAAAGACTTAAGCTCTTCAATTTCCATTTTTGAGAAAATATCTCTTCGAGGTGGATATTACACATGCCAGTTCTGCCTGAACGTTACTGAACTTTTGGATATTTAATTGGAAAAATTTATGTTTTTTGAATGTTTTTAACAGAAATTGTTATTATTATTACTAATTATCCTAGTCTCGCATTTAGTAATTTTCACATATAAAACTTATTTAATTTTTCTCTAATTTTCATTTTCCACAGAATTCTGCATTATTTTTAAATCCCATGCATGCACACATGTGGACATGCAAATTCTGACATTTTGCATGTGGATATGCCGGTATATAAAAAAAACAAAAAAAATTACTTTCAGAATTAATTGCAAGCTAAAAGTTTGTTGGGTATTTAAATTATTAATAAACAAAATTACCTAAATTTAATTAATTAAAAAGGTTTTTAAAAATATATTTCTACTTTTGAAATAACAATAAATTCTTAAGAAAATTGATGAATGAGCTTTTGAAGTAGAAAAAGAAACTGCATTAATGAGTTTTGTAAGTGCAAAGAGGAGAGGTAACTGAATTTGATTTTAGGGAGGAGAGAAAAAGAAGAGAATAAGAAAGAAGGAAAATAGAGGTTTAGGGAACCAAGTTGGAGGTATCTGTAAACAATAGCTCATGCAATTCATTTATAAAACTAGTTACATACCTGGGAATTAATGAAACTTACAATACCATTTCTACCCCGAAATTCTTCTTTTGACTTTTTACACAAAAACTACAGAATTATCGAATATGTGGGAAAGGGACAGTTTGGTAATACATACAAGGTGCAAAATACCATAGATTATAAGATATGGCTGGCAAAATGTATTGATCTTTCACAAATGGATGAGGACGACAAAAATAGAAGTCTTCAGGAAGCGGAGATAATGAAGAGCATTAATCACCCTTTCGTCATCAAGTGCCATGAGTCATTTATGCATGATGATGTTTATTTAGTCATTATAATGGAGTATTGTGAGAGAGGAGACATTGGAGCTGTAATTGACTCTTGTATCTCAAAAGGGACATATTTACCAGAGGAAAAAATCTTAAATTGGTGTGCTCAGCTTGCAGCAGGACTTTATTATTTACATAATGAATGCAGAATAATACACAGAGATATAAAGCCTTCTAACATATTCATTAGGGAAAATGGGGACCTTGTTATAGGAGATTTTGGAATTAGTAGAATTATGCTCAGTGTGACTATGCCTTTCACTTTGACTTCAATAGGCACTCCTCAGTATATGTCGCCAGAAATGTGTGAGAATAAACCATATACATACAAAAGTGATATATGGTCATTTGGATGTGTAATGTATGAGTTAACATGCCTAAAACCTCCGTTTTCTGGAGATTCGCTATTATCATTGGCTTGGAAGATTTCATTTCAAGAAATAGAACCGTTACCGAGTTGTTATTCATATAATTTATTTAAATTAATACAAAGATTATTGTCTAGAGATCCAATTCTCCGTCCTGAACCAATAGAGATTTTGAACAACGACTTGCTTTTCGAATTTAAAAGCTTGTCAGAATTCTTACCAAGTAAGGTTGCAAATGCTTCTATAAAAAATAATGAGAAGGTAAACGTAATTATTAATAATCATAGTGAAGACACTTTCAATGAGGGCTGCAATAATCAACTTGAAGAAGAAGTATCTGATGACTACAACAACACTATTCAGTTAGATTTAAGAGCGAATTCAGGGTCTAGCATTGAAATGAATGATTCTCTTAGCTTTTCTGACGAGATTTACCAGTTATATGAGACGGAAAGCGGACAAAAAAACAGAGAGCTAAGTGGAATTAATCAATTCACCATACACAATAGTCAAGCAAATAAACAGGAAGAATCCATAAACTCGATTTCCTCGTCTCCATTGTCCAATTTTGCATACAAATGCTCCTCAAACGAAAATTGTTTTTCGGGAGGAGAAAAAATTCGAGGTTATTGTGACAGATTGACCAACTATGAACACCAATACTTTAGTGTATTGGTTGGAAGGATACAACATCATATTTTGAGATACTCAGAAAAAATGAGCTCGGAACTCTGCTCGGAAAAAGAAGATATACTCAATTTCCTAATAAAAAGCTTCAAGTCTTGTCAAAGTGACTTATATTCTTTGGATAGTTATATGACCTCAGAATGGTTTTTTGAGTTCGTTAATGAGCTGAATGTAGGATTATCAGAAAATGAAGTTTCACTCTTTCTTTCATATATTGGCCATTATATCTACTCTGAAAATGAAGATCCGTATTCTGAATGTAAAAAGAATGAATCAAAGAACACCAAAAGTAGCTATAAAATAAGGCATACAAAATCTTCAGGTAGTTTGATTTCTATGGAAGTATCTAAGACAATGAGAAGCATTGATTCAAGAACAAATAATAATTTTCTCGGAAATGCTGGGTTTAATGAAAATATTAAGTATCCAATGCAGAATAAAAAAAGCAATGGGTTTAAAATGCCAAAAATATACGATTTTATCGAGAAGATCTACTCTTGGAATAAAATCAGATTCAACAATAAGCTTCATGACCAGAGAGTCATAGAGTCTAATGAAGCTAGTAGTCTGAGATTTGATAAAAGACCTAACTTATTTCCAATAAGTCCAACTGTGAATTATGGAAGCAAGAAACAAAATGTACATTCTATTAAGCCTTACTTTTATCTTTTTATTACAGACTGGATTCAGAGCATATTGACTCCTATTTTAGCTCTAAATAACATTACACAAAAATCAAATCAATCTGTGAGAAGACTAAAGAACATTACTTTAAAGCAAGGATTCCACTTATTCGATCAGAAAGCTCAGGGAACTTTGCCCAGACAACATTTCAGAACTGTGTTATATTTAATACTACCAAAGCTAACATCAGTACAACTTGATTGGCTCTACGCTTTAGCTCCAAAAGATTTTACTGGAAATGTCAAATACGAACAATTTCTAGAGTTCATTGATAGTATTCAAAATACTGGTGAAACCAGAACTTCTGAGGAAAATAATAAGAAGGAAGAAATTCTTAGTGGAACCAGGGGAAGAGGAAAGCCAGATAATCTAGCTGAGAACTCTAACTGCCCTGAAGGTAATGAAAAGAGTTACATGGAGAAGGAACAAAATAGTAAAACTTCAATAAACGCTCAAGAAGATGTTTTAAGAAGTGGAACTGAAAACTCTAGTCTTCTTACTGAACTCCAACTTCAAAGAGAAAAAGCCCAGGGTGGACTGGAAATTAGAGTGACGAACGAAATAGAAAATTATGTGGGAGGAAAAGCAAATGAAAGGTCGCAACAAGACGGAGAATCTGAAATAAGCAGTAGTGGATATAATGACCTCCCTATTTTACAACAAGAACTGTATGGCTTTGGAATACAGGACGTGGTTCTACTTCACTATAACAGTCAAGCTTGTATGAGAAGGCCTTCTCCCTCTCCTCAACTGTTGGCAAGAGCCAGAAATGCTTCTTTCATGAAGAGTACCAGGAGAGTTTGTGAAATCGAAACAGTTTGTCAAAATAAAGAAAACAATTTAAGAGAAAATCAGAACATCACTGGAAAAGAAGTTAATCAAAAACTTCTGAAATTCAAAAAACGGAACTCCAAATCCAAATACAATTCAGAGAATCAAAACCTAAACATTAATAATGTTCAGAGAAGGGAACATAAAGGAGAAGATGGGTTTAATGTGATCAGTAGTAAAAGACAAAACTTTTTCTTAAACATTTCAAAGAATGCGGTTGGGAGTTTAAGTAAAGAGCTGGAAAGTTTAATTCATAATTTACAGGTTGAAAGAATATATACATGCTGGATAACAGCAAAGGCTTCAGAAAGTCAGGAGGAGGATTTATTTGGTGAAGTATTTGAAAAACTCACAAAAATTCGTTTAGAAACCAGTTTTTCTCTAGATTTGCTGATTTCAAATCTAGGGAGGATGAGAAGTTTTGATAAGTTTGATTCTATTCTAGAACTTAACAATATATTAATTATATTAAAAGAAGAGCTTCCGTTGCAAAGGGATGCTATTGATTGTATATTAAGAGTGATAGACCATATGGAACTTTCATCTGAAAAAGAATTCAATACAACAATGAAGCAGGATGGTCTCTTTTTACCAGATCTATTTAATGTAAAGAATCAACTTAATTCAGACGCCTCAAAAGTATATAAAGAAATCATGAAACAAGCAATTACAAATAACATTGTTTTACCAATTTCAGCTAAAAGAAAATACAAATCTAGCAGAAGCTATGATGTAGATTCAGCTTCTATCCCAATACAATTTGTAAACAATCTTAAAAAAAATACTGACATTTCTAAATCTCAGCTTGCCTCGGACTCAAAGGTTTTTGATTGGACTGGAAAGTTTCTAGCGTCTTTTGAGTTCTTTGGAGAAGCTACGGTTAATCTAATTCAATGTGGAATAAACATATTGGAAAACACAAGAAACTATAGACAAGACTCTCAGTTAAAAGAAACAACTCTAAGAGACTTCTCACAACTCAACTTTCTCATTGAAAATTACAGACAGTGGTCGCATTTAAAAGAACACGTATCCAGAGAGTGCGCTTTTGTTGCATCTATTGGAGCTAATCATGACCTGAAAAATGACATAGAGACAGCTAGAATCTTCTTGGAATTATTAGGAGCAAGAAGATTCCAAGTAAATGTTACCTGGCAACAGCAAAGTAGTACAGAACAACAACTATTCAGAGAATTGTTTTTTCTAGAAGAGTCTCTATGGAATAACCAAAAGTGTTACTCTCAAAGAGAAGATGCACTCTCATATACAAGAAAGAGTGACTCTGAACTTTGGCTAACTTGTGGCGAACAGACTTGTGGAGCATTACACAGTACTTGCAATAAATTTATCAAAGAAATTCAGTTCCTATTATAATCATTAAAAATGTAAAACTTTTTCTTTACCTTATTAAATACAAGTTAGCATATTTATTTAGTAGGAAAAAATACATTCATGGCGCCAAAACTCTTTTTTTAATACCGGCATTTCTTTTTTATCTTGATAAAAAGGTATCGGTGAGACGGGATCATAATAATATTATTATATAAACAAATAACAAATATTATAAATTGGTAATTAAATTAAATTAAACTTTCAATATACAAGGCCTGCCGCTAAAGAAATTCAAAGATTAATTTTAAGTCTTGTTTTGGGATTTATATTGTCAAAGAGTATATATTATATAAATAGACGATATTTATATACATTTTAGGGCAGGATTTGTTTTTAGTGAGATAAAGCAGAGAAAGGTGTCAGTTCAAGATGTCAGCAGCTGTAATGAAATCATCGGACAAGCAATTTGGCCAGTTTAATGGAGAACAACAACAAGCACCATTACACAAGATCAGAATTACTCTCTCCAGCAAGAATTTGAAATCAATTGAGCGTGTATGTGCTGATTTAATACAAAGTGCTAAACAGAAAGACTTGAAGGTAACTGGTCCAGTTAGAATGCCAGTTAAGACTTTGAGGATTACTACAAGAAAATCACCATGTGGTGAGGGATCCAAAACCTGGGATAGATACGAGATGCACATCTACAAGAGAGTTATTGATTTGTATTCATCAAGTGATGTTGTAAGGCAGATCACTTCAATTAACATTGACGCAGGAGTTGAGGTTGAAGTAACTATTTCTGACATTTAAGTGGGTTTAGCCTGTAAAAGAAGGTATTAATAACTTGGAAATATAATGATTGGACTTTATAATTTTATCTTTTCCTAATTTATTGTACCGAATACGGATACGAATTTGGGACTGTCCTTAATTATATTTACTTCAGAAAAGTAATATAGTTACCTTACTTTATTGGTTATATATTTTTTTTCCTAAAACTTTATAAAGCAGGGAAAGATGTTACTTAACTGTATTAAGCTGAAAATTAATAAAACTTCCAATTCAGAGATAACTTCTTTTATTCCTCGAATTTAGTTCTTTTACTATAGCTTTGGATCTGAATACAGAATAACACAAGAAATTCTTTTCTTAATACAAACAATATAATATTTTGGTTTAAAAGCCACTATATTATGTTCTGCCAATTTATTTATGTATTACTTTATACGTAAATCTAGGCAATGACAAAGAAAACAGTATTTGATTTACTCAGATTTCCAAATCTATATATATGTAGGGAGTTAACTTCAAGTCTACACTTGCTATAATATTAGAATGATTACAATAGAGAAATAAATTTCCAAGAGGTAATAATTACTACTAAACGATATATTTCTTCTTAACCTGCTTACTTGTCTTTTCTTTCTCTTTTATTCTCTTTCTTTGACTGGTTTTTCTTTATTTCATGTAGGATAGTCCATATAAATTCTTGAGGTGTTTTGGAGGGAAAATCTTTAAATTAATTCTTCTAATCTCTTTACTACGTTCAGATGCAAATTTTTTAGTAATATGGAAAACTCAAACCCAATTATCTACTTTAAACCAGTAGATGAAGATACTATTGAAGAGATAGATATCAGTACTCTCTTCTATGGTGAAAGTAGGCAGTTAAATAATAAAATAAGTGAAATCACAGAAAATGTAAGTATTTAAAAACATGACTATAAACTATTTTAAAACTTTATTTCTTCCAATTACCACAAATTTACCTCATTTCTTCTCCCAATTAATTTTTAGGATGTTTATGAATGCATAAAAGATATAATTGACCCAGAGTACCCTTTAACACTTGAACAACTCAACGTCGTCTCCCTCGAAAACATCATTATAGACCACAAAGAACAAATTATATTTGTTTTTTTTAAGCCTACAGTAACCAGCTGTTCTCAAGCAAGCCTTATCGGACTGTCAATATACTACAAACTATACACTGTTTTTAATAGAAACTTCAAAATTATTATTAAAGTAGTTAAAGGTACACATGATCTAGAAGATTTAATCAACAAACAACTCAAAGACAAAGAAAGAGTGTACGCAGCTCTGGAAAACCCCCAAATTTATAAAACTATTACTAAAGGACTTGCCAACTCCGACATTTGGGAGGACCAATCCTTATTATATTAATTTATTATTTTTTTTCCTCCACGTGTAATTCCCGCCTAAACATGCAATCGAGATTTAGAATAATTATAACTAAGAAAACCTAGATAAAGTGAGGGAAAGTTAGAGTTTCTCACGAAATTAGTTTTCTCTAATAAGAGTATACCATTTTTCTGAACTGACAATTTCCTAAGTTTAGCGGTTGGAAAATAACTTGTTTTGCTTTATTGAGTTTGAGTTGATATTTTAATCAAAGAAAAAGGCGCGTAAATGTGGTGAATACTGTGTAATAAGGATTAGTCAGACTTGAATCTTTTCTCGATGGTATCTGGGTAAGTAAAGTTTCTAAGTGAAAGTTTTAAGAGAATAAAAAAGATGCATACTGCTGGAGTAAATATGTATGTGAATTGGAAGATATTGAGTGTGTGCCAGTAGCAGAGGATAATGAAAAGGGATATTGCCAAAGAAATGAAAGTTGCTAGTTTGATTAATGGAACGTTATTCGTGAAGGTGGTGAATCCCTGATCAACTTTGGAGAGTTTATTCCAAATAGGGAAGATAATAAATAAAGAGGATAAGATAAGAATGGAGAAGCTATAAGGTAGGAGGGGTCCAGGTAGTTTTCTTGGTTCTTTAAATGTATATGAAATTTCTTCTTTTGGAAAGAATCCTGCAAGTTTGGGGTGGATCTTGTATGGGCAAAGCTTACTAAGAACTGATGTATCTGTAGAGTTGTTATTGATTAAAATAGAAAGTATCTCCTGGTTAGGATTTGCTAGGTTTGATGGTTCACTGGCCAAGGGATTTCCGACTATAAGTTTTAGAGTGAACTCTGAGGAAGAGCAAAGGAAATCATCATTAGTGAGATCCATGAAGAGTTTTAAAGAATTTCCCTCGATAATTGTTGGAATAAGTTTGATTGTTCGGGTACCAATAGTTTTATAAGGAGGCAAAGCTTTAATTTCGAAAGCAGTAAAGTACTGATAGACTGTTTCAAATTTGAAAACCTCCAGATTTGTCTGTAGATCTAGAGCAAACTGGAAGTTATCCAAATTTCTGTTATAGTGGGTATCAATGTTTTTGATCTTAGACATTCCCAAAGCTAGCTTCTCACCAAGAAAAATATTGGCTTTGGTTACTTCAAACTTGGAGCTTTCTTTATTAAGAATTGGGATTTTGGCTTCTCTGGCCAAAATAGATCTACTTGAGATTTTTAGCTTTGGAATAGAATTAGCCAAATCATTTTTTACTTTTTCAAGATTAATTGGCTCAGTCTGGTTATTGTTATAAAAAAGTTGGTACTCACAAGTATTTGGTACACTTATGAGCTTAAAAGTATCGGAATTTAATAATTCCAAAGATATATTTTCAAAAGGAGATCCATCTAATCTACAAAACAATACTGTAGCTAATTTTTCATGAATATCTCGGGGATTAGTGTGTTGGAACCCTTGTATCAAATATGTGCCAGAATCAATGAACAGTCTCCTGGTGATAATGTATTCATTCAAAACTGCCAAGTTTTTTATATCTCTAACCTTAATCCTAGAAATGCTATAAGCCATTTGCTGCAAGAGAATTGGTATATCTTCAAAGTCTGTTGGTCTTCTTAAGAAGAAATAAGCTTTGGAGAGAAGTGAGAAATTTAAGACAAAGGTATCTAAGTCTATAACAGGATAAAACTTTGAATTCTTACTTTGCCACTCCAAGATAGTATTCATTGTTTTAAGGTGCTGTGAGTTCCTAGAACCTAAACGAATTAACTGAGAAATTGCTCCAAATAAAAATGAGGTTTCCTCAAAATCTATTGGTTGGTTGGTTGAGATTTGTTTTTTAATCTTACTTAATTTATCATTAATGATTTCATTAGAATCTTCTATTATATCATCTCTACCCAAAACTGAACTTATTTCTTGTGGTAAATTGGATAGTATAGTTGTTAAGTAATATAACTCTTTTATATTTGGTTTATTTGACCTCATATAATATTGTCTCAAGATCTCAGAGCTAGTTATTGCCAATCTAAGATCGCATTGTACTAATACTGAACCAAATATTGAGCAACTCAATTCATTTAATGGAGTATCTAACTTTTGAATCTTATTTCTAAAAATACTGCAATATGAATTGGTCTCTGATTTTGGAATATAATTTGTTGCTAGTAATTTCAATAATAATGCATCACATGTACCTATTTCTTGTGTGATATCACTCGGTACTTCTGGTAAAATATTAATAAATTGGTTTTTTACTTCACTTATTAAGCTTAAAACAAGTAAAATCAAAGAATAAACAAGTATCCTGTTCATATTTTTTACAGTTTTCTATATTACCTTTTATTAATTATTCTGACCAGTAAATTATTTATTAGCTTATTCCAAATGCTTTTCTATCTTATTCTCGTTGAAAACTCGGAGTAATTTGTTTCAAAACTCCAGTTTCACTATTAATTTCTCAAATATTATTGGGTCTTGAAAAGTATAAAGCTTTTTCAGCAAAAACACCCAATTTTTATTTGTTTTTTCAGTAAGTGCTAAGAACAGTATTTAAAATATTTTGGCAGTTTAAGTAGAAAATTTTCCCGCCTTAGTAACTTTTTTTTAATTTTCAGTAATTATCATGTTTTGATTATAATACAGATATGTGGGAGACAGGTGGGGGTGAGTTTGAGAGCTTGTGAAAGAAAGTGAGAGAAAGAAAGAAAGGGAAAAGTGATTAAAGAGAGACAAAGAGAGAGAAAAGAAAAAAGAAGCTAATATAAGTAAAACCTTAAATATATCAGTAATTTCCACTTCTATATTAAACTCTAAAACAGGGTGTTTAGAGCTAAACTTAATGAAATTTTCCTTTATGCAGGTCACCAAAACTTTGGAATTCGGGGAATTCACTATTTTTTTTGAATTTCTAAGTATGTATAAATATCATAAAATACAATAAAAATAAATCTTCCTTACGTGTGCATGCATAATTGAATTAATATTTAATAATATAAATCCAATTCAAATAAATAAATCCCCCCCCACATAGCATTTTATCTATACCGGTACGGGTGGCGCCAAATGTGTGCATGCAAAGATAAATATTCAGGTAATTAGATTAAATTAAAGATTCCAAAAAAAGATGAGACCTGGGAAATTTTAATTAAGGTAGATATTATTCCAAATACTATAAATATTCTGCTCAGGTTTTTTATTTATCCAAAAACGATAAATTAAAAATAGTTTTAAAAATAATTTAATAAATTGGTCAGTGAAAATTATATTCCCCTTAAAAGTTATTATGCATAAACACGATTATTCATCTTTAGGAGTCACTGAATGGTAAATAAGAGAATATACTGAGGAGAAATTATACGGAAAAGATAAATTTCCACAGCAAATTTGTCTTATTTCAAGGCATTTATTCCATTCTAGATTGGATTCAGAAACACGCCCCAAATGAGACAAAGCAATAGCTTTAGTAGAGTATAGATTGGATATTTCAATATTAGATTGGTTCTGAAATACCGAAAGATGGGAATTGATCATTTTTGAAACAAAATAATCAACGGAATTCCAGTCTTTAACTATGACTTTCCAGAAAGTGAGTAACTTATAGCACCTATAGAGTAAGTGATTTAATGGATGGGGTAACAGGGATTTGGAATCTGGAAGATGGTATCTTTGAATCAAATTAGTGATTAGCCTGATTGCTCCCGGAAGATCATATTTCTGATTATTTAAGGCCTCAGCTTCCTGTATAGTATCGAGAAATTCGTTGTTAATACTAGTAACTTCTGATCCATAATAAATCTCACCACATGAATTACATGTATATGATTCAGTTAACTGAGAAATTAAGTAGTCTTGATCATCAATAATAGATGTGATATTCTCCGGTTTATTTAAGTTGGAAATAGATTCTGATTGGAGTATTGGGATGTTGTTGCTTTTATAGTCGAAATCACTGATGTTAAAGCATTTGGAACAAACAAATCCCTGAAGAAATGAATCCTTACTGCTCTGAAAAAAAGCTATACACCTTTCACATTGGCATATAAAGTGCTTGGTTTTTAATAAACTTTTGATCCTGTTCCTCCTGGTATCATATAGCTCAACATAATTAATAGTAATTTCTTCATCCTTTAAAATCTTCCTATTAGCTTTTAAATCAATTATCATCGAGGATTGGCCAATAGCTGGGTTCGCTCCAATAAAGTCACAGTTTGGATCACAACTGTGATTAAATAGGCTAGAATATGAAAAAAGTCCCCACCCTAGAATACTTGGATTTAATAAAGAATTACACAATTCCAAAGAATTACTTGGAGTCTTCTGTAGTAAGCTTACTAATTCTGACACTGAGCCGGTCTCTTCATGGAATTTCAAAGGAAATTTAGGAATTCCAAAGCTATTACTATCTATAATACATAAAACTTTAACTAATAACTTCCTTGTGATGATATCCTTGCATTCCAACTTGTCGATTTCAACCTGTAGTTTTGGAATTTTTAGGATTTCAAGTGCTAGCTCTTGATAAACTTCCTTAGTCTCTTCCAAAAACTTCTCTTGATTGTCTATTAAAGAATTAATTTGGTTTATATTTGATGTTAAGTACTCTTTATTATGCTCATTTTGGTCTTTATTTTGTTCAGAAAGCTCAAGTATTAATTTGATAACAAATCTAGTTAAAAGACGAGATCTGTCAAAGGATACCCCTACTTTATTAGAAATCATCCTCAAAGTATCCAATTTTAGCATTCTACATTCAAAGTCATGAATTGCTCTGAACTCCTCCATACACCTTTTTGAACAAAACTTAATTTTTTTACATTCCTGACACACAAAAATGTTTTCAGAACACGAATCTGATAATCCTAAATAATTAAAACATGCATCACATATTTCTTCCATATTATCACTAAATAATATTCTGCAATAAGCTTCTTCTTTTAGTATGCTTTCTCCCATCTGTATTTCCTCCTTAGCCACAATACTTCTTCCTTTCCTCTTGTCTTCTCTTATTTCGATCTTTTCTGGTAAGTTCCACATTTGAAAATTACAAAAATGAATTCTAATTAATTATTCTTGTTTTAATATATTTTTCAAAGTTTTAAAGCCAAATCTAAATTGTATGTTTGGCGCCAAAACTAGAAATAGTTATATTCGGTACCCGTGATTTCATGCAGTACTGGTACAAATTTTTGAGAATTAAAAAGATCCGAGAAATTAGCCTTAAATTAAAGGTATAAATTATTTGTCTAATTAATCCTTAAACCCCACTAAATTGAAATTCCTAATTATAATTCGTCGTGTTTGATGGATTTTTCCATCATTTCGATTTGTTCTTGCGTAGGAAATTCATCACTAAACTGTTCAAAATCTGAGAAAACTGTAACAACAAAATCAGTAGCATTAGCCGGATCTATGAATGAAATCTCATTAGTGTCAACACTTGTTGAGTTAATCATATAATCTTTAATATTGAAGTAGCTGATTTCTTCAGCATCAAAGTGTATAGGATTACTTGAATTATGTCTATTAAAGAAAATGATTGATGGAATAGAATTTGAATAAAACTCATCTTTGGGAAGGTCATTCTCACTGATATCAAAAGATCCAAACTTGATCTTGGACTCAGAATTCCCAAAAGAAATTGCATCATGTAATTTTCTAATAATCTCCTCAGTGTCTATACAAGGTTGGCAAAATGGAGTAACTAAAATAATTAGCCAGTCATTCTTCTTATCTTCCAAGACCATTGAATTAAAGTTATTTCCAACAATCTTAACTACTGACTCATTCTCATAATAAACAGGTATTGGCTCGGATCTTAACTTTGGTTCAATCTTATTAGATTCAATATCATGAAGGAATTTTTTAATCGTGGAATACTCTATTGGGGTATTTGGCGGTAATAAATAAGGTCTGGATTTAGCTACAGCTACTGTTGGAAGCATCTCAGGTTCTACTAATAAGACTGTATTTAAATGAGAAGAATGCTCTGATGTATCTAACCAAACTACTCTGTAATTCTGTGAAAATTCTTGTGAAATTTGAGTAAATAATGTTACATAAGGCTTTATACTTTCCTCTCCTTTACCAGGTTCCATTGGGACAAGCAACCAAATTAGATCATACTCTATTTCCGAATATTTGACGTAGTTTTTAGAAGAGATTTCTCCAAATAATGGAATCTGATTAGCTTTTACAAAATCCCAAACTTCTTTTTTTGTATTTAAAGACCCACGGAAAGGTATGGCATTCTCATATCTTCTTAAACAAACAATCCAAGAGTCAGAGTCATTATTCTTTGAATCATTTTTAATTGAATCTAACTCCACTCCAGACTGAAAAACTTGAATAAAATTTTCTTTAGATAATCCAACCTTTATTTCCTCCTTCAAAATTTGGTAGAATTTACCTGAAGCCCTATTGTAGTTTGCAACATCAATAAATATATCTTGCTCAGTGCTGTTCTTATTACCATAAAATATATATATAACATCATTCTTAAGTAATAAATTCTCAAGTCTTTCCTTGCTAATCATAATCTTCTCTAATGAAGAAACTGGAAATACTACCTGATTTTTTAACCATTCTATGATCTCATTTTCTTCTCTTCCTCCATAATATTCTTCTGGTATCTTATTTCTAAAAAACTTCAAAGCAGGATAATCATTTATTTGATACTTTTCTAATGTTTTAATATTCCTCTCTCCATTAATCTTTGCCACATTAACTTTAATATTTGCTAATTCTTCACTGAGTTTCTCTAATCTTTCTATTATTGTCACACATGCTGCACAGTCATCTGTATAAAAAATCACTAAACTGTGTTCATTCTTTGTAATAAATTCATTAAAATTATCCTTATTTAATTCTGTCAAATTCCCTCCTTGAACTATTGACAAATACAAGAAAAACAAAACTATATTTAATGTTAACAAGATCCTACAACTCATTTTTGTTCTTAAAATGCTGAAAATAAATAAATTATGCTACTTGAACAAAATATTCTACTTCTGCGTTATCTTGCACTTTTCTTTAATTATATTTTCCTTCTCAAATCTGTAAAGTCTTTCAAATTCACTATTATTTTTTATTATTATTTTTTATTTATTTATTTATTATATTCATGTTTAATGAATTCCCCCCTAGTAACAATTTTGCTGGCAAATGGCGCCACCTACCAGTGGGGGTATCGGTACCGGTCATTCAAGTCTGCGCGCCAAACACTGGCTTCTTGGCGGTAAATTTTTGTTTGGTAGAAAAGAATAAAGTTTATGCCCATAACAAATTAGAAGCGCCGGTATTGGGCCGCTGGCGGTAAGTATACAGAAATGCATTTCAGCCAAAACAGAACAATTAAACAAAAAAATACAAAGAAAAAAAAGTAAAAAAATAAGCGAAATTAGAGTAGTCTGAATTGAGTTCGTTAATCTATGATTCAACGTCTCGAGAATTGGACTTAATTAGATATAAAAATAATCCGAGGACATTTTTACTCCACGTGCCGGCCGACCCATTTTCAAGTTGAAAAAAAAAATTCCAACGAATTTCTGTTAGGTGGCGTTAGTTATTTCAACTAATACTTCTAAGAATACATTCAAAAGAATGTAAAGGCATCTCAGACCTTCCCATCCACTTATGAAAAGCATAGTAAAGTAACGTTCTATATAAATAAAACATTATCTATACCCCACTTATTGTCTATGGAGAATCTCGAGCTTAATTTCGCCTATAACTACTTTAAAAAAAAAGTCAGTTCATGAATATAACATAAATAAATTCCATATGAAATGTAAATTTAGATATAATAATCAAAAGCTTTATTTCGATTTCTTCATTCTTTAAGCAAAACTCCGTCTGTAGAATAGTAATAAAAAGATCTAATTAAATTAAGTTAAAAATCTTTCCAGCTTGTTTAAATGATTAATGATACTTTCCATTTCCTCCTAATTTAAGTAAATGTAACTGCATTTCTATATCTCATGGATTGTTATGGCGTCAATAATATATACCAAAATGTAGAACCCTGTGATTGACATAAACTCTACGGTAAAAAAGAGCAATGGCACCCGAGATTCGTTACTTTTCGATGAAGTTTGATCCAATAAAATAGTAAAATAATCCCAAATATTGGTCTTCGGTATCATCGGTATCAATTTTTAAAAGTCCTAATTAAAAGTATAAATACCATGATTTCATGTATATATTATGTATATTGGTCATGATGGGGAAGGAGATATTCTAGAATCTGGTGTTTAATGTTCATACGGTTGCTATATTAATGTAATATTGATGTCAAAGTTTAAATTTCCATAAGAGATTAAATTTAGCAGCAAAAATGAAGTTATATGATTAACATTTACTCAAGTATAAAGAAAATTGTCAGGTTTGCAGACATAAAGTTCCTCCACATAAAAATAAATTCAGTGGATTGACAGATTTTTTGCACGCTTAACTACTTGAAGTAGGTCATCATTCATTTTAATTATACTTGAAAGAAAGTAAATTCATATAACGTGGAATAAATGCTGTTACATGGAATAATCAATTTTTGCTTATAATATAGAAATAATGCTCGGTACCGCTTGAGAATTAATAACTCCAATGAGAATAAACCCAAACGATAAAAAAACTCTTTTTCTACACAAATTTTCAGTGGAAGGAGAAGAATAGAGTTGTTTGATCTTCATTGCAATATTCCAATTACACCAGACTTATCACAATATATACGTAAACATCTCTCCCCCTTTAACAATAACCAATAATTGCACCATATTCCATATCCATTTTCTAGAATCAAGATATCTAATATTAAAACTCCAATATTCAAGAGGAAAGGAAAAAAAATACCAATAACCAAAAATACCAAACTTACCTCTTATATTCTATAAATATATATCTCTTAAACCACAATATTTATAGATGGAAAAAAATGGCGTGGTTCTTAAATTAACTAATTCTGAAGTATTAATTGTCCACAATTCCCATTTTAGTAGTATATCTTTTGTGAGAAAAGGAAAAAATTAACAAAAGTTGTTCCCTCAGAGTTAAAAAGCTCGATATTATTTAATATTCTCGTCACTTATGATCTGAATTGGATTTCAAAATCATCATTGGGACCAAATCTGCACGAAGTTTTCTATAGTTGAATGCTCATCCACCTATTCCATATATAAGGAGTTTCAGTTATGTATCCAATTATACCTTAAAATGAGAGATAAGCATTTTAAAATGAAATACATAATACGAAACTGAAATCGTACATAATTATTTTATTCCCCAGGTCTCTTAATATATCCTTTTATTTCTCTTTTCAAAATTTATTTATTTATTTTATTATTTCTCAAATTAATATTATTATCACTTGTAGAAAAACCGCCTAAAACTTTGTCTCCATTTGGCGGGTTTGTTTGGGCGGTAACTTCTAATTATTTATTTAAGCATTAAAAATTGAAAAGCCTTTGTAAAACTTGGTTAAAGGGTTGGAAACAACAAATCACTGATTCATCACAATTAGTTTTTTGTTGTTTGAATAGATTTATTTCATGTTCTGCGTAGTTTAGGTTGCAAATTGTGGGGCTAGGGCAGGGTTCTGGTATGGTATCCACTTCACTATAGTTAGAAATTTCTGAGAAGTTATCCCTGATTCCTTTGATATAACCTTCAACGGTTGACTTTATACTATTAATTGTGGAATTTTCTAATTGGTACCTTACCAGATACGGAAGAGAGCTGGTATTTTCTAATTCACATTCCAAGTCAAACTGCGTTTTTGCCTCTTGTATTTCTACTATTCTAATTAGAATTTTTATCATGATTTCCTTTTCAAATATGGTGAACACAACGTTAATTAAAATATGGATGAATGAGTGATCTTTAGGAAACGAAATCTGGTGTTTTTCTGTGAATGAGACCCATATGTCCAAAATTCCTGTTGAAATTTTTCTCCTGTATTGTATGTCCCTTGATGCTCCTTGCTCGAGGTGGAATTCTGATTTATGATTATTTTGATTTTCGCTTTGACCATTCCACTCGCTTATGTTCAATTCAAATGTCTCTTTTGGGTCCAAGACATACTTACCATAGAACGAATTGCTGGTTAGTATTTTTGCCAACTCTATTGCCGTAATTGAAACAATACAACCTGGGAATATGTTGGGCAAAGGTGCAACTTCTGAAATTGACTTCTCCGTGATATCTGCTCTTCTGCTTACTGGCATGTTAGCATTGTATAGAGAAAAACTACGAATTTTTTGATTTACTTTATTGTCCATTTTCTTTAATTTGCTTAGAGCATTCTTTCTTTCGTTATAAATCTTATATGCCTTCAGAATGCACTCTTCATTATCTCCCAAAATATAACTTACCCCAGTTTTTGTTACTATTTTCATATCTCTTCCTTCATTTTGCAATTCAATTTCTGTAATATGTTCAAAAGGAAGCACAATCCACTCTCCTCTGGAGACTTTTGAATTATCAGCATTAAATGAAGTAGCAAAAGCTGTAGCTGCACTAGGCGCTAGGATTCTAGATATATTCAGACTGCTTCTGCTTACTAAATGCAACACCATAAGTTGCTTTTCCATGAATATTACGTCGCACTTATAGGACCCCAGCCCCACTCCACTAGTACGAAGAGTGCATTTGTAAAATCCGTTCAGTTCGTAAATCTGGTTAAACATAGAAGAGTCCCCAGCTAAAACATCTTCCTCCTTTTCAATCTTATCTTCTGTGTCACAATTTGAATGATTTCCGGAATTCTCCGAATTTATTCCTTTAAGGTTTTTGGCCAGTTTTTCTAACCACCAGCTCATTTAACTCCTAAATTCTTTTCTCTTAAGCTTCAGCTCAACTTTTATTTTCTCTTTAAATTATCAAATTTTCATAAATTACCTATTATTAGAGAATTTTCTGACATTGCATGCAATTTTCTGAAATTTCATTAATTTTATTTTGGAGCCTTTTGACATGGCTCCACCAAATCCCAGTTTGGGGGGGGGGGCACTAATATATCGAAATTTGACTTGTTAAAAAACCTTGAAATTCCCGTAAAACTCGACTCTTCAAATCAAATCTTTTGGTTAATTAATTAATCACGATTTTTCTAAGGATTTAATCACTTTTGCTTTTTAGCAAATAATGAAGAGTTACCCATTTTAAATGGCATCCCTCGGAATTTTTATTTGCTACTAAGCCTTTGGAGTACTGGACAAAAATTGATTTTTTTGAATTTAAAAAGCATTCATATAATTCTGTTTATCCATCTCCAAAAACCCTTTCAAAATTAAGAAAGCAAACCTCATAATACTGTTCTGCTTTGATGTACCCAAAAATAATTAATAATAAACTTTTAGACCCCGTAATACTGTTAATTGATTGGTACATTTACATTTTTTCAAACCCAATATTTCTATCTTTAACTGTTTTTCTGGCTTTTATTGTTCTGGGAGATTTTATTACAAGAAAAAATACCACAAAAAAAAGTTTATATGACTCCTCAAATGCTCATCAGAATGTGGGTCAGAATTTTAAAATCTTAAAGAAAATTAGTGATCCAACCAAAATCACCTTTGGATGTTGCTGGAGATATGAATCAAAAAAAAGAATACACGGGAGGATGTTTGTAAATGATAGATCAATTACATTTTTTTCACCAATCTCCATTACTTATGAGGACGAGGAAATTATCTCAAAATACTCATCATTCCCAGGCATGCTTATTTCAGACGTTACCAGAATCACTTTGGAATATACCCAAATCTCAAGGATGATAAGAAGAGGTGGGAACAAAGTTTTAAGAGGAAGTGTAACTTTTGAGATTTATAATAATAGTGATATTCCTTTGGAATTAATGTTTTGTCATTTTTTCCATACAAAATTTGTGTATGACTTACTTTCTAAGTTATGCACTTTAAGCTGCAGTAGAATTCATGAAACCATTCTGGGAGACAAAAATAATGATTTGAGTAATATTGTTCAAGAAAAGTCGAATTCAATTGAAAATTTGGAAACTCTTGGGCAATTGGACCAGCAGACTGAGTCTATAATTCCAAATGAACCTTGCAATTTTCTCTTGTATAATATCCAAGATAAGATATCTATAAATAGTAACTGTGATTTAGATCAACAAAATGTATATGGAATTCTGGCCAAAAAAGCAAGTAATGACTTTGAAGAATTTATTAATGAATATGACTTTAACTCCATCCCAACATCATCTTTGTCAAATGTTTTTCCCTGTGTTATTATACCTTTAAAAGTCCAGAAAATTTTCTCAATTCTTTCAAACCATAGCCTGGACAGTTCAAAAAATGTTTACCTTAAATATTTGGAACTTTCTGGGGCATCAAATATTCAAATAGAATCTAGGCCTTGCAATGGAGATTTTATGCTTCACTTTACATATACATATGAAAAGTCTTTGAACATAGCAGGTGGTTTTGGAATTGGGTGGCTTTCTAAAAATGTGATGAATATAAAGTGTCAGGAGGACTTAAAGCTTTATAATCTTGGCAATGAGGTTGGTATTTTGCTTTGTGTTGATGTTAATTCTACAGGTATTCCTGAAAATGATGCCTTTACTGTGAATATAAGGCACAGGTTTACGCCTTTTAAAACCATTTCAAATATTCAGAGTTCAGCCAGCTTGGAGAATGACATAAATAATAAGCCAGAGGACGAAAAAAATAACTTTGTTCAACTTGACATTGAATGTGATGTCACTTTTTATAGATTTTCTTTTTTTAAAAGTCCTGTTGTTCAAAATGCAATTGAGCAGACTAGAAAAGGTCTTGATCTTATAAGATCCTCCTGGAAAATGCATTACTGAATTAACATAATAATTTGATAAATTAATTTTAATAAGTTTTTAACAAATTCCTGGATTTAACAAGAAGCTGATTTATTTTTAATTGATCACGCTGAATATAGAAATTACATTTATATATAATGTGAATAATATTTGAATTATATTTAATAGGGGTTTAGTAATATTCTCATTACTTCTTAAATCATTTTTTTAATTTCTAAAATATGTTTGATCTCATCTTTTCTCCTACTTTAGTAGTAACTTTTATTCACTTATTCACTTTCTTCATTAATTATCATACTTTTCAATATTTGTCTTAAATCCAACTTTTTTGTTGTGGACTTTCTATACCTATTTTTCTCCATCTGTTTTTTTTCAGATAATAATTTGATGCTGTTTTGTACTTTCTTTTTTTCTCTTTCAATTTCTTCCTTTAACCCAAATAAGACTTTCTTTCCAATAGATAATTTACCTTGTTCTTGCCCATCTGTATTTTTATCCTTTTCCAAATTCTCCCTCTTAAGCTTTGTCTTTTCCTTATTAATTTTCTCACCAATGATTTGTAAATCTGTCATATACTTTTTTTTCAAATTTAAATAGTCATTTTCTATTTGAATTCGATTTGCTTCAACTTTTAAGGTAAGTTCCTTCCTTTTTTGAGCAAATATGTTAATTTTCTTATCCCAAATATTCTCAATATGGCTTTTAATTAATAAAAAGTAAGTTTCCAATTTCTTTTGGCACTTCTCGTAGAGCCCTTTACTAGTTGTTTCTAATTTTGCCAACGCATTCTCGAGTTGTTTATTCTCATCTAATTTAACGTTTGAAATACAAAGTTCAGATGGTAATCCACAATAACTTTCACTCTGATTATTACTTTCATTATTGTCGTTCTCTTTCATCTTAACTATAAAACTGTAATTAGTTACCGTAATATTATCATCAAAAGTTGTATCTGGACTATAAATAGAATCTTCTATGGACATTTTACCAACAGAGTTGAAAGACTTTAAAGAGTAATCACAGAATCCTCTTTTTTTTGATTTCCCCACTATGTCTTCAATTATCTCAGTTCCAGTTATGCATGATAAGTTATCACAGAGATCTGCTGAATTCAATGAGCTAAAACCTTTATTTTCACCTTCTGTGACTTGCTCAAGTATTTTATTTATTCCGGAAAATATTACTGACTTACTCTCTTCCGTATCGTAATTTTCTGTTTTATCAAAATAAACTTCTGGAGATTTCTTTCCTTCCAAACAATATAAATTTTCAGCTACCTCCTTTATTTTTGACCTTGACTTTTGTTTCACTTTATTCTTTTTTTTATTATTTAACCCAATATTAATGATTCTTGGAGTTTTCTCTTCATTATCATTAGAATCTTGCAAAATTTGATCAGAGTTTGTTCCTTTAATTTCTGAAATCCACATATTCAATAATTTATCTGATCTAGAATCAGATGAATACTTTCTTTTTTTCATTTCAATTTCTTCATATTCCTTGAATTCGTCAAAACTACCCAAAATTGGGTAATCGTTATCAAGAACTGCTATTTCTATGGGAACAATTGACCTAATCTCCCCGTCATTCTCTTCAATTTGTTTGGTTTTTCCTTTTTCTATGATCATCTTATTCTTCTCCTCTTCATCTTTGTCTTTTTCGTCTCTTGCTTTAATTCTTGTTGGGCAAGTAGTATCGTTTTCCATAGTTATACTCTTCAACTTTTCTTTATCTATACTATCCTCAAAAGCTTTTGGAGCTTCTACTTTCTTTATTACGGGAGTAAATACCTCATTCTTTTTTTTATTTCCTTTTTTTGGAGGTTCTTTATTTTCCTTGAATTCAACACTCACTTCTGGATTTGAATTCTTCTTCTCTGGACTTTTTCTTCCAAAAACTATGTCTCGTACAGTATTGTAACTAATTCTTTCATGAGCTACACCTATCTTCAGTTCATTATACTCCTTGTTAAATCTGCCTCTTTTTAGCCCAGATGCTCTTTTATTTGTTTGGTCTAAAGTTGATATTGGGAAATTAACTTTCTTTTCTTCTTTTCCATCATGATTATCTTTAAAACCATTAAATGTATCCACATTATTCTCTAAAAAGCGATTTTCAGCTAAATTCAATTTTGAAACACCTTCTATTTCATTATGTTTGGCCTTTATTATATTCTTTTCTTGTTCTTTTTCGTTATTCGTTTGCTTTTTTCTCTTAATTTCTTCTTTCTTCTCAATTTTCTTTCTTAACTCATATTCCTTTTTTCTCCTAAGTTCCTCTTCCTTTGCCTTTTTAAGCTCTTCTTCCTTCTTTTTCTTAAGTTCTTCTTCCTCCATTTTCTTTCTCAGTTCCTCTTCTTTTTTTCTCCTAAGTTCTTCCTCTTTTGCTATTTTAAGCTCTTCTTCCTTCTTTTTCTTAAGTTCTTCTTCTTCCATTTTCTTTCTCAGTTCCTCTTCCTTTTTTCTTTTTAGTTCTTCCTCTTTTGCTATTTTAAGGTCTTCTTCCTTCTTTCTCTTAAGTTCTTCTTCTTTCATTTTCTTTCTCAGTTCCTCTTCCTTCTTTCTTTTTAGTTCTTCTTCCATTTTCTTTCTCAACTCTTCTTTCTCTTTCATGAGCTCTTCATTTTCTTTATTCTTTCTTAATTCTTCCTCTTCTTTTTTTCCCAAATTTTCTTCGTTGATTGTCTTCTCTTCATCCATCCCTTTTCCCTTAGTCTCTACCTTCTTTCCTTTTTTAAGGTTTATAAACTTTTTAGAAGTAGCCTTTACCATTTTATTTGCCTTTTCCTCCTTGTCTTTACATGACTGGACTTCTTTGTTGGTTCTTTCCTTTTTTTTTAACCCTCTTGTTGTCTTTACATTGTTACATTCAAGTTTGTGTGAATCCTTACTATTCTCATCTAATACAGAACCCAAAACTTTAAAATTATTTAGATTTGATCTTTTCTCCTTATTCTCTTCTTCTAATTCAAGCCTTCCATTTTCTTTTCCAATTTTAATATCTATCTCATTTTCATTTAAAGTCTTACTCATTACTTTTAATTTAGGGTTCTTAGATGTCCGAATACACTTATTTCCTTTATTATCAACCCTATTTCCTTCTAAATCATAGTCTTTAAAATTATCAATGACTTTATTGTTTAAATTTCTTTCATCTTTTTTGGCTTCTAATTTTACTTTCTTATCTGTTTCTTTACTTTTATCTATTAATTTAGCATTAGAAATATTCATAGTATCTTCTTGAGCCTCTTTCTCAGTAAGATCTAAATCAGGTTCTGAGCTTTCAGAAGAACTCTCAGAGCTCATTATCTCCTGAGTAAGCTTCTTCTGTTCATTGATTAATCCAATTATTATTACATCCGCCTTGCTCTTTTTTTTTTGAGATTCTGAAGTATTCGAATCTAATCTTATATTCTCTTTTTCCAATTCTTTAATTACCAAACTACTACTCCTCTTATCAGAATCTGCCTGATTACACTCTTTAGATGAAACAAAGCTAACCCTTTTCCCATTATTATCAACTTGATCATATAAATTGTTTTTGTTTGAGGTTGTTTTTGATGTAGCAATTGACATCTTAACATTCTCAAAATTTCGATATTTATTCTCAACACTTTCTAAAATAATATTATTTTGATCCATTTTATTCAATTCTTTAATTGAAACCATTCTGGAATCCACTATTGAAACTTTTTTTGAAGGTGTTTCTATATGTTTCATCCCTTGAATCTTTTCGATCTTACTTGCCTTAAATATACCCATTATTTGATATGCTTGCTCTTCATCAATATTTAATGATACTTTAAGTATTTCATTCTTCATTTTGGGATTACTTTGTAAATTCTCAATATTAGTTGAAAAGATACCTGTCCAGCTTTGCCTTATTTCCAGAATTTCACTAAAAACCACATTTATGTGAAGATTATTCTTATCATCATCGTATACAACAGATTGAATAGTCCAATAAGGTATTTCAGCTGTTGAAACAAATGGCTTTAAATCTTTTTCCTCTGTGTTCCCCATCTCATTTGAATATCTGGATTGATTACTTTGGAATTCCTCTTCATCTATATCACTGTGAAATACAATACTAAATGCACATATATCAATTACTGTTACCAATTTTATTTCTAAACCCTGCATCTGAATTAATACCCCAGACAATGACCAAATATTTTTTCCATTTCCGTTGCAAGTTTTGTTCCATGGAGTTAATAATCCCCTAAAAGAGAAATCAAAGTTCTCCGTTCCAATATATCTAATCTGTATTAAACCTTCTGGCCATGATGATCTAAATATTTCAATAAAGCTATATTCTTCATTATCTCCTTGAGAGTAACCCCTTACATAGTTTGATTTTTTTAAAACCCTCCAAATCAATTCCCCCAATATAAGCTGTAAATCAAAATCTGGACATGACAAAAATCTTTTTACACACATTTCCATAAATGAAGAAGGCAAATAACAGTTAGATTTCTGAATGCTTGAAATCTGCTGTATCATTGTATAGGTTTCTGCTGCATATCTACTTGAAAGTATAAAACTATGACCAATATATAAATACTCTAAAACTCCATTGCAATTTGACCTTTTTGGTTCAATCATTGTTAACAGTTCAAATAAGCTATGGATATACTTTTCAAGCATTACCTTATCTTTCATAAAAAACGGAGTCTGGTCATTAATGTACCTTGTTCCAGCCTCCTCTATATCCATCTTACTGATTTCCAAATAATATTCATCCACCCATGACATAAAAAACCCTGTAATATTTCTTAATAATGTAGCAAATTCCAATTCTACAACTTGATTTTTCTGAGATACGGATACTATTGAATAGTACACATTCATGAGGACCTTAATATTTTTTTCATCAACATCATTATATTTCAAACTTTTATACTGTATCAATGTCCACACAAATCTTAAACAACTATTACAACAAGACCAATTGTTATCTTTTAAAGAATCTTTTAAAATCTCAAAAATTTTTCTTTTTAAGCTTTTACCTATCTTTATTGGCTCATTTCCCTCTTCTCTTTCTAGAATTTCAACTATTCCATCTTCTATAACAACCCATAAATCCTCATTTCCCTTTACTTTCTCAAGCTTTTTTTCAAGCTCCAGCTGCCAACCCATTGGTTTCAACGGCCATATATTTAATTCTATTATTTCTTTTCCTTTCCTCTTTATCTCAGATTTACCACTTTACTCCCTTTTTTACTAGTCAATTTTGTTTTTTACCTATTTCTCCCCTCACCATTATTCTGTAATTTTTCCAATTGCATGCATGCAATTGGCATTTACTTTTTGCATACCGGTGTGTAAACATGCAAATATTAAAAAAATAAAATAAATAGAAAAATGTTTTTAATAAAAAAGTAAAAACTTTTAACCAACAATTTTGTATAATTAACAAGTAAAAATAGTTTTGTATAATTACCACTATATTGTATGGGATTTTAACAAAACAGATTAAAAAGAGATTAATTAGCAAGTATAATATATTTTATTAGGCAAAGATTCTATTTATTAATTATAATAAATGCCAGCTGGGTGTATTCAAATTCATTGATCACATTATTAAAATAATTTTTTTTTTAACGAGACTTTTTATTTCCTCCCATGTGAATAGATGCATAACCTGTCGGTGGAGCATCATCAATAGGGGCCATTAAATGTTCAACATCGGATTCTGAAATTAGGAGTTAATAATAATTAGTTTATAAAAAAATTAATCAATCATTTGATTAGACTTACCTAGAATTGCGAGTTTTTCGGAATCAGTCAACATTGAGCCACCTGCCATATCTTCGCTTGCAGAACCTAAGGATTCAGAAGTAAATTAGTTAAATTTAATTTATCAAATACTGAAACCACTTCAAAAACTTACCATCAATCTCTGCAGGAATTTCAACACTATCTTCCTCGCTCTCTTCACCTTGTGGTACAGTCATAGCATTTTGTGCTGCCATTGCTTGCTTTTGTATAATCTGAGAAACAGGTTTTCCATTAATAGTAAGGAACGGTTTGCCTTGATTACTATCCTTGATTACAATATCAATTCCAGAAGGTTTTAGCTCTCCAACATTGCTCCCAGCAAGCACATTTTGCTTCTTTGAAATTGCTGGTAATTTACCACTTTTAACTCCAGTTTTTTCACATAAAACCATTTCTGTGATTGCATTCATCCAAGTATTCCTCGTATTTCTGTTCTTTGTACATATATTGTAGCCTATTCCTTTGTCACTCCTGATCCCAAAACATACATCCGAAATACTATCTAATGGTAATAATATAGATGTTGATGATAAAGTTACGATGGGTAATTTTCCACGAAATAATTGAAAATTTCCTTCGTGAATAATACCTGAAACTCTTTCCAAAGCATCTGGATCTCCTGGAATTAGCTGTCTGTCTAGTAATCCTTTTAGTCCTTCCCCACATTGACCAATTTGCTCATCCTTTACAGTCAAAAGTGAGCTTCTAATTGTTCCTACCAATGATTCAATGTCACTCATTGTGTACCCTTTATTCACTAGCTGGTTAAATACGGATTCAGACAATCCGAGGCGGCTTTTTGCTCCTTTAACTAATGCAATGGATGCAAGGAATAATGCTACTATTGAAATTCTCGCCATATTACCAATTTTTTCAATCAAAAATTAATTAAAAAAATTAATTATAATTCAATAAAATATTTAAATTCCTATTTTTCTTCCTAATTTACCCATAAAATTTATCTAAAATTAAATAAATGTAAACTGCAATTATCCAATACCGGCATTTATGCAAGTCATTTTGCCAATTACGTATTTAATTTTGCATGAATATTTGCATACATGCGCATGCACGTTCAAATAATTTTTTCCACATGAAAATAAAATTTAAATTAAAAAAATCACTCGGAATAGAGTAAAATTAGCGACTTAAGTAAGCCATAGACTATTTATGGTGTATGGAGCAAAGAGTATTTGAAAGGGGGAAAAGAAAAATTCAAGGTCGGGGATTTTAAGGTTAAAAAAAAAGAATATCGTTTAAATATTTTATTTTAATTTAATAGAAAAATAATAACAAAATAAACCAAGCTTTATTTGATTGTTTACTACCATTTTTATTATTTTTCAAAAAAGCATGGAAATACAGCTATCAGGAATAAGGTTAAGGTTCACATAAAAAGATATTTTTTCCCCTTCAAATCAATTGGTAAAGATGCCAGCAAGGATTCAAATTTTCTTATTGACTTTGTTTTTTATTGAATTATTTAACCATTCAATATCACAGTTCACAACAAACTTGAAGATAATTGAGTCAAAGTCTGTTTGTTTAGATTCAGATATTTATGATCCAGAAACGGATATGTGTTTGGCAAAAGTCAATGCAGTAAGTAAAAGTTGTCCCAAGAATTGCCAGAAGTTCGGTCATCTTTGTAAATGCATAGATGAAATATCAATACAATCAATATGCCCAAGTGAATATGTTCTTTTTCCAAATATGAAAAAGTGTATTAAAGTAGAAAAGCTTTCACCTTCAATAGAATGTGGAAGAGGGTTAAAATGGTCAGAAAGTAAAAACATATGTGTTGGAGTAAAGTTATCAGCACCGGAATTAACATGTACTAAAGAAAATTCAATGTTGATTAATGGAGTTTGTTTGACTTATAGTAAGAAAAGTATTCAAAATGTTTGTGAAGATGGATTTACTATTAGGGAAAAAAGCGTATCAGAAAAATTACAAATTTCACAAACGATAAAATTAAATACAAGAGGAATGAAAACCGGAAATCAAAATAATGATGAATTAAAAGCAAGTACAAGTTATTGTGTAAGAGAAATGAGCTCACCTTATACCTTAGAATGCCCTACAGGCTTTGTTTTGGACAGAGAAAGATCTTCATGTATTGCTCAAATTTTTAGTGATCCAGAACCTAAATGTTTGCCTGGTTTTGAATTTGATAATAAATCTGAAACATGCGTAAATAAATCATTAGAAGATTCCTCCAGCAAGATATGCCCAAAAGATTATTTGCTTGAAGGTTTTCAGTGCGTCCAATCATCTTTTGTTAGCCCTGAGCCACGCTGCAGAGAAGGTTTTATTTTTAGTGTTGAAGATGCAGCATGCATTAAAGTATTACGTGAACCTCCATCATATAGATGCCCCTCTGACTTATATATCTTTGATGGAAAGCAATGCGAATTAAGAAAAACAGAAAAACCTACAATAATGTGTGGAAATGGCACTATTTTGGATGAGAAAGCACAAAAATGTATCAAAATAAATGTAATGCCAGCAAAAATGGTTTGTTCTGGAGGAAGACAGTATGATGAGGACAAAAAAAAATGTTATGTAATTCAGGTTCAAGAGTCTACCAAAGTTTGTTCAAATGAAGAGAAATATGATGCACAAAAGGACAAATGCATCAAATTAGAAGAGAAGAAACCGGTTAAAGGTTGCCCTTATGGCTTTAATTTAAATGAGTTAGAACAAATTTGCGTTCAAGAAAATTTTGAGGAGCCAAAACTATCTTGTAAAGCTCCTTTCTCCTTAGTTGGGGGGGACTGCTTGTATAATGCTGAAGTTAAACCTGAATATGTCTGCCCTGAAAATTTTGAATATAGTGAACAAAATTCTCAGTGCCTAATGCAAAGTACTGTGCAACCTGAAAATGGATGTCCCGAAGATTATAACGAATATATTGACAAATGTATCAAACAAATAGAAAAAAACCCAGTCAGTGTGTGCCCTACAAATTCAAAGTTAAATACGATTACAAATGAATGTTTTATTTCCAAAAAACCTTTAAAAGAGTGTCCTGCAGGCTTTAAACCAACTAACGATTCTGCCAATCAATGTATTCAAGTATTAAATCAAAATAAATTACAATCTCAAGTTATTGAAAATACCTACAATGGTAATAGTAGACATCATGCTGGCCATCATCCAGCTTTCTATGGGGATTACTATAGTCATCCCAATATAAGAAACTTCGGAGATGTTAGTAACGACCAAACAAAAACAATTCAATTATCAAATCCCAATAGAAGAATAGGAGACTCAAGTTTAAATGCTTATCCTCAAAACATTAAAACTGCACCCAAACCTAGAAGATGATAATCGTGACATTAATTAATAAAAAATGAAGTTGGCGCCAACTACTTTTATATAATGAATGCCAATTAGTAATTGTTACATTGAAGTTAAAATTGTAAACATAAAGAGATATTGTTTTTCAATTTCAGATTAAGGATATATTGGTGTATCCGCAGATTTAATGAATATAATTCCATGAGAGGTTAATAATGCTTAAAAAGTTAGTATCTGGGAATGAAGAGCAACCTGCAAACAAGACTCTATATTGCAAGAATTTGAATGATAAAATCAACAAAAAAGATCTAAAGATTTTATTGTTTGAACTTTTTATTCAGTTCGGCATTATTGAAAAGATTACAATAAGGGGAGGAAGTCCTTATAGAGGCCAGGCATTCATTTTGTTTCAAGATTTAAATAGTGCAATTAATGCAAAGAACAGTATTAATGGTATGTATATACTAGGAAAACCAATAAATATAGAATATGCAAAAACAAACTCAATTTTGAATCCTGGATTATCAGAAAATAAGAGTTCAGGATATATATTGGGACCAAAAATGCCAGAAAGCAAGTAAAATAGAATACAGAAACAAAAAAAATACATTAGAAATGCAACACAAATTATTCTTTGGTAAACATAAACCCTTTTCAAAATAATACATTTTGGCTCTTATTGCCGAATATTCTCACCTAAATTCTCGACGCTTTCTGTATCAACTTTGGCAATTTTGCGAAGGACTCCTTTGACTGAATCTAATTCGTTAGTAGATCCAAAGCCTCTTTCTCCTCTACTAGTCTCATCCAATTCATTAACAATACTAAAATTAATTTTCTCACCATTGAAAGAAACAATTTGGAAGTATCTCTCACCCCTTTTAACTTGGAAGTCAAAGTCCTTAATGTTGTCAACTGGTGCAATAAGTTCTCCTCTATATCCTGCATCAATTAATCCAATAGAGTTACAAAGCCTGATTGGCGACTTTGAAATGGAGGATCTTGAAAATAAAAGGTAACTAACTGGTTTTCCGTCTTCATTATGTGCTGCAGCCTTAAATCCAAGTTTAATGTACGCAGTTTCTCCTGCTTTAATTACCTGGTCTTCAATAATAAAAAGGTCCAGTCCCGAATCACCATCATGAAAGGTGGTGTGGTTCTTGTAAAGTTCTTCAGCAGTAGGGTTTAAAGGTAACAAAGATAGGTGCATACTTACTAAAATGTATTAATAAAAAATGTTTATTCGATTATTTAATGAATATTTGAAAAAAATAAATCCTTAAATTTGATAATTAGAGTTTTATATAATTTTTCCAAAGGGAAGATATTTACTTAATATTTTTCTATAATTAGTATATCTCTCCTATCTTTTTTAAACATTTAAACAGTATAGTTTTGGCGGTAAACCCCCGCGTATGTTATTCCTTGTGGGGAGTATACGTTAGCATGAAAAATAGTGGGTGTTAAATAAAAAAGAAGTAAATGAAAAAATATAAATTTTTAAAATTCAAAATGGATTCTATAGTATGAGACGAAAATAAAGCTTCTAGATTCGTGAACATTAGTACTAGTTGGGTTTAGGGACCAACGACAACAGTATTAGTGGTAGTAACGAAGTCATTGCAATTGTTATAAGAAGAGTATTACATATCGTTCTTAATGTTTCGAATGAGAACCTTGGTAAGACTTTCCTTTGAGTTGAAGTTTATTTCATTACATTGTGACTCAACATATTTGGAAACCAGAATAACTGGGAGAGGGTTTGGAGGGTCCACTTTCTTGATTGATTCTGTATCAATAGGTAAGGGGGTCTCACCCTTAAGTTTTCTCTGTTCATTTTCAATTCTCCTCCTTTCTGCCATTTGCTTGATAAGATATTGTTGTTTGTTATAGTCTCTATATCCTTTATAGAGTTTCTCTTGTTCAATTGATAAAACATCGATAGATTCTGCAAGGTTTAATAGGGCTTTGTCATTTATGTCAAGGGATGTCTTTGTGTTTATGGACAATTCGGAATAGTCAATGGTGGATTGGAGTACATCTGATGTCATCCAATCAAGTAGAAAAGCTTCAGAAAGTACCGGGTATTTAATATAAATAGGAACTTCAACAAGGATGTCTTCAAAACTAGCATTCTTAAATATGTGGAAGTTATCTTCATCGTCTTTAAGCCTGTTTGCATATTCAGAGTTCAAAGTAAAAGCTTTGAAGGCATTTTTCTTTCCTTGAATAAGTAAATCTGGATCGATACTTAAAAGAATGGCGTTCTTACTCTCAATGTTATTATAGTAAGATAATAATGTAGAGACGATTCCGTAATCTTGGAAGTCATCCAAACGTATAAGCTGGTACCATCCAAGTACAAAACAATCTGAGCGTATTTCATGCATAAGCTCAACCATTGCAGCCTGGTATTTATCAACTTCCTCAACAAGACGCTCTTCTAAATCCAATTTCTCTGATTTGTCCAACTTTCCTCCACTATAGTTAGACATTAGAGACGGGAGCAAATCTTCTCTTGTTGGAAGTTGAAAAGATGTTGTAATTTCAAGCTTGTTACCGTATTCCATACCAAGTAATTGGCCAGTAGCATTCATTTGTGAATAGTTCTCTGTGCAATGTTTAATAATCCTCAATATAGCAGAAATGTCTGCCTCCACTGATGAAACTGTTGTTTTAGTAGATAAATGTTTATAGTGAGACGGCCCTCCTGTATTTCCCATGGTATTTCCACTGCTAAAACCATAATGCTGATGATGTCCAGCCCCTGATGTCAACGAACCTTGTGAAAGTTGTTGTCCTCCTGACTGTGACTGAAAATATCCAGATCCTTTTCCTCCTGAGGTGCTTGAGGACACAGTCGGTTGTTGAGTCTCTTCTTTTAAATCCTTCTCCTCAGTTTGCCTGCTAATTCCCCAACCTACATGCTTCGTTGTTTGAGTGGTTCCTTCCATTGAATTGGAACTTAACCCTATAAGGCCGTCTTTTCCCATCATCTTGACAAATTCTTGCTCCTGGAACCGTAATTATGACTATTTTATGCTAGATTCTATACAAATATTAAGGTTTTAAAAATTAAAACCTCCTCGTCAATTTATTATCTCTTCCCCCTTTTATCAGTCATATAGTCAATTAAAACAATAACAGGCATTTTGGCGCCATGGCGCCACAGTTCGAGACGAGTATATTAATCACTATACCGGCCAGTTTACATGATAATTTGGATGGAAAAAAGTAGAAACGAATAAAAGAAGTTATAAGTAAATTAAAATGGAATAATCCTATTCGATAGATTAGTATTTGTGTATTGGTATAATTGGATGACAAAAAAACTAGGTATTGAATAGAATGGACTGTAGGCATGCAGGAAGATCAACTTCGACATTGCCATATAAATATTCATTAAAAAAGCATCCATTGAATATCTGTTTGTTTAGACTCAGGTTTTTATAAAGGTGATTTTTTGTAGAAATCCTCTTCAGTGTGAGATGAGAGGAGTCTAGCTGGTTAAAGAAGTATAGCGAAATTTGTGTTAGCATTATAATATCTTTGTTATGAGAATGTTTTGCTGTCTGAATTAGGTTAAGGATTTCAGACTTGAGCGTCCACCAATTTTTATAACCTTTCTCTGAATTTGAGTCGACTTGTTCTAGGTAACAGTTTGGATGGTACTGTTGAATAATGTGATTTGAAATTGAAAAGCAGAGAGAAAAGTTGTCGATAATGTTAATGTCAATGTTTCCATTTAATGAATTGTTTTTTCTTAGAATACTAAAAGTTTCAAGAACTTTACTCAAAATGGAGCTTAAGATGACCTCTCTAATATAACAAGGAGAGCAACACTGTTTTCTTTTTTGTTGATTGTTTTCATTAAGCTCTGATATGTCATTTTCTATGTTACAATCTGCCAAGGATATGAGGAGATCAGATAGTGCAGGGCGTGATAACCATGTTAAAACATTATCGTCCTTCCAATTGCAGTTTATCAGTGTATTTGCAATTTCTCTACAAATTTGGAACATTACCATACGAATATTAGGAAAATGTGCATATTTTGTGATCATATCAAACATAGCTATTACAAATGGCGGAAACAGACTTTTTTTCTCAAGCCACAAAGTTTGATTTACATTATTTTCATAAGAAACTTCTTTTGGAATAATATAATTTTGAGGTTTGTGAGAGCTTTCAATATTTTTATTGATAAGTATTGAAATATTTTCTGGTCTACACATTTCAGTTATCGATTTAAATGCCCTAATCAAAATTTCAAAGTCATCCAAATCTATACAACCTGTTGAAATGGCCTCCCTGATCTCCTGTATATCTGGAATTTGGTTTATCAGAAAATGAAAGTTATTTTCTTTATTCAAATCAAAATCTATCGTACTAAGAGAACTTCTCGAGTTAATAGTCCCCAAGATTCCGGATTCTATTGATTCCTTTGCAAATTTTCTATCATCTTCATTAAATAGCTCTTTTGAATCCTGAATTACCGAAGTTAGTACTGCGATAAAGTCCACTATAGAATCTTCATTTTCTTCAAACAGGCTTAAGTTCCTACCAGTAGTACTCATTTAGCCGAGAAAATACTATTTCCCATCTATTCAGTATGAATTTGTGAGAATTTTGTTCTCTTTAACCTTATTTTGATTAATTAATTGATATAAGAAAGTCAGCCACGTTTGGCGGGAATGTTGTGCATGCATACATACATGCATAGTTTGGACTAGGTGGGATATATGACTTTTTTTAGGCTTTTAATAATTATTTGGTGAATTATTTTAGAGGTTTTTTGTGGGGTATCTGGATCATGTGAAACAATGTGTACTGGCCAGTTTACAATGTTATTCACAGTATTGGCAATAATTTCATCTTGAAGAGTTTGTAAAGAATGCCTTGTTTCAGGTTTTGTTCGAGTTTTATTCATATCTACTTTAAGCAAAATAGGCACAAAAAGTAAGTTAATTGAATCTTTATTGTTGGCTGGAAGGTAATATAATGGGAAACCACTATTTTCAATATCTTCTCCTTCCCTACTTATTATCGGAGCTGGAAAAAGACCACTAGAATAGAGTTCAAAGATGTATGGTAAGAATAGATTATGTCCACACAAAATAATAGATTTTCCTTGTTTGACTGCCTTTTCAATGTCAACTTGAATTCCTTTAAAAATTTCTCTGGAGTCAATTAAGTAGTTCGAAAAACTAAGATTTTCATTTTCTGGTTTATCATTTATCCTACCATGGTAAATTCTCAATGTTTCTTTAACAGTATTTGTAGATACAACATTTGGAATATTCAAATAATATGATAGATCAATTATCACGGAGGATTTATTTGAGCTTTGAACTCCAAAAATAAGAGGAATAATTGCAAGTTTTGATATAAAAATCTCTTTCATAACTTTAACTTCTTCACTGATATCTCTGTTTATTATCAGTAATGTATTCTTTACTAGCATATCCAAGAATTCATCTTGGCACTCATCAATGCCATACTCTGAAAGAGTATCTAAGATTTTATCTATTTGATCGCTATCGTATATCTGACACGTAATAAGCAACCTCCTAATGTTAAACTTATTTAAAGTTAACATATTACCCACTTTACTACAGGCTGGGTAATTTAAAACTTAAATCAGTTTATATGCTTTCGTCTATCTAAATCAACACACTTAATATCGCTTTCCTTTTGTCAACCATGGTCTAAAAAGTCTTAAAAATGCTTATGTTTGTGTGTGTGTGTAAATATATTACCTATATATACTCAAAAATAAGTTTAAACCCTGTTTTAGTATTGATTAAAATCTTATTTACCAGAAAATATTCACTGATCTTACTTTATCTTAGCATACTGAAAAGCGAATACAAACACCACCTCAAGAAATTCCTAGTTCAAATGTTAAACTTCTACCTTTTGCAGTTATTCCCTGTTTTACTTCTTTTATTTATTTTTTTCATTCTGCATTTTAAGATATTATTAGTCTTATACCGGTACCGCTTAGTAGAATTTGGCGCCAACTGGTTTTTTTTTTTTTACTTTAAAGAAAAAAAGAAAATAAACTAAAAAAAGAATTAAAACCAGCCAAGGAAGACGAAAGAGAGAATCGTTCTTACTCTGAAGTCTGTATGGAACATATCAACTTGAGGGGAGGTTTGGACGAGAAGGTGAATGGCGAGGGACATTCCAGAGGAGAATTATATTTAACATTAGATGAGCTACGTTGGGTACAATTACATGTAGGCCCTGAATTTGGGTTTATTTTATCTCCAGCCATTCCTAAAACTCAGAAACAGAAAAAAAGCAAAACAAAATCAGAAATAGAACACGAAGATAAATGTCTAACAAGGTCTGGAGTTTCTGTTTCAAACAAAAGACAAAGAACTGGTTCTTTATCTGGAAAAAGTGCTTCTGGTTCTATTCTTTATATTCCTGAAGATAAAGGAAACTGTGCAAGTAGTGAAGTTAGTTTTGAAGGGAAAACCACAAGACAGAGTAGTGGTAATAGAGCATCTATGAGCCACGATGCCACATCAAGAGATTATATTGGTGCTAGTAATATTGGGCCAGGTTCTACTAATGTTGCAGTTAATATGAAAAATATAAAGATGATTGATTTTAAAACCTTTTCCTTGGCACTTTTAGACAAGTTAAGTAAGATTCCTGGCTCCAGATGGTTTTTACAGCCTGTAGATCCAGAACTCGATGGAGTCCCAGACTACTTTGATATCATTGAAAACCCTATGGATTTCCAGACTATTCATGAAAAGTTGATTCAAAATATGTACAAGAATCCTTTTGGTTGGCAACTGGATATGAGATTGGTCTTCTATAATGCTTTAAAATATCACAAGCAGGGTAATACTGTGAGAGATGATGCTCTTTCTTTAGCAATTGAGTTCGAAAACAAATGCAAAGAAATCAAAGAAGTGAATCCTTATTATTATACTATTTTACAAGATAAACAAGAGTCTTTGCCTATTTCACAGTTAGAATATGCTGATACTTTGTTGGATAAGCTTGGTACTTTTGATTCAAACACATTAATTAGAATTTATTCTTTATTATTTGACTCCAGTAAGGAGAGTCAGGATTTTATTGATGACTCCCAACCTACCCCAGAAATGATCTTGGATAGGCTTAGATTCAAACCTAAAATAATTCGTGAACAAATTGTATTATTAATCGATTCAATTATTCAAATTGAAAATAAGTACCAAAAAATTGGTCAAAATGCCAAAGATGAGGAGATTGCTAACAAAACTAATTTTCTTAATGATGATGTAGCAATGACTCCAAGCAGTGATGGGAGTAGTTCTGAGGATGCTCAACTTTCTAAAGATCCAGATATTGATGATGAGTTTGATGGCAGTGAAGAATTTGTAAGAATACAAACTGAGAATTCAAATCCACAGCATGATATTCCAATTAATTCAGATACTAATAGCAATGATGATGAACATGAAGACATTTATAGCAACTCCATTCATGGTAAGGAAATTCTTAACTCTTCTTTTACTTCTAATACCTTTCCAATCCCTCCACAAGAGTCTGCTTGGGGTGAATGGAAGGCAAAGGTTATTCATAATAGTACTCTAACTCAGAGAGAAAATGCTCCCAAGAAGTCAAAGAGAGAGAGAGAGGCTGAACAGGCTGATGCTGAAATTTGAAACCTACTTAATTAAATAAACTATAACTTGATCATATAATGCTATTAAACTGAATTCAGTGAATAAAGAATTATTATTTTTATAAATAGTTCAATTTCTTATATTTTTATTATCTAACTATATTAAGCAATTAAATTGGGAATGTTTTGTGTGATAACTACATTATATTCTAATTTCTGTTTTTTAGTATATATTTGTAAATACATTAGAATTATATTAAGATTTACTTAATTTGGGAAAATCCTCATCTTTTATAAAAGTTACATTTAACTCTCTTCCTCCAAAAAACCTTTTGTGAAAAACTTTCTGAGCTTTAGATGCTTCCTCAGGGTTGGAATACTTTACCCAAACATTACCATCTTTCTTCTCCTTGTCCAGAAAACACCCCAAAAGCTTTCCGTACTTTTCACACTCTTCTTCAACATCTGCTTGAATTTCCTCTAAGATCTGTTCTACAGTTTCATCTTCTTCCATGGACTCTTTAATACTTTGCTCGGTGAACATATTACTAAATAGTAAACAACAATAATTTGTTTCCAACTGATTAGAAGCAGGACTATTAGTAGTATCATCCATTTTCTGATCTGAAGAAGATTGAGAGTGGGTAGCTGAGGATGGAAGATCAGGATTAATATTAGATGGTTGATTAAGGGGAGGGGAAGATGGAAAAAGATTTAATGGAGTATTAACAATAGTGGGTGAATTACTATTTTTGGAGGTTTCCTGTATAGTTGAGTTGTTAATCTTGGAGTGAGTTCTTGCTAATAGTTTTTTTGTCAGAAAGTTTCTTGAGTCTGCACCAAGGAGGACAGCCTCTTCTGACTCGTCTAATTTATCGAATTCAGAAACTCTTTCCAAATTGTAAGCTGAGGACTTCTCCTTGGAAAGGTCATTTTGGGAGTTTGACATTCCAAGAACTGGTAAAGAACTGTTAGAGGGTGAGGAAACCAAGCTATTAGGAATTTTGACACTTGAATGACTTTCTTGAGATATAGAAACCGTGATTTTTTGTCCAGCAATCTCAAAATTATTGAGAGCTTTAATTGCATCATGGCCTTCAATTGCCTTTTCAAACAAAATATAGGCAAATCCAAGACATGTTTGAGTTTTTCTGTCAACCTCAATTTCAATATTGGTGACTTTTCCAAATGTTGAGAACAAGCTGTCTATTTCATCTCGTCTTATTCTTGACAATAAGCCAACCAATCCATCTACTCTAAGCAAAAGAGGTGTAGTTTCTGCTTTAATTTCTTCCAATTTAGCTAGCTTAGCAGCTCTGTTCTTTTCAGCCTGAGATGCCTGGATTGTAATAGATGTATCCATAATCTTTTGTCCATTAAGCTTGAGAGCTTTTAATACTGACTCAACAGAATAAAACTCAACATAGCAAACTCCTTTGGATCTCCCTGTTCTGTGATCACGAATAATTCGTATGTCTCTCACATTTCCAGCATATGTTGTAAAGAATTCATAAACTTCAAATTCTTGTGCGTCTAAATTTAAATTCAATACTAAGACTGTCAAGTCATCTCTGTTAGAATATTCAAGATCTTTTTTGACCTTATCTAACTTCGAATCTACATTTTTTTCAATGCTTGAATAAAGATTTGAATATCTTTTGCTATTATTACAAGAAACTCTATCTGGTGATACAGAATTTGATCTAGAATAGCCTCTCCCTCTAGTAATTGGGTTTCTATTCCAATATCTTTCAGGAGATCTGGAGTTTTCTCTTCTAAAATATTGGTCTTTTCTTCTGTATTTATGAGGATATTCATTTCTATAACTTTTATATGAATCTGAATGTCCATTTATATCACTTTCTCGTCCATAATATTCTTTTTTCCTATAATCATATTCTTTTCTAGTTGATTCCCTTGTGTAAACTCTTGAAAAGTCAGATTTGAGTTTATTATTGTAATTCTCCATTTTGAAGAATCCTATCTTACCACCACAAAGAATACCTGAAATTAATTCGAGGTACTCATTCAAGAAAATTAATCTTTGAGATATTTCTTATTAATACCTATTAATCAACTTTACCTTCTGTTTCCTTAATTCACCCAAGTTCTGTTAAAATAATAGGTAAAAACCTAATAAATCAGGTTACGAAGCTTTTTAATATAGTTGCAATTCGTTTTTATGCGTATTAATGATTAACCTGAAATTATTCTATTCGGTACTTTGTTTTTTCCCTGCCTATTATTAAGAAATAATTATATTCAAAACCCGCCATGGCGGGTTTTTTGAATGTACATGATCATGTAATAAGAAACTGAAACAAAGAGGGAGTAATAAGGAAAAGAAGAAAAAGACAGAAAATAACTCAAAAAAATTAAGTTATTTATTAAGTGATTAGTACTAGAGAAAAATTTTTATGCTACACTAGACCTATCGCTACTTACATCACTTTTACTATTGTTTTCTAATATAAGGGTAACTGGTCCATCATTGACAAGACTGACTTCCATTTCTTCCCCAAAACAGCCAGTTTTGATTTTATCTGGATTATGTGATTTTTTAAACTTCTCTACCATTTCGTTAAAGATAATAAGTGCATCCTTTCCCTTCATAGCATTATGAAAGTCGGGTTTTGATCCATTTTTTACATGACCATATAGAGTAAACTGTGAAACAACCATGATCTCAAAATCTTTTTCTTTAACACTAAGTTTCCAGGGATTACTTGAATTTGGATTTGATTCATCCGACCAGAGTCTTAGACTTAAGCACTTTCTTACAAAATAATCTGAGTTTGAGTCAACATCATCGGTCCTAATTCCGACAAGTAGCAGTAATCCTGGCCCAATACTACTAACTACTTGGTCGTTTACCTTAACTGAGGCACTCTTTACTTTTTGCAAGACAACTCTCATGTTTTCAAGTAGAGAAATTTGAATTTTATTAATTATATTTTTTCCCTCTTAATTACGTGTCTACTTTATAAAGTCAATATGTAGTTACAAAAAGTGGTTAGAAATCGTCAAAAAATAGTTAACTCTAAAAATCAATCAAACAAAGCACAATTTCTTTTTATTTATAAGTACATATTCATCTTTAATTCAACCAAAATAATTTAATCTAAATGGAAGAATATGATCATTACATGCAATCATGTAAATTAGTGATCATTAACAAATTAACAGATTTGCTAAACTGATCAGTTAAATTAATATGGAGGGAAGAAAAACCTGGAAATTTCATTCCAAGAAAAGGCCAACAATAATATCCCATTGAATCTGAACTGGGAAGATTTAGAGTTGTGATACCTCATCTTCCTGGAAATACGGAGATAATCTCTAATGTCAACTATACCATCCTCATCCCTCAGGACATCCTTATAAACTTTTAAGCCCGAATTTTGGATTTTTTCAATGTGGATATTTGATATTGGAACAACTTGAATTGAAAAGAGATGGCAAATTTTAAATGTGAAATGATCGATATTTAGAGAATTCTCAATACTGGATAACGATGAATAATGAGTCAGCTCACTGGGGGAAGAATATTCAGAAGTTTTAGTATCACAAGTGTTAACAGTAGAAGGAGAATTTGCTATAATAACTCCAATTTCAGAATATAATATACACTCTAAATCGTTAACTTTGTTACCAAAAAATACTGACTTAATGTAAATATCACGTTTAGAAATTGCATTCAAGCTTATGGACGCAATTACGTAGTGTACTTTATCTCTCATTCTTTTATTGCATTGTTTATTGATTTCCTTTACAGACTGTCTAAATGCTCTGTACTTACAAGAAGGACCATACAACGAATTTGGAGCAGACTCAACAACATGATTACTTTCAGATTTGTACTCGAACTCACTTACAGAAATTTCAAGTTCACACTTACCTTGATTGTTCGAGAGAATTCCTTCAATTGTATCTTTAATTCGCTTAGACCCTTTTGAAACGGAAATTAATACGAATCTTCTCGAGAATTCACATAGTGATCTTAATGTTTCAAATGCTCCTTCTCTAAATTCCCAGCCTTCTTTGCACTCAATAGATGATTCATCAACTATTTTAGCATCCAGAAGCTGCAAAATCTTCATTTCTTTTTCTATTTTGAAGTTATATATATATTCAAACTCCGAAATGGCCAAGAATAACTTTGCTATTGCATTCCCATCAAATTTTTCTAGTGGAGTTTCCGGTAACCAGTCATTACACCAGGAAAGCCGATCGCTAATATGTGTATGAAGTATTCTCTCTGCTTCTCTTTCTAATAAAAACATATCACATGCTTGTGGCCTGTTTGAGTAGTACTTCTTACATGCTTGTAATATAACGGATTCAAAAGTATTACATTTTGTGATTGTTCCATCATAGTTAGACCCTACTGTCCCAATACATAATCTTTTATTTACTTTGGGTTTCCGCTTAACCATTCTATAAAGTCCATATATTATTTTATTACTCAAGTTATATCAAAAAAGAAAAACTACAATTCACCCCACACCTTACTCTGTCTATTTTCAAAATCAATTTGGGCGAATACTTCTTAATTCTATGAATGAAATTCTACTAAATTAAACTCCACTCGGACCCCAATCCAATTCCCAATTCTGACAAATTCAACTTGTATATTTTCTCCGTCCAAATATGTTTCTTGATTAAATGCGCTTTTTTATGGCGCCATATCCGTCATTTTTCTAGGTAACAACTTTGCATGCATTTGTTTATGTTAATTTAGGCGGGAAAAGAACAGGATAAAAAGTAATGGTGTAAAAACACGTAAAATTAAAGATATATAACTTTTTAGAGTTAGCAATTCAAAAGAAATATATAAATAGTAATAATCGAGTAATACTGATGTTATTGCCTTCTTGCAGTTAATAGATAAAACTCAGAGTGAGAAGAAAGCTCGTTAAATAAAGAGTCAGCAACCTGTTGGCTTTCACCATATAAAGGATTTCTAGTATATTCCTCAGGAGAAGAAATCTCTTGACAAATGAATCCCGTTTTTTCGAGAGATTGTTTGAACTTTGAAGCGCAAAGTCTATCATGCCTATGTACATAATAAAATATTCCTTGATGTGTTAGGAGCTCTGATATGACCTGGGATAGCTGAATCTCCATATGAAAATTGTATACTAGATCAGATCCGAGAATGATATCAAAGGTGCCCCTAATTTCTGGGTTATCAGAGTCTAGGTTTCTGAAGCTTTCATGATCAAACCAATTCAAGTACTTTGCTTGAATAAAATTATGGTCTTCACCAAGAAGAGCAGAGTTCAACTTAATATTAACATCAGCATTTTCCAGTGATAGCCTTGAAACATCTGTCAGGAAAAGTTTTTTTGGCTGGCTATTAAAGAAGTATTTTGAGTAGATTGCAGCTACCAAACCCATTAAACCGCACCCACATCCTAATTCTAAGACACGTTTCCCTGCAAATATGTTCTCATTTCTGATCAAATTAACCATCCAATAAGAGGCCACAATTGAACTAGACCACAAGTGGGCTCCTGTAGTATCATTTTGAGGGTCCTGATCAAATACTTTTTTTATTCCCATTAAAGCTATTTCTCTACATTTAATTAAAGGTTTTGCTTCGAGATCCTCAGCATTACCTCCAATAAATGTAAGGTTGTGAATGAATTCTTGAGAAATTGTTGCATTGGAGTCACCATTTGCTTCTTCGTGATCTTCATCAAATTTGACAGATTCTGAATGTTCCTGTTCTAACCTATCAGCTGAAGGATGCTCTAAGGCCAATTTCAAAATATCAACATCATTTATATTAAATACTTCAGTAAGAACACTTTTATTCAGACAATTTTTTAGTAAAACATCTGCACCTCCTTCTTCTACACTCCTCTTGTCACTCAATAACTTGATTACCACTTCTTTTTTCTTATTTGTTACAGCCCAGTGTAATGGAGAATTTCCATTATTGTTTTGTTTATTTATTGATGCCTTTCTTCTTAAAAGCTCACATACTATATCTAGATGACCATTTGCACTTGATTTATGCAAGGCAGTATTCCCACTGTCGTCCTGATAATCTACATCAATCTTGTAATTATCTAGAATATATTTCAAATCATCCAACTCTCCGTATCTCGCACACTCAGTCATCTCATCACTTATCTCCTTTATTGTTAGGCCTTCCATTTTTATCCTCAACACTTCCAAATAATGATTATACTCTTCTACATATATTTTTCTATTTTCTTTAAATAGCTTATTCTTCGAATAGTCAATTCTAACTATAAAGTGGCGCCACGCAAGTGGCGCCTATTGTTATTATTGTTTATAATTTAAAAAAAAAATAATAAAATAAACTAGAACAAAAATTAAGATTAGTTAAAATCAATAAAGTAATCTTTGGCTTAGTTTTAAATTAGAATAAACATTTTAAAGTGCACAATATTATTCTAAATATCGAATTATTTCTATTTATTGGCAAGTTAACAAAACATGGCTTTTGGCGGCAACATATCAGTAATATAACTTTTTAATTAATTTACTAAAACAGAAAGTTGCATTGAATACAAATTATTAAAACAAAATACTAAAGTGTTTTAAGACATTACCTTGTATTGAAAATGTTGTACAGTCTTTCAAGTCCATTATTTAGACAGTATTTAAGCGTTGTAAAGTAAGTTTCATTTCATATATTTCTATATTTAAACAATATGGAAATGTGAATTGTTCACAACTAATCATTTCCTTGATTAACTTTCCGAATTAACCAGAAAATCAAATAAACAACTACAGACAGGGGGAGCTATAGGAAACTCAAAAGCTGTCTCCGAAAGAGCTCAAGTTTATCCTTCTAGTACAGGAATATAAGATGAAGATACTAATTCTTAGTTTAATTTCAAATTTTTCTTAATACTTTATTTTAATGATTCTGATTATTTTTATAATACATTAAGGGGGTCTTCGTCATCTTCACTTTCATATATTTGTTGTTTATATGTCATATAATTTGGAGTATTCATGGTTGCTGTAGATTTAATAGATTTTGAGTCTATTGAATTAGGCTTGGAGTTCTGATTAAGGTTTACCCCATGACTACTAAAAATTTGAGCAAATTGAGACCAGGAGGGTCTTTTTGAAACTGAACTAGATTCAAATTGAATATTTTTCAGAGATTCAATTTTCTCATTTAAAGGTTCTTTTGACATTGGTTGTTTGCTTTTCTTGGGGTCAGTTATCCCTGTTCCTTTTGAGCTTCCTTTATTTAAAGAGTTTTGTGCCTTATTGAGATATTTTTTTGTTAGTAAATTTAGGTTAAAAATACGCCCAGAAGTAGAAACTGACATCCCTTTAAGCTTTGAAGAAATTGCATCCAGAGCTTTATTAGTATTTACATCTGAGTTATACAATTTTTCGCTAAACTCTTGATCAAACTCATTATCTATTTCTTCATCATCATAATCATCTGATTCCTGGAATTCTGATAATGAAAATGTATCTTCTTTTTGATAGTTATTCATATTATTTGAGATATCTGTAAAACCTAAGGAATATTCCTCAATCGGCAAATCCTTGTCAGGAACTTTATTTTCTGGACAGATCAAGGCTTTTTGCATTAGATCATGCGAACTTCCATAGTAATGATTTGGATCTGCCTTAATTGAAGTTACACTTTCTTTTGAAGGTTCTTTATATCGATACAAGGAATAAAAGGATCTAACAAATTCATTTACCATTGTTTCCTGAAAAAAACCTCCATTTATGTTTGAGTTTTTAAATAAACTTGACAATAAAGAGTCGTTCAGACTCTGAACATATTTGTTTACCTCGTTCCAAGTAATACAATTTGGCTTATATCCAAAGTTGCAGATTAATTTAATGGAAAAATCATCAAAAATATCTATCAAACTTTTTACTGTATGTTCTTGAATCAGCTCTTTACTTCTTTTTCTTGTAAAAGAACTCTTTCTTCTTAAATGAAAAGACCCATCTAACTTATTTGGGACATATTGTCCTTGAGATCCATGGATCCACTCATGAGCTCCCGTTATCAGAGCTCTAATAAACCTGTTTGTTGAAAATGGATGGTCCATTATTTGACATAAAGAAAAGTAAAATGATATTCCAAGTCTTAATAATACTAGCTCAACTCCTTGCATTGCTGCTGGCCTCTTTTTTAAGGATGAACCAAAACATGCCAATGCATTTAAAAGGTTAAATAGAGCTTCATTCTTGCATCCAGATGGTGTTAGCAAAGGGAATTTCTTGCTTTTTAGGAACCCCTCAAACCACTCCTCAAAATCTTTTAATTTATGTACGTGGCAAATTGTAAGCAGTAGAACAGAGTAAAGTGTTGGAATGCATAGGCCATATTTTGCATCCTCTATCATGTTGTCAGGCTTTACTGAAAACTCATTAAACAATTCAGTTACTACTAATTCTATTAAACCCCTTTTATTTGCAGGAAATGCAGAGCTTATTGAATGTAGTACCGAAGGCCTTACTGAAAAATAATTTCCTTCTGTAGCTCTTTCCAAACTTGTCTTTGGTTTCAAGCTCATATCTAAGTTATGACAGTTATGAGTCAGCTCTCCAAAATCATTGCTTCCTTTCAAGTTATACATTATTCATGAACCTTTTTTCAATATTGATCCGATTTTTTTTATTTCTATTTGGTCAACTTTTTTTGTTAGAAGTGATTCTTAGGTTTCAATATGTTTGACTTAATAAGCTGAAGTTTTGATTACTTTTCCTATTCAAAAGTAACATCAAATTCTTAAGTGTATCCCTTAGTGGTCTCCAATTACTTTGTTCCCATCTCAGAACATAAGCACTTGGAATCGTATTCACTAGGAATAAAGAAATAATAGTTAATCTTAAAACTAAAACCAGACTCTATTTTTACTGAAAGAATAAATACATCACAAAATAAAACAAAATAAGTCAGGTGTTTAAAGCTGTGTAAATCAATTTTTTAGTAATTAAATTAAAATTCTCACAAACTTTCTTAATTCCTTTATATTTCTACCTGATTTAATTTAAAATGCATTATATGGAAATTAGAAAATTCTAATTGCCACCCTTAAATTTATTTCTCTATAGATTGTTCCACATACTCGATCTTCCGAAGTTCTGAATGCAATATAGATTTTTCCAATTATTCTTAAAGTAATATCTTATTATTTATTTTTCACAATTTAATGTTTTTGCATGCTCGTATTTTAATAAATTCCCAAATTATCATAGAAAAAAATTTCACTAATTTTGTACCGGTGTAGTATTATTTTCTTCGTGATATTTTTACCGGATTATGTTTTAATACCGGCATTTTTATAAATGGCATGCAATTTAACTTCAAAATGGCGCCTAATTTTCCCACTAATTTACTTAATAGAATGGAACTAAAGAAGTAAAATGAAAGGTAAAGAAATAGTTAGAAATACTAAAATACAAATTAAAAATTAAAGAAATTATAAGGAAACTTATATCATGTTTTTTCTATAATTGACATTGAACGAAGGTGGCAAATACTCGTATATACTCACATTTCTATTTGCCTTCCTCATCTTCGTCCTCAACGTTGTCATCTTCATCAAAAGGAATGTCCATATCTTCTACGCGTCCCATTGTTTCATCTTCTTCCTCATCAGAGTCAGAGTAGTCAGATTCATCTTCAGACTCAGATGCACTGTTAAGATCATTCTTTTCGTCATCTCCACCAACTACTTCTATTTCACCTTGCCTCTTGAAATCTCCTCCTTTATATTGAGTTATAACATTCTTGATGGTTTCCATAGCCTTTTCAATTGCCTCAATTCCTGCGGCTTTTCCATATGAAACAGCAGTAACCAAATACTGTGGTGGAGCGATGAATTTGACCTGGATTTCAACATCATCCTTGGTAACAGTTTCCTGTCCTGCAATAATTGCATGACGAACAGCATCGATACCATCATAACCACAGCAACAGACATGAATTCTTGCTCTTAACTTTAACTGTTGTGGAGATAATCTAAACTTAATGTCCTGAATGAGAGCCTCTTTAACACTTGCTGGTAGATCAAACTCCCCGAGAACTGCTTCAGGATTAACAGCTGCCTCCTTGAGAGCATCCAATGCATGGCCATATTTTCTATGTAAAGGCCAAATCAATTTCTCACTAAGTTCCTCAACTGATATACCCTCTTTTTGAGCGATATGACGAACAGTCTGATAAACTTTTTTCATTTTTGAATATTTCTCCTCACATCTCTCAACATCCTCCGGATTTACTCTTCTCTTTGACAGATCAATATAGCCTTTATTCTTGTCTACTCTTAATACTACAACAACTTCAAGTCTTCCAACTCTGGTTAACTTATTGACACTACGGATACGTCTTTTGGACAACTCAGACATCAAAATCATACCTTCAATATCATTATATTCCAAAAGACTAACAAAAGCTCCCACTTCTGTTATTCTTTTAACCCTGGCCATAACAAATTCCTCTGGCTCAGGGAACTTGTTCTCATAGAATCTACAATCCACCACATCCTGTTGTTTTGCTTCCATTTTTCAAATTCACTCCAAGTATTAAGGGTTCTTATTGTTAGTAACGCCAATAAAATAAAGGACTACTTTATTTTGATCTCTTTTATTTTCTCACTATATATGTAATATTTTTTACAAATTAATGACTCTGTCTTTGGCGCCAAAATTATTTAAATACCGGTTTTTTATTGTTAAAAAATGAAAAATAATTTTTGTGGGTTCAATGATGTTTTAATTTACAACCTGAATATTTAACTAAAGTGAATGTAATTTAATTCTAGTTTTTTCTAGTCCAGATTTTTGTGTTTAACTTTTAAACTTCTACTCGAATATGGAAAAATATACTCAATAGTAAGATTGGGGGTTTAATCATTCAATCAGAGATGTTTCGTGACATTGGAAAAATAAGTAGGTTTTAGAGACTTAATTAATTAGTATTAGATGTCCTGATATAACAAACTAGATGGAAAACTGCCTTCACGAAGCAGCCGTCTAAATATCACTATTTAGGGTGAGTAGTATATAATAAACTTAAAGGATAAGAGCTGATAGCAACGGTATATTACGACTTAGAAATTAGTCGTACTCTAACTTCACTGAGATGGTAATCCTTCTCCCGTATGCTAGTATATAAAGTCATATTTATTGAAATAAGTCAACATATTAGTTGGCAAAAAGTATTTATGGTAATGAATATCGGCTATTGACAGTTCGGTACCAGTTCATTCGCCATCATCATCATCGTCATCTTCATCTTCACCTTCACTGTTGTCCTCTTCCTCTCCACCAGAGCTGCCACTGCTAGAGTAAGAATCTTCGTCATTTTCAAAGTCTTCATCATCTTCATCATCGCTTGGTAAATCTTGCTCAAGAATTGATTTGGTTGATGAGTCCTTTTTAGAAGAATCTTGATCCTTTGATCTAGAAGTTGTTCTTCTAGATGAGGAATCGAGGCTTTCCTGAAGATTTTTGATCCTAATATTCTTCTCCTGCAGGAATTTGATAAGTGGATTGTATTCCGCTTTATCGATACTTGTAAAGCTGTAGTCTCCTCCACCTCTTATTGTAATAGTTAATTCAAAAAATCTGGTTTGATTTCCACCCATTCTTGAAAACTCAATGTTTAAAACATCATCAAATCTAATTAGTATTACAGGCTTTGTAATAAAAATGAAGCTGCGATTCAGAGGATAAAGCAGACCATCTTGAGCTTTGTAAGAACATCTAATACAGTGGTACTGAGATGCAGATCTGAAATCCCCTGGAACTATTATTGAGTGCCCTGTTAAAGACTTTAAAATACGAGTGACAATATCCCAGAATTTACCAGTCATGATTGGAGAAAGTCCACTAAATCTCTGGATTTCTTTTTCTGAAAGATTTAAAGGCATTTCAATATTGTCATTCTGTTGCGTATCAAATTGCATCACAACAAATGGGTATTTTGTGTTTCCTTGTCTCATTGGAGTTTCCAATGCTACTACAAGGTTGACTAAAGACGTTCCAGGTCTTGGAAGTAGAAATAATCTGGAGATTGATTGGAATAAAATTGTATAATCAAAAGATTTACCATGAAGTTTTAAACAGTTAACCAAAACCTCAATTTCGTATCTACCTCTTGGAACCAATAAATGAATATCATTCCAACGGCATACTTTGTCCATAGATCCACTTGATCCTATTCCTGTTAATGTTAACAAATCAGATCTCAACTTTTCTGCAGATGTCAAGGAATTCCCATCCAAGGAGTTTTCTTGGTTTGGTACGAATAAGCGTATCTCCATTAATTCATCACAATCTTCTCCTGCATTCACCCCCTCATTAAACTCTAAGACTAACTCTGATTTGGATGGCATTGCTATTTGGTTAATATTAACACTTGGGACATACATCATTACTTTACCTTCATTACCTATGCATATTGTGTCATTGTGAATACTCAAATCTCCCCAGTTAATACCCTTTGTATTCAACTCTTTAGTTTCCAAATTAAGTCCATAATATGTCTCAAAATGGCTCTTAATTACGTCATAATCCTCGGTCCTAAAACCTGTGAAATGGATACAGTCTTTCTTTTCCTTAATAAATACCCTAAGTTGGCAGCTACTGTCCTCACTATTTGTTTGTATCCATTCAATTGCCATAACCTCTTCTGGTTTATAATGATAAGTTGCATTTGTTCTTCTATTCTTCCATCCAAACAGCTCTTTGCTTGCTTTAAATATTCCCTGGTCCTGGAAACCCAGCCCTTTTATATTTCCATAAGATAGTACCCCAGCTGTTGTTGCCATCTTATAGAGGATTACAATAGGCTATCCAGTCTTTCAAAATTACAAAAATAACTTTCTATGTGTGTTACTATTCACTCAAAGTCACAATAAGATCTATTGACAAGCTTATAATTACTGTTTTTATTCTTTTATTATCCTATTATTTTTTACTTCAGAGTGGGGCAAAGGCGGTACCTTTTCTTAAATATAAATAGTAAATTGAGAATATTGTTTTTAAATTAAAATAATTAAAAGATAATCTTTTGCTAAAAATCCTATTGTATTAAATTATACTATTCGACCAAGTACCTAAGCTCTAAATTTATCTCGTTCTCTCTCTATCACATTAGCTTAGAATCTTCTCTACTTTAAATTTGACTTGTATAATTATTAAATAGGCGGGAACCTATTTATTTAACTATTACTTGATAAGAAGAGAAATTGCCCTTATAACTTCTAAAGAAAGTGCAATGCTTTGATCAAATGTATATTTTGATGAAATACTGCTAATAAATCTTAGAATCCACTTTATTTCCCTTTTTGTGTACTCAAAGATTTTTTGGAAATGGATTTCTGCATTAATAAATGGTCTTGCAAGAAGATCTATAAACCTATGAGAAGGATTCAGTAGGTCCATAGGCCAAGGGAAAGGTTTGCTATAGCTTGAGACCAAAACCCCATTTACAATTAAATAACCATCAGCTGTGAGCGGAGCATATCTACCAATATATTTGTATTCTTTTAGTTTATTTTTCACATTAGAAATGAGTGAGACTCGTGTTACCCAACTAACTCGCTCTTTTGAATAAATTACTACCGAGTCCCCAACTTGAATGTCTTTTGCTTGGATGGAATAGATATCCCTTTTTTTCTCAAGTAAAGGAGTGGTTTCAACTCCAATGACGTTTTCAATTAGCTTAGGATTCAAACAATTTCCCTCCTGTGGGGTTTCACCAAGATATTGTGTGAATATTAAATGATTTGGAGATAGAACTAAAGGTTCCTTCATTCCTAAATACTCTACTTGGATCCACTCATCATTAAAATACAGATTTTTATCTTTGTGTAGCATTATTTCAACTTTACTATATCTTAACTCCATTGTGTTTAAATCTCTTATTAATATGTGATCTCCAATGTTCAAATCTTTCAACTCAATTTCTCCTCTTTCTTTAGTAATTATCAAACTATTTCCTGGGAAGCACAGATTATTGGATTGACTTTGAGCCCCACAATTTGGATTAAAAGGGTAGTCATCTTCATCTAACTCACTAGACAAGTATCCAATATTTATCAATTGACCCACACAAGAAGAAGGAAATGTCAATGAAATGGCATTTGAAATAACATTTCCCCATCCTGACCTAAATTCTCCATTTCCTCCTGTAACTCCTGAAAATGTGTCAAATATTGATTTAGTTCTAACTCTTATAAAACTTAAGTTTAAACGATGAACTATACCATTTTCGCTACTATCTATTTTAAGCAAGATCCATTCAGCAAATATAATTAACAAAAAAAAACAAATAATTTTTGTATGATTAACTTTCATTTACTCAGATCAACCCTTTTTTTTTACATAACTATATTATTAGATTCAGCTGAATTATCCAATATAAATTTAATTAAACAAAGCCTTCCTCATCCAACAAATAAACTGTTTTGTTGTTTTTAACCTCAATTTATAAGTAATATAGTTTTTTCCTCAATTTCTTAATTCCAGTATTTTTCTTTGTATTGCCTCTATCACATTTTTAGTAAATTGTCACTTTTGGAAATTTGTGAGTACACACATTCGATTAAATGGCGCCACCCTGCGGCGCCAAACTCCGGTACTTGGGAAAGATCAAAATGGAATGTTGCAAAATAAATGGAGCGGAGGAAAAATAATAAATAAATATATTTAAAGTTAAGTGTTATATTATATCTAGATTAAATGCATGGCCGAGTAAAGAGTGAGCAGAAGGAGCTTACGGAGGAAGAAAAGCAATATATAATTAGAGCAAAACAGCTTTTTGATGAATGTGTAGAGTTGATTAATGAAGATAAGAAAAAAGGAATCTTCTCAACAAAAACTTTGGAATTAACAGAAAAGATTTTGACGATTAACTCGGAGGTAGCAACTATGTGGAATTTCAGAAAAGGCTACATAGTTTCTGAACAAAATAATATAGAAATCATAGATGACATACTGAACAAAGAATTAGCATTTACAGAAAGTTTGTTCAAGAACGACCCCAAGTCATATAACCTTTGGTCGAATAGAGCTTGGTTACTTGAGTTTATTGTAAATTTTAAGGAGGCAGACCAAATTCTTCTTAAGGTTATGGAAGATTACTTAAAGAATATCTCAAATTTTGAGAGCTTGAATTACATACAATCGTTTAAAGAATCTTTAGCTAAATATAACAATTTTAAGTTAAAACTGCTTATAAATGAACTTGAGCTTTGCAATAAGTTATTTGAGATAGATGATCGTAATTTTCACTGTTGGAGACATCGTTCATTCGTGCTCTGTTGTTTAAGATATGTTTCTGCTACTCTTTCGTGGAACAACTTTCTACAAGAAATGCAGTCCCAGGAGTTGGATTTTCTCAATAGAATGATAGAGACTAATTTTTCAAACTATTCAGCCTGGCATCATAGGATTTTGCTTGCTTTTGGCCATAAATTCAACAGCTTAGAAGACTTTAAAAGAGAAGCAGAGTTAGTCTATACAGCAATTTACACAGAGCCAAATGATCAAAGTATTTGGCAATATTACTTTTGGCTAATTGGCGACTTTCTACCAAAGATACTTTTTAGAGATGAACAACTAGAAGTGAATCCATCATTTTATATCAAAGATTTACAAGTTAAATTTCCTGACAATATAGATAAAGATGACAAAATAGAAATTCTGTTCAAATTTTCACTAGCTTGTCTCATTAACAGTTGCAATTCAAGCCTATCTATAGAGTCTGAAAATGGATCCAAAGTAACTCTTGAAAAAGGGAGTTGGGAACCTCTTTACGAGGATTATGCAACTACCTTTGGCTTTTTTAACTCTAAACTACCTTCTGACTTTGATGTGGAACGGAAAAAACGAACACCACTCTGGAGGTATTCTTTATCTTTGAAAGAAAACTTTGGGAATGAAATTAAATCTATTGCTAATTCATTAAGTAATTCACCATCATTCTTTCTAGTAGTGTCAGCCGCACATTCTGATACAGTCTACGCAAACACTCCAACCTGGAATTTGAATGATCAAGAATTTAACAACGAAGCATTTTCCTCACTCAGAATTAACCCTACATTAGAGTTGGACGTATACAAATCCTACAGTTTTTATTCGCGTGCTAATGGAAGCAATTCTACCTGTAAGTATTACTTTCACTCGGACTCCTCGAAATCCCAGCTTAAAGAATTACTTGAAATCCTCCAAAACGAATTTGACTTTCTAAAAAACATACAAGAACTAGAGCCAAAGTGTAAATATCCTATAATAGCACTTAAGTTTGTAAATGATATCTATCACCTGTGCTCCCCACAAGAGTTAGTGGAGAATGAAAAAATAAGGGTGGACCCAGAAATGATAAAACTGTTACCATCCATAGATCCTCTAAGAAGATTATACTATAATGAAAAGTTCAATATTGCACAATAGTCGTAAATTATCTAATTAAAATCTAGAAATATACCTGCGAGATGAGCTATGTTAAAATTAGGGGAAATTCATTATTTGACAAAGCTTTTATAAAACAATTTCCTCCTGTTCATCTTCTGTATCCATCATACTAACATCTGCATTACCACTAAATTTATCTATAAAAGACTTTCTCTTTTCTACCATCTTATTCATTTTCTTCTCACTCTTTTTAAGAGCTTTTTGGCGAGAAATATCGCTCATAGTTGTTGTTTGTATTAAAGGAATTTCAGGTCCTTTCAATAATGTGGCATTTCTTTCTGTTTCCTTATCTACCAAGGTCTTTTGTGTTTGCTGCTGTTTCATTAATCTTGTCTTGTAAAATCTCTCCTTCCTTGACTCCTTGATCTTTTCCACCAATTTCATTGCCTTAATAGTTTTTATGTATAGCTCTCTGTCATATCTTATTGGACAGTTCCTCTTCTTTTCAAATTCGAATGTAGTATCCATAATCATTTCCTTTCCGTGGGTCTTTCTATATGCCTTGGTCCACTTAGATTTTCTTGGATTATGCTTCATTTTAAAGTGCTTATGGCACTTACTTCTACAAAACCTGAAAATTTTAGCATCATTCCTTACAAAAGTCACGCCATGGCCTGGATATATATTACTTGAACAGTACCAACACTTCTCAATACGCATGTTTTCTGTATTTCTCCACTATTCAACCTATAATTGCTCCTAAAATAATCAGTTTCTTTTTCTGAATCTATCAACCTTTTATTTCTCAAACTAAATCTTGAAGTTCAAAGTATGAATATTTGCTTGTCTCCCAGGAGATTACTACTTATTAAACCTTTCAAATCTTTTGGAATGACTATTAATATATTCTAGAAACTAGAATTGTAGTTGAAATATTCTAAGTACCCTCCAGGCCCCTTTCAATTACTTTTATAGTTATTCCCTTAGAAATTTATGTTTTTTTATTCCCTCCTTTTATTTATCTATTACTATTAGTCAAAAAATACATGGCGCCAAAAGGAATTCGCATATGGCGCCTTTTACATTAATATAAAGAAACCAGAAAATCTGAAAATTGATTAAAATAATTTGGACAGAGTCGTGAAGAGTTCATTTCTATGTTTTCAAAGTAACACTAGAGGAGGAAGCTCTGAATAATGTCTCACGGTTTAAGTTATGAGGACTGCAATTTCCCCATAGTATGCGACAGGTGCTTAGGGGAAAGCAAGTTTCTGAGGATGACCAAGTCAAATCAAGAGAGGTCTTGCAAGATTTGTAATAGACCATGCACAATGTTTCGCTGGAAACTCCAGAATTCTAAAAAGTACAATCAAACCACAATTTGCTATTCCTGTGGTAAGATAAAAAATGTATGTCAATCATGTGTGAGCGACCTAAACTTTGGACTACCATTATATGCCAGGGAAGACTATATAAAAAGTAAAAAAGATCAAGGAGATGAAAAGGCTCTTCAGCTAATGAATATCCCAGATAGTGTAGATAATAGGGATCATTTCATGGAAAATAAGTTGAATGGAAATGATGAAAGTTTTATTCAGAAAATCGACGAGAATCAGAAAAAAAGAAAGGAAATCTTGAAGGAGATTTTGGAAAAGAGCGGAAATCTTAAAGGAAAAGAAAAAGTAAACTATCGCAGAGACACTTCAGATTATGGTTCCAGCTCTAAAACTACAATCAAAAGTATTTCAAAAAACTGAATTACACAATACCCGCATTGAGCATACTTATAGCCATTAATGCCACTATATATAAATGCATACTTGTACTATACAAATATATTTTAATTATTATCTTTTAATAGTTAAAAATTGCTTGACTTTTTCTCAATTTCGATATTTACTATCATTCGTTTTCTTCACTCTGTATCATTTCTGAAATTACATTATCACTAATAGTGCTTTGGTCAGAAGGTTCTTTTTTATGGCCTGGACTAGTTTCTTCTACATTGCTATTATTGTCTAGGTTTTGATTTTCATTTTGAATATCAAGTTTACTATCTTGTCCGTCTTTCATTAATGAAGCCAATCTTCCATTATTTTCTCTGCCTTCTTTTATAAGTACATCTACAGGTTCCTGTGAATCTCCTTCGTTCAACTCCTGAGCAATTTCTGAATCTATTTCAGCCCCAACAATTTGTTCAGTATCATCGTTTTCTATATCTCTGATCTCATCTTCAGCCTCTTGCTCCATCTTCTTTTCTTCTTTAATTATCTCTTCGTTTCTTTGACTAATGTTATCCGAAAACTTTTCAAAGTCTTCTTTAGATGGTAATTCAAGATCTTCTTTTGAATTTTGATCTTCATCATCCCTGGGGGTTTTCTCAATTAAATTTACAATCTTCTCATTTCCCACTTTGTTGTTTGCCTCTAATTTGTTTAGAATGTTCATTCCCCTGAACGATGGTTGGTCATACATACTCTCTGCTAGCCTCTCCTCTTCCTCCTCACTTTTGGATATTTTTCTGGCTTGTTTCTTATTTTTGTGTCTTTTAATTGCATTCCTTCTCTTTTTCTTTTTCTGATTATTTTTTACTTCTTCCTCGCTATCATCTTTCTGTTCTAAAGTCTCTTCTTTACCTTGATTTGTTTCATTATGATCATCTACTCCTTCAAGCTCCTTAGCTATTAAATCAACTTTCCCCTCCCCAAATGAAATCGAGCTCAACTCTTTTGAAATATCCTCACCCTGACTTTCTATTGAGTCAGAATCTTTATTTAAGTTTGCCTCAATACCTGAATTATCTGAGAAATCGGAAATCCTATCTTCGATCTCCTTCTTATCATCTGGATGAACCAATGCAAGAACTTCTTCTGATAGCTCCTTCATGTTAATATTCACCATGTGAGCAATCGTTTTCGGTGAAACTACACCAGAAATAGTCTTATCCCCAATCAACCAAGTTGGATAGGATGTGATTTTGTCTTCAATACAGCTTATCCAGGAATTTCTATTCTGATCAAAATTGCAGTCTAAGTAAGAGTTGTTATCTTTTAATACTTGGATAGCAGCCCTACCCCATTCCAATTCTGTCGCAATTGCTGCAGGAGAAGTACTTATTGTGTAATACTTTCCTCCAGATTCTACATACCTTTCAATAATTCTTCTGTTAATTATCTCCTCTCCCTTAGTTAGTTTTCTAATATTCATAACCTCAGAGGTTAGCTCTTTTACCTTTCCATTAATTTGGTAGTTTCTTGAATACATCATAAATATGAAGACTATAGAACATCCCAGAATTATTCCAAATAACTTAAAACTCTCTGTATAAGTACTCAGTACTCCAGGTAGCCATGTCAGAATAAAAGCCAAGCCAATTACAGAAGACTTAAGTAGGAATGTCACTGATCTAGTCTTGTATTCAAATAAACCAACAAATAAGAAGTAACAAGTCATTAATGCAATGAAATTAGTCATCATGAAAACTAATCTATTCCATATTCCAATGCTATCTATCCAATTCAAGAAAGAAGAAGTATAACCCTCAGCATTTTCATATAAATTTGAGTAGGCATAATTCGAATTATAATTTCTAAACTCTTTGAATTTTTCTCCATCCTCGAATTCTATTTCATTCTGAGTTTTCATGTATGAAAATGATGTTGCAATTAACAATGAAATTTCTGCTAATAAAGAGTAAACAGATAGTGGGATTCCGCAGATCCACCAAGCCTTACTTTCTAGTAGTTGGTGATCATAAATTGACCAGTTTTTGTTCATATTGTTAAGATAATATAAATCCAATATGCTTAAAATGATACAAACTGACCAACAGGCCAGTAGTGCTGGCATTGTAAAGACACTAAAGCAGTTCATCTTAAAATTAAAATTTATACATATAAAATTCAAGTTATTATATTGATTTTCTACTAATCAATTTTGGGTGCAAAATATATATTGACTACTGAGCACACTAAATTCCTATTACACTATTTGTAAAAAAAAAGTTTTAAAGCTTAAATTCACACTCTCTTAAATCAGTTAGTTTAATCTCAATATTAAGATTAGAAAGTATTTACTTAATGGAAAACTATTTTACTCATTGGACCATAGAAGGTTTAGCACATTTAAAATCATAGTAGAAATTGTAAAACTAATTTTTTAAATAAAAAAAAGTGGAACAAGTTTGATAAATAATTAAATACTTATGATTCAGCCTTGATGTATGCGGTGAATCAATGAATCCTAATTCTTAATTTGGAATTATTTTCAAAAACTTGATCATCTAAACTGCACCTTTTGGCGGGAAATGTTGGCGGGTAGCCATGCATTTTTTGATTTGTGTTGTATAAGAATTAATATAAAAAAATAAAGAATAAGATTTTTCCAGTATGACTAGTTTAAAGAGTTGATATAACTCGGAAAACTTGAATAGGATATACTAAATAGAAAGTTATTAAACTCGCGGTTTAGCTGGTCAAACCTGATTTCAATACTTCTAATTTTGTTGAAGGCATACTCTCTAGACTCATTAAGCAGGTTTTTATTGTCAATGACTGCTTCTCTGGATTTAATTCCATATAGCTCAACTGAATTCCTGAGTTTTTCCATTCTATCAATAAATTGTGTATATCCAGAATTAGATATAACAGGTTGTAAGGCAGATATCTGGTCATTGTCTGTTACGACAAATTGATTCGAAACCTCAGATTTTCTGGCTTGTAAGCTTTGGTTATGCAGAATTAGAGTACTTTCCATATACTGAATTTCTTCTAATAAAGATTTATATGTAATCTCGTTTGCCGTTCCTTGTACAGTAAATGATGCAGGTGTTGTAGCCATAAACATATCCATGATGCCAACGAGCTGGAGTTGTAGCTCACTAATATCTTGCTTAATTACTTGGATATCTTTGTTTGTAGATTCCAAAGTAGTTGGCTGTTGACAAAATTCTGATTCAATATCTTCGTCAAAACTCTCTTTTGAAGATATTTTTTCTTTGTTTGTTTTAAAATCTTTATCATTATAGTAGTTAACTTTCCCATCCTGATCAATTATGACTTTTCCCTCTACTATTTTTTCTTTGTTTTTCATAAGGAATTCCTTTAGGTAGTCTTTTCTCTCCTTCAATCTATTGAGAAGATATTTATAATCTGTAATACTGCTTGAATGCTTTACAAGCAAAGGACCATCTAAATTAATATCTTCTGATTCACTTAATCCGAGGATACGATTTTCGATTTTGTCACTACTATTACTCTTATTATTTGAATTCTCACTTTCTCCAAGTAATAAAGATCTAATAGACATACAACCTTCTGGAAGTTCTAAATCCCTTAAGATAATATTATTTAGTGCATAACATAAATTTTTAGAATCTTTAATTTTTTCAATTAAATTATTTGCTAGGTACATATGAGAAAGAGGTTTCATGTGCCACCTGTCAGCATAAATAAAGAACATCATTACTGCAATGCTATTCCAATCCTCGTCTATGTCATAAATGCTTTTATCCTCAACAGGTGAAAACGAAAATACATTCCAAACCTCCCTTTCGTCTTCTATTTGACAGAACTTATCCTTATTTCTGTAAATTGAAGGATTTATAACATCCAAGTAAATTTTCAAATTTTTCATTACCTCATATATTGAACTAGTTTTAGTATTTAAAGTTACTATTATTATTCCGGTACCTGACGATTGAACTACATTTAAATCAATTTTTGCTCTTGGAAAATACCTTTCGGTATCTGAACTAACACTGACACATCCATCAAGAGCAGGATTGTCTGAATCCAATACACAGTCAATAAATTCTCCAACACTATCCATCATCCAAACATTACAGTTTACATCTGCTGGAAGCTTCCAATGATCATATTCACAATCTTCTGTTCCTTCTGGAAAAGTTAATGAACTTTCAAATCGAACAGAAATAACTTCTCCTGCATATTTAGGTATTCCGAATCCTCCATGAGAACTATAATGTTTCAATCTCCCTAATTCATTCTCCGTTATAAGCTCTGCCATTTTACCTTAAAAGATTTCTCTTCTATTGATAAGATTTAAAGTTTTTTGTTTTCCTTTATTCAGAGATCTTGATTTACTTAGTTTTAATATAGTATGGTACTTTACGTTACGTATCTACGTGCCTTAATATATTATTCATAATTAATAGCTAACTACAAAAAAAAAATCAAAACAAAAGAAAATTATGTTAAAATCCAATTTCATTTTAAGAACTGAAAATTAATCTAAAACAAAGCAGAAAAAGTTAAAAGCTAATCAACATTTGTTTTTTACTACAGTTTATCACTGTTTTTCTTAATATTGATTTTTTAATTGCTCCTTCAGATGTTAATATCAACAGTGAATTATCTATATTAATACTTTAAATGCTAACTATTATATAATATACTTCTATATCAGACAATCTCAGTTTGTATCTTATATTTATTATTAGGAGTAATTTCTTTAAATAACTTTTTTATGCACCACTGACTACAATAATGCATGCAACGCACCGCCAAAACACACAAATATTGATGGCGCCACTTTTCACAGCAAATTTGTGTGGTTTTTTTGTTAAAATGAAAAAAAACTCAAATAAAAAATACATTTTTTTCATAAGTTAGGTAGAAAACTTCATTTGTAATCTTTTCAAATGACTTGGCTTGTTGATGTTGTTTCTGTTTTTCCGAATTTTGTTAATTATTCTGATGTAATACCTTCTTACAAGTAGAAATGTACGAAAATAATATATTAAATAATTTCCCATGTAAATTGAGGATTCTGTGCCGTTATTACGAGAATAGGTGGAGAGAGCTTATAAACCAACAAAACGATGATCTAGTCATGATTCTGAAAGAATATAATTTGAGGATAAAACACATAGCAAATGAACAAAGAGAATGCGTAGTTAAAAGAATCACGTTCTGTGAACCTGAAACAAAAAAAATATAGTCTAGAAAAGCTTAAATATACAGAAATAAAATTCCTTATCATCAAATAAAACTTTCTAAAGGCAGAAAAAGCAATAAGTAATTTGAGAATATTTTGGAAACTGTGTAACAAAAGAAATTGTATAGAATTTAACGAGAATCACCCAAAATATCCCATTTATCAATCCGAAATCTTCTGCCTCTTATATCTTTGTTGACCATTCTCAAAGTTTTGGATTAAATCTTCAGATCCTTCTCCTACCATTCCAATACAATCACCACGTAAAACAAGAGACTCCATACTTATTATTTCCACTTTGTTAAGATCTTTATTATATATCTTTTCAGAACAATTTTGCAATACTATGTTAGTTAGCTGATCAAATCCTACCAAATTACCAATATATACTTTGTTATCGACTGTTAAAACATTCACAGTTTTGTTAATAAATTGTTCCAGTGTGGAACTATTCATCTGTTAATTCTAAAAAATGATTAAAGTGTATTCAAATAAATAATAAGAATCTATATATATAAGTTTGCCAAATTATTATGTAACTTCAAATTATTTCAGCCTAAAGAATAACTGGAAACAAAGTAATCAGTTCAAAAATAAAAAACATTAAAGCACCATCTAGTTACGTGTTTAAGATCAATTCTTGTTTAATTTCTTATTACCAAATAAATTTATATTCAAAAATTATATTGAATTATTTTTTCTGCCTTATTCTACCGACATTAATGGACCCTCAGCATAATACCGGTTTCTGACTTTAAGTGCATTTTGGCGGGAAGTTGTTTGTAATTAATTATTTTAGGCTAGTTTAAAAATTACCATTCAAATTTGTTGTGAATTTAAGGAAAATTTTGAATACTATTTGTACTTCTCGGAAAAGAGATACTATCCTTAGAAGACATAGAATAACTGTTCCTTATATCCACATAACCAAACAGTGGTTCATATAACCATTAATAATAAATTCAATAACAGGATATATATGTGAGAATAAAAGTGGTAAGCTTGGAAAGTGAGGGAGAAAGAGGCAGGATTTGATCATATCTAGTACGAAACCATGTACTTGGGGTCTCAAAGAAAAAATGGAACAGTGGAATTAGAAATTGTAGGTGAGATTCCAAAAACAGAAAGGTTAGATACTGATGTAATTTCTCCTGTTTCATATGATGATTTATTCGAGATTATACCTAACTCTAGAGGAGGAAAACATGGTAATGAATTGAAGATTGATATATCTGAAGACTTAAAATCTCAGATGACCGAGTTACTCAGATTTTGTGGCATTCATGAATTTGATGAAGAAGACTCCGTGCAATTAGAAGAAAATGGGAAGCATACAAAAGCGAATAAGGATTTTAGGAGTGTTAAACCTCTTAAAGCTCACTCCATAGGGCCTCCATTTTTGGTAAGATTGATGAGATATAATTTATTGGAAAATAAATTTCCCAACTTTTTCGATTTTGGGGTAAACTTAACTTTGCCTGCTTCTTTTCAAGTTTCTGAATATCGCTTACTGAAGACAGTTCATCCTAGAGATAACCCATGGTACAAGGGTTGCAGGAAACTCATTCTATTAGGGATTCCCTCATTTTTACGCCCACAAGACTTGAAAGAAATTATTTTATCTTTTGCTAAAAAGCCAGAATGTAACTTAAAGATGAAAGAAAGGAATAATGAAAACCTCAGACTAAATTTGAAGTCTCCGTCTCAGCGATGCTTCTCAGTTATGGAATTAGGCATAAAAAACTTCACGAACTTGTTTACGACAGAAAATAAGGATTACTATTTAAATAATTTATATCAGCCTTGTGGAGCTATAGTAAAGAGCCATATGAACATGGCATTATTAGAGTTTCAGGAAGAAGAAGATGCTCTCGAATTTTGGGTGGCGCTAAGTACTGGATTGTTCCAATGCTATGGGAGTGTTTTAACAGCTATTCCTGATCCTTCTGGGAAAAGAATTATTGCAGAGGGAATGCTGACAGTATTTTCTCCAAAAAACGTTCCTCTTTTGGAGTCAGTGGAATCTTCTGCGAAGACCATTTTACAAAAAGATTTTTCGAGCTTGAATGAAGTAGAGCTCTTTTTATCTTTTCCACTGATTGGCTCTCCACGTTCTATTGATACTATAAAAAGTGAGTTGATTCAGGTATTTAAAGATATACCTGAATCCGATAGCTATGTTATTGAAGAAACAACAAATTGCCTAACCATCCATTCTAAAATTCAAAAAGTTATTGAATTAATCAATAATCGTCTTTTTCAACATTGTACTTTCAAGATGATCTCAGAAACCGATAATAGGAATTGTTTAGATGAAAATCTCCAAATTGTGAATACTGCAATGTTCATTTTTAGAGAAAAAGTTTGTGAACCCGTAATCATTCAAGGAAATTATGACATTCATCCAGTTAAACATTGTACAATTGAATTTGGTGCTTCAAATAAGAAGCGTGAAAAGAACTCAAAAGTTAGTTTTTCTTCAGCAAATCATAATGATCAGGACACAGAACCTGTTGGGTTTCTTTTTAAGAAATTTGAAGAACTCAGAGAAGCTCTCCAACATGGATTAGCTCCAATTTCTAATAATTCCGAAGACCAGAACATAAATTCTAGCCAAAATGGCTCAAGCAATACTAAAGGATTGCTTAGAACTCCTTCGGAGATGGGTATGATGGGTGAATCTAATACTCCAAGTATAACATCTAACACAGAAAATATTATCAGCAAAAAACTTTCTGGAGTCCAAATAAATGGGTCTTTTAAGGATGAACAAGAAAGTTTTGTTCAGGAGTCTCCAGATTCACATCCTAGACGTTCAAATAATAGAAAAAGAACTCTAAAAAATTTAGATAACGAAGAGCAGGAATTTCCAATCGACTCAAACTCAAACTATAATAATGGTAGTGGATTAAATAGAGATAACACACAGAAACCAGAAGATAATAAAGCTGAGAGATTTACAAGCAAAAGGAGAACTTCTGTTGAGTTGCCAAGGAAAAGCATTAAGAGTAGCTCATATAAGAGAGAATCCTGACCATATTTAAAATTTAAGCTCAAAAATTTATAAAATATATATATCACTTATAAATCCCTATTCATTACCGTTAATTTTAACAAAGGAAATAGTTTTATATACCTGTTCCTCATTACTACTGACTCCTATTTCTTTTAATCCAGATAATTCATTAAGTTGGATTTCAGAGATATATCCAGGACCAAAACTTTTTTTTGAGTATGATCTAACTAGCTTACTTGAATTAAATGTTAATCTCTGTTTCTCCCCTTTAGAGCCGTACTTCGTATTGATGAAAGTTACATGTGGATTATATTCTTGTATGACCGTTTCTGTTATACTTTGATTTTTGTTACTAGCTTCAGGGCTAATATCAGATGTAGTTACTTTAACCCCCGATCTTATAAGGATCTCGCAAAGTTTAAACCAAAGTCGTTTAATTATAGCTACTTTATGATTCTCTGATATTTTTGCATATACTACTCTAGAATTATTTGGAGATCCAAAATAACCTAATCCATGTAGCTCCACTGGGAACCCCTTTTCGGGAGATGCTTCATCTGCAAAGTCTTGAAATTCCCGAGTTTCCGTTAACTTCAATAATGCGTTTTCACAAAGAGCAAGTTCTTGAGGTGTTTCTGCTTGAACTAATCCCAAAGTGATGTGTAGTTTTTTCTCCTCAATGAAATAGCTCGGTTTAATCTCCCCATATTCCGTTGAATTACCTACTGTTTTTTTCAAAGCTCTGAATTCTTTAATTAGATTGCAAGAGTGGTGATTAAATGCCAAACTAAAGAAGTGAGTTGGATTCTGATTCACCTTCAAGTTTTGATTTGCTTCTTCAAAGTCATCTGCAAATTCCAAATTTTCAAAATCTAACCCAAGTTGAGCACTTTCTTCGGGCTCATCGCTTTCAGAATCTGAGAAATCACCATCCCTATTTACTTGTACTTCATCTGTAGGTTTAAAAAATGAAAGTTTTCTCATCAAGTTTGCTGGAATTTGACTCAAATCAACATATTCATTTACCATTCTCCCCCTTTCTTCATCTTCTAGTTTCTGAAAGATGTTTCGTATCTCAAGAACATTTGTCGGTGGGAACAAAATATTCTCATCCAATTTTTCTATTTCATTTGAGTGAAACTGACTATTCTGAGAAAAATGTTCATCAGTATTATAAATCTCTGCCCCCACAACTTTTCTCTCTTCAGCAAGTTTTTCTTTAGATTCTCTTTTTTTTTTAGTCATAAATCAATCTGTTCGATACCACTGATACTCATAATTTACTTTTACTATTCTCTTAAAATTGCAAGCAAAAAAAGGCGCCAACATTCGAGCGCCATTTATTTGATCTAATTTACAGTTAAGGTAACAGAAATTATTTGAAAAAGGTGGGTATAAAAATTAATCAAATTATCTTAGAGATATAAAAAAAGATCATCTGTTTTTATAAACAACTCAGGATTATATATGTTTTATATTTAATTGTGTGAGCACCGTTATTAAGCGATAATACATACTTTAAGCGAGTACCAGAAGAACAAGCACATGCTGGTAATTTTCAAGAGACCGAATAATACAGTAGGAACAGGAGAATACCGGTTTTCATAAAGAAAAAAAATGGATCAAATTATTGACGATCATCAGTATCCTTCAAATCTCCCACTGGAAAAAATTTCTTCTCATCTAAATGTTTCTCTAAAGTTGCTAGAAACTGCTCAAATACAATGGATGAATGAGAAGGAGTCTCTACTTCGCGAGATAGAAAGACTAAGAATGGAAAATAGGACACTGCGAATGGAAGTTAGGAGTAGTGAGAACATTGAAAGAAATTCGGTTTCAAATACTCCAAATATTGCAAGAATGAAAGGCTATTATATTGTAGACAATGATTCTGGCCAGATCATTTCTTTTCCTACAAACCCAGTACACCAAGTAGTAGAAAGAAGCTGCAGTAATTCAAGTAAAATTAAGAGAGCAAAAGATATACTTGAGATTCCAAATATTGCTGACAGAAAAACAAGCATTGCTACTGATAGGAATTCGGTATCTGCATCAAGAAGTATTCTAAATGAACAAATATCTCCCACTGCAAATTCACAAAACTGTAGGGTAAGGCATATTCAGCTTGAAGACGAGAACAATAACCACGAGCCGTTAGAAGAGAAGAAAAAAACTATTAAATATAGAGAGGTTGGAAAAAACATTGGTAAGAAAGAACAAAGAAATAATCTTCAAGCCTTTGAGTGCACTGAGTGTTCGAAGTTTTACAAAGCAATTAATAATACTAGAGCTTCGAAAAGCCAATCTATGTGTAAGCACCTTAAACAAAGCCTTCTTCAGAATTCAGGAAGGCATAGGTTCAATCATCCTCCAATTAAATCCCCACCTGGGTATTGGGATTTGGATGGAATTTGATATAAACAGTGTATAGTAAAAATTTGTTAACTTTTATCATCTCAAAAGTTCTTTTGATTTCTATTTAATTTTGGATTGTTGATTTATCATTAACCGGCATTAGTAAATGGTAGATCTTTTCCGTTAGGTATTAAGTTAGAACCAGAATCAGGGTCAGCCTGTAGAACAAAGACTGCCCAGTCTCTTAGAACATGATTGATCTCTTTCAAAAAAGGTGATTTGCATTGTAAGGGAGTACAATTTGTAGAATGCACCGCTACAACAAGAGAACAAGTTGGCTCTTTCGGCATCACTGGCTTTTTCTCAGCCATTTGGAGAAGTGGAGCAGTTGTAACTTGACCACTACCCATAAGTTGTCCAAGATTTGCAGAAATAAGTATTTCCTCTTCTGTTTGTTTACCAAATACATTACCATAATTCCCCATATATACACCACTTAAAGGTCCATACTCCAATTCTTTTTCTAAACCAGGCTCGAATATTTGGGTTTCCAAACTTCCACCCATAGCCATTTCCTGGAGTCTTCTTAACATTATATTATTACTGTTGTTAATGCTATCCCACTTCCTTTTGTTCTCTAAGTTGTTATCTTCATCTTTTTGTAATCCTTTTGAATCACCACAAATTCCTTTCTCTTTAATACAATTCTTTGAGTTACTTTCTGGTTCAGAACCTTCAAACTCCATATTATTGTCCATATCGATTCCCATACCTCTCATTTGAGCCACTTGGATATTTGCTTGACTTTTCTTGATATAATGAGAAGAAGAAGTAAATAGATTGTTTGAAATAGTGTCAGGTCCTCTTTTCCGGGTATCATTAAAATTGATTGGGAACTCTTGGTTATCATTTAATTCGGAAAACTCATTTAAAGTTGTAAATATATCTTCAACTATTTCATCTGATACCTGATCATTCTCATCATAAGTTCCTGAAATAATTTTATATGTTTCTTCCTCAGGAATTTCTTCTCCAAAATCGTACTTTTCCAATGCTTCAGGAGGAAAAATGACATTGAAACCTTTTGGACACCAAATTCTGCCTTTTGAGTATTTAACAATATCGCAGACCATATTTGTTCTTTGATTAAAAGCAAAATTTGAACCAATATATGAAGGCTGAGAATTATCTGGACAAATTGCTATTGGTGGAACAACCTGAAATGCTTTACAACCTTCAATTGAATTTACAAATCCTGCAGGACATATTCCTCCATCCAATTCCTCAAATGGATTTCAAGTGAATTTTTATCAATATTTTTATAAACTTACAGAAAATGGAATAACACGGTATCCTTCACATGCCCAAGAAACGATGTCTGGGGTCACCTCTCCAGTATTTGAATTAGTTTCTGACTCGTATTTAAGTCTTAGTTTCATTCCAGCAGGGCACGCCAAAGATGGACCAATTTCTCTCTTTTCCTGGCAAATTCCTAAATAAAAAAGTTAAGGAGCATAATATAAAACCAAATAGATCAATTATGATAGGTTTAGAAAACTTATTTTGTTATCTTACCTGGATATAAAGACGATTGTTTAGGGAGAGTACCTGATGCAGAACTAACAAATCTTCCCATATCCCCAAAACATTCAGTTCTTGGTCCCAGAGATACTTCAGCAATACAAAGTGGTCCCCAAGGAGTCCACCCTTTTGGGCATCTGACTTGAACAGGTCTAATTAACTTAGGGACCCTATTATCTACGCCTTTTTCTTGTTTTCTAGTTAATATTGGCTCAAATTCGGGTTCTTTTTCCGTCAGTTTATGAAGTTCAAGAATCTCAGTAACATTTGCATCGTATCTGGGAAACTTATCTTTCCAAGGAAGAGGTTTATAATCAGATTTCAACCTTTGAGGTCCATACATTTCAGCTGGACTTGCTGATCCCGAATAATCGTGCCTTTCTTGAGCCACATTTTGTTGTGTTAATCCGTATTTAAAACTTAAAGTAAACAGTAATAATATTAAAAGATGCATCTCAGAATTAGAAAGTGCATACTATTTGCTCAGCCTAATTCATTTATTCTTCATGTACTATCATTTTTAAAAAAAAAAATACTTTATTGCATGCTTTTTTTTTTATAATATTACCAAATTACCCGCCAAAAAATATTTTCATGATACCCCAAAACAGAATTAAAAAAGGTATCAAAGTGAAGAAAAAAGAATTGAAAAAAACAGGAAGGATAAAATATTGCGTGAAAAGTGGGATAAGGTTGCATAGAAAGATTTTACTGCATGAGCCCCATTAGTGATCCAAATAATTCTTAGGAGAAGTTGAATACTTTGGAATTTGAAAGAAAATGCTCAAAAAGAAGAATTAATATAGAAAAATACAGGTATTTCCTACTAAAAATGAATAATGACATTGAGTTATCTGGGATTTTTTCTTTACCTGAGATTGACCGACTGATAGGAGAGAAGGTCATTTTTTCATCAGTTCTTCAAAATAGTGTTACAAACGAAAATGATCAAGAGTTGAAAGTATTTAGTTACCCAAATCAAAATCTATATGGGTCTATCTTAGAGATAGAATCAATTCTGAATAAAGTGTTTAACAATGATAATTTTTCTATGATGGATTCGTCTATCTCAGAGAATAATGAAGGTAATTTAAGCACTGAACTTCACCAAAATGAAGGTTTAAAAAGTCATTGTCTCTTGGAAGACGATTCTATTAGAGAGAACCAAAGCATTTACAATTGTGAAAAAAAGTTCCCAGAGACCCAAGCTGAAGAGACCTACGATAATTTAAATGAGAACTCTGAAACAAAAGGTATTGATAAAATCAATGAAATGGAACTTTTTATGGATGCTAACGGAAACTCAGCCGAATCTGAGTTGGAATCCATGGATGATTATACAACCTTTGATTATGGGTTTGATGGAAGTGGAATTATTTCTTCGGTCGAGGACTGGGAAAGCGACGATAATTCAATAATTTTTAGATATAATGATATGGTTTGGCCAGAAGAACCTTTATTAGAGGACGAAGAGGTGGAAGTAAACGAGACAGCAAAAGACCCAAATGATGAGGAGCACCTGGAAAAGCATATGGACGAAGCTAAGTTTGAAGGTGAGAGTGAGGCTAAAGGAGGGGATGAAGAATGCAATAATGAATGTGAGGATAATGATCAAATCTCACTTGCTGAAAATAATTTAATTAAAGAATCAGAATTTGTTAGCAAAGAAATTGAAATTGGTAAAATTGAATCTATAACTATAAATGATGAAGCGGATAATGATGAAAGAGATATTATATATGTGAAAAGAAGGCCAGGGTCTGAAAGCAGCTACAATATTGAAGGAGGAATGATGCATGTACCTTCAGTTGAGCAAGAGATAGTACTGGAAAGAGTTACAGAAGAGAGCGTTGAGGCCTCTTCATCTTCAACGAAATTCAGGAAGTGGCTTTCAAATAGCTCAGGAAATTCCAAGCTTCACTCATATTTAGCGGTTTTTAGAGGAGAAAACTTTAAGGAAAGTTCTGCTACATCAGGTTCAAGCACATTTAGAAACATTTTTAAGGGTGGAGGAGTTTTCAGAAGAGGTGGTTATCTTCCAAGCTCTTCTTTTAATTCAAATTTGGTTACAAGTTTGGGAAATATCATTAATCAGGCGGAAAAGACCCACTGTAAAACTTTCAAAGGCGAGAATTCGGATATATCTCAAGCTACTATCTCAAATGGAGCTCAGGAAGCCAGAAGAAGTTTGAGGCAACGCACTCTTCCTATGAAAATATCCACAAAGTACCAGATTAACAATAAGACAAGAAAAGCTCGGGAAAATGATGTTGGGTCGATATGGTTAATAAGGGAAATATATTTATCTCTAACACCTCAAATTCTAAAATTATCAATGAGTATGGATGGAGAGTGGTTGATTTTGGGAAGCCAAGACGGCATTATTCGGCAATGGAAGTTTAAAGAAGAGGATTTAAGGAATTATAGCATGTTATTGTCATCAGCCTCACAAATAGAACCATTTTTTAATGAAACTGAAGATTTGAATGTGCAAGCTCATTCAAATGCAATCATATCTTTGCACTGGGAAAATGATGAAAGAAGCCACAGGTTTCTTTCGAGTAGTATGGACAGAACAGTAAAGCTATGGGAAGCAGGTTTTGCTGAACCAAATGCAGTTATAAGTTGCTCAGATTGGCCAACCTCTGTTTCTTTCCATCCTATCCAAAAAAACATTATATTTATTGGTTCACTTGACGCCTCTGTTCAGATTTTGAGGCTTATTCCGAGTGAGGATTCCTCTAATAAATTTCTTACCAAAATTGTTGAAACTATTAGAGTGCAAGATTTACTCACGTCTTTATCTATTTCACCAAATGGCAAATACCTGGCCTGTGGATTTAGGGATGGCGGAGTTGCATTTTATGACGCCAGAACACTTAAATATAGATGTGATGTAGATTGTAGAAACAGAAGAGGAAAGTCTTCAAAAGGCAGAAAGGTTAGCGGCATTTCTTGGAAAAGAGATAATAAAAGTGTCTTGGTAACAACTAATGACAGCAGGGTAAGGCTATTTAATTTGAGTGATCTGTCAACATTTGTCAAATTTAAGGGACACATAAATGAAGAAACTCTTCTTTCTGCTCAAATTTCTAATGATGAAAAATTCATTGTTTCTGGTTCAGAGAATGGGTACATTTGCCTGTGGGATCTTCAACAGGATTTTGGAAGATCAATTTTTGGAATTCATCACAATAAAAGTAATCCAAACGGCTCCAATCTTCACTCTTCCGCCATTAACAACCAAATATCTTTAAGGTATGACAGGATAAACATTAGAAGAGGTCCCACACAACATTGTGTAGACTCCTTCAAAGCATTTGATTCCTCTCTAACCTCTGCAATACTTGCTCCTCCTTCTTTCTCCAAAAAGATCATTAAATTCTTTAAAATGAACCATAAAAATTCACTAAACTACCCTTCATTCGGAACCTATATAAATGAGAAGAATGCTCAAATATTTATTGCTGTAAACAGAAATGGACAAATCCGATTTTTCATGAATATTCCTAATTAGTAACTATTTCTAAGAATTAGTTTGTTTTTAATTTCTAAAGTTTGATCAACAATAATACCTGTTTACTCAGACTTTTGTCTTAATAGCATTAAATTCCTATGAGGGTTACTCACCTATTATTGTAAGAACAATTATTTAGAGATAGGGAATACATTGAGATCCAAAAACGTATTATTGAGTTCAAACAAACACTTTAAAATTCTTTTAAAAGTTTGCTTAAAGAATATGTTGTAGCTTTGGATACTTTAATTAAGTAGGAACAAATCCTATCAAATTTGCTCTTATAAGATCTTTATTGTTTGAATCAAAAGATACGTTTAAACACATGTTTCCTTGTATAAAACGAACATATAATAATAGATCATCCATACTCAAGTTTGGATTTAGTTCTTCAGAAGATTTTTCAACGTTTTCTATAGACAGTATTTTTTCAGCTACTTTTCTGGTTAAACATACATCCCTCAATAGTAATTCATTCCAAGGCTTAGGTAGAGGAGCGGGGTAATGTATTCCGAGTTCAAGGAATATCTCGTCATTATCTTGACTCCTTTTGGAGTTAAGTACAGCAGCTTCAACCCAAATAACCAACTCATTTTGTGGAAGATCTAGATCATCCACAAATTCTGAATGAGCTTGTAAGGCTGGTAGAGGTTTTGTTGCATTAAAATCACTATTATAATTCACTTTAGAATAAATGCTATTTAAATCCCCATAATTTTCATCCTGACACTCTAAATCCTCCCTAATCTCAACATCAGCGTAGTTATCAAAGCTATCAAAATAGTCAAAGTCTTGTAAACCACTGACTGTACCGTTATCTAAAATTTCGTTATCTTTATCTTCAATATACTTAGAAATAACCTCAACAACAGAGGAAGAATCAGAGTTAGAGTCAGCAGGTTGGTCAAAACACTCATCTTTTATTTCTAACTTCTGTAATAAAAGTTCATCTTCTTTTAAGGAGCTGCTAAAAAAGAAATCCGAATTAAATTTCTGTATTTTTTGGTCCGAAATAATTTCATAATTCTCTTTAGATGCCTGATCATCCTTTTTTTCCTTTGAATTAGTATTTGATATCACAAAATTAGAATAAGATCTAATATCTAAGTTCTCCTGAGAAGCCTTTATTTGTTTTCTGCTAGGTTTCGCGGATAAAATAGATGAGCTGGAACCACCTATAGGTTTTCCTCCTATATTTTCATTGTAATCTTTTACTTGGTAATTAAGTTTTTTTTCAGCATCTTTATGCATGATAAAAGTAAGCATCCCAGGTAATAAAAGTATTACGCCTCTCTTGATTTCAGGTTCACCTGACAAAAAAACCAATATATGGGCACTATTGTCCTTGGTATCTGAAGGAGCATTATTTTCAATATCTCCTCTATATTGGCACCAAAATTTTATAAACTCGTCTAATTCAGGTAAGTATCTGAATTCCATTGCTGAGCATACGTTCGTTCCATCTGTAAAAATGAGTTTCATCATCCTATTTTTCGAGGGAGGAGTAATTGAGATCCCGTTCATCTTAGCTAAATCTGAGTTAAAATAAAAACGATTCTTATACTTGGCCTTAGAAACATCTTCGGCCTCTAATAGTTGCAACAAATGAACTCCCTTTATGTTAACTTTGTGCATTGAATGTATCTCCAAAGGTAGACTGCCCCTCTTTATAATTTTTGATAAATCCACCGAAAGCAAAAGCTTTAAAAACTTGACTGAATATTCATCGTAGTCTTCTCTATAGGGTTCTAACAGTTTCTCGGCATCCTCATTAATTTGAATTTGTAAATCTTTCAATACGTCTTCAACCAAATTTCCACTCATGAGTCTACTCAAAATTAAGATCCTAGTCTACGGACAAAGACATGATTTGTACATTTTTGGTTCACTTGAATTATCCAATCTTATTCAAACTGATCAATTTTTTGATTTGGTTGGAATCAAACATTAATTGGTACTGGTATTGTTTTGGCGGGAAATCCCAGCTTCAATGATTATTTAATATAAAATAAACAAAAAAAAATTTAATATGTTTGAAAGGCTTAATATAAAAGAAAAGGGATGTGGTCATGACACTATATTGTCCGATAGGTTTCATATTCAGAAAATTCTCCTAGATTTTGATCAGGAGGCATCTATTCATTTGGATGATGACAAAACTGAAGAACTACTTATTCAGCTTGTTAAAATATACTCAGAATCGATTATTTCTTTAGATGCAGTCACAATAAATGATAATCTTGTAAGAAATTGGAGTCTTTTTAACATATATTTAAAATTAGAAATGTGTGGTGGCTGTATTGAACATTTTAAATTAGCATTTCAAATGATTTCTAGTGTTATAACTACAGTTCCTAATTCTGTATATTTGTTATTTACTCCATTAAATGAAAATACTGATTTATGTCCAATAAAATACCTATGTTGGATGTTAAGTAAAACTTTCTATGGTATTGATTCAGGCTCTACAGATTTCCAAAAATTGCTAAGTAGCATTAGTTTTTTACAAGCTGAATATGTGGGTAATGGAATCAGAGATGAACTTATTAGAGGCTTTGAAAATAGTCAAAAAGACAATTTAAAAGTTACCGAGAATGCTGAAAATTACAAAAATAAATCCAGCCTGGAAGAATCGGCTGTAGATTTAATAACCGATTCTTTGGATTTGCTGGAATTGATCTTTAAATACATTGATGATTTAACATTTATCTATGAAGCAGACTTTAAACAGACAGAAAACTTTAACATCTGCATTAGAACCATAATAAGCACATATTCTCCTATATTCCAAACAATTTTATCGTCTAAAACGATGCAGAAAATGCATGGGAAAGAAACTGATAAGATAAAAGAAACAAGAATTTTAGTTTTGAGGATTTTTGAGAGACTCGCTCTGGTTCTGTCAAATACAGACCTATTACCAATTTTTCTTGATTCGCTTAATAAGGAAATAGTTAGTTCTCAAGGCACTATTTTTGAAAGTTTAATGGATATTTTTTCTCCTGACTTTCCGAATTGGTATACATCAAATTACAGAGGACTAATAGAATCAAAAAACTTCATTTTTTCTCTGCAGCTTCAATTTGCTGGATTCCTGTTTTTAAAAACCTTGTGCAATAACTTAGAAGAATCATCTCCTGCTGTTGATATGTTTTTATCTGTAAGGAAACATTATATACCTTTTGATGAACTACCTGATTTTATCTCACAAAGCAATTATTGGTTTAGTGATGTCAAAGACAAACTTAACTTTGATAAAGAAAACAGTATTTTTGGAAATTTCCCAGAATATGGAAATTCTTTACCACAATATGTAAACAGCATTTTCTCAAACTTGTTCTATAGAGTTGTTGCTGTAGCTTTTCACAATGGACTTAAACTTCAACAAAATATAATTGATTACTCCCAAATCACTGAAACATTACATGAAAGCATAATAGGCAATGAAACTCTGGCTCTAAAAAGGCTTTACTTCTTAAAGATTGATCTTTTTACCGTAAATATTCAAATTATTAACTTCATTATTACTTCTATTGTCTCTATTTCTTCTGATAATATTTCAGATGAGGAATTTAGAAAATCTAATCCCACTGCAGAAGTTGTTTCAATTCTTCATTTATTTTTGGTCTGGATCTGTGAATTTGTGTTTGATTACAAATCTAAGATTCCTCAATTCTACCAAATTCTTGAAGAAATTAATATGATAAAAATCAGACTTCCTATTCTATATAATGCTTTTAATAAAGAAATAACCAGTTAAAACATACTATAGTATGTTTCGGCTAAAGCAAAGAAATCATATATTTATTGATTACAAGCATAAGCCAAACGTTATATTTAATAAGTACTATTCTTTCTACTTTCCACTTTTCTCTTAATGTTATTCTAACTAAATTTCAACACTAAATAATGAATTAATATAAATATACACACAAACAATATTGAATTGAAAGCCGTATAGTTTCGTATTTAAGACAAAGCCTCAATTCAATTTACAAAACTTTAAATGAATAGCTTAGGAAGAAGGCTTTGAACACAAGTCCTTTAGTATTTTTATTTTAGTTTTTCTTTTTTTTTGTTTAGAGGCGGAGATTATTTAACAATATGGCGCGTATTTGGAAGTGTTTTTGTGTTTGAGTATATAAAATAATTATTTACCATATATATTGAAAAAGAGAGTGAGTTTAAAAACCAAAATTCAGACAAATTAGGTAGAGATATAAAAACAAGAGTGATTTTTCAGCTAATAATTGATGCATCTAAGTTTGAAATCAAAAGCGAGATAACTACTAAATCAATACTAAAGGAATATATGGCAAGCGTTAATTAAATTGGGTGGGCAAAGATAACAGTGGCAGGAGCCTTTGAAACAAAGATGGATAGAAATAGATGGGCTGGATTATTGAGAAATTGCAATAGATCCCTGCTTTCTTTCCAAGTATATGCAAACCATCAGTATTCAGAAAAGGAGAGTACCCAGGAAATAGAAAACCTTATTCTAAAAGATATTCCAGTAATTATTCGCGAAAGAGTTGAGAATTACACTAAAAAGAGCCTTATTCCTCAGAATTCGTCTTTGAAAAGTCAAATATTTTTAGAAAAGGATGTAATTAAGACAATTTCGAGTTGCTTTCAAGTAGATTCGGAAGAAGCTTGCCGAATTTTTAGGGGGTTTAATTACATAAGAGAAGGTGGCTTTATTATAAGGTTTACAAATACAGATGATCAGTTTCTATCAAAAGAAACTACAACAGAAAACGGAGGTGATTCTTTAAGTAAACATAGTACTGGAGTAAATACTGGAGGAGTTTTGGACTGTTTTTTTTCCGATGTGGACTTAATGAGCAAAATATACGACTTTATATTACATGAACAACTTTCACTATTAGATTCAGTGAAGTTTATGTACGAAAATGCAAACTTTGAAAAGGAACACTCAGGTTTTGGAACAATTTTAAAAAAAGCTTGCTTTGGAGAAGTACTTTGGGGAAAATACCAGGATTATTCAACTAAAGAAACAGCTGAAAAGTATTCTTCCTCGTTCAATCTATTAGATGAGCTTTGGAGATGGTATTGCAGATTAGTTAATGACCAGTTTGTTGAGTTTGATGACCCAGAATTGGAAAGAATCTTTGGAGGTACTTTATTACAAAGCTATTCTAGGCAACTTCTGGAGTCTAATCTACTACATACCATTTTAGTAATTCTTCAAGCTCAAAAGGGATATATAAGTAACTTGCCAGGGATTCAAAAAAAATTGGAAACAGAAATCAATGCAATTGCAGATAACAACCTTTCATTTAAGGATTCTCTTTCAAAGTCCTCACCTCTGAACAGGTGTAGACTCATTATTTCAGAACTTCAGTCAAAGTGCTTCCTTGGAAGTCTGTATACTCTTTATTCTTCAAACAATGGAGTTGGTATAGGGCAACTCACATTATGCGATAGCAACTTAGCTCATTCTACATCTATGGTAGATCAACTTAGACAAACTGCCTCAAATGGAGTTCTTTTAGCAAGCTCTCTGATACTTTCACTCTCACCAAAGGAGATCACAATTAAAAATGAAGACTTGGGGTTTTTAATTAATGTTGTAATAACTTTATTAGAATCTCTCTGTTCAAATGATTCAGGAGAGGTTTTGTGTAAAATTCAAGATGAAAAGTATAACTTTTCTACACCTTCAAGAGCTAGAGCAACCACATTTGGTGGAAATTCCCAAAAACAGCTATTTGTGAGAGGAAACTTACTTTTGGTCCACGCTAAAGTCGTAAAGCCTTTGTTGCCTGCTCTAATATTTAGTTATGCCTCCATAGTTGTGCAAACCCCAAATAGAGATTCACTTTTGGCTCCTATTCTTGGCACTCCGTCATTTTTTCAATCTTCTGCATTTTCTGACTCTTTGGAGAATATTCTTCACGCTCTCAATTCCCAACATCCTCTCAAGCAATATATTTCAGTTTCATTTCTTTCAAGTTCTGAATCGGAAAATAAGACAACTCAAAACATATCGTTTGACTTAGAGGATTCTTGGACTTCGGAAGATTTAATTAACAGTGGTAATAGGAAAAACATAATTCTAGGAGAGACTTTTGGAACATATTACCAGTATTTGGTTTTATATAGTATAATCAGGAACACTATTTCAACATTTTCATTAAAAGCACTACCTTTTGTTGCAAGAATTTCGAAGCATCTAAGCTTCCTACTTAGAAAAGAACCCAGATTGGTATACAGGGAATGCTGGAGAGGAGACTATTTCAGACAAATTGGAGTTCATTTAATCATTGAATTATTCATTTCTTCGTTCCCATATGGAATTGTTGAATTTCTTGATCTTTTAAATAGTCTTGTTCCTGACTTTAATTCAGTTTCAAAATTTAATCAAGCTGATGTTGATATGGCTAAACAATCCTTCAAGCTTTTTATGACTTTTTTGAGAACCCCTATAAAAAATATATCATTCCCTCCATACCTTTCTTCGCTTGGACTATCTCCTATTCCTATAAACCACTGGAATCCAGATTCAGTCCGTAATGGTTCTGAATTTCCTGAGCTTCCGTTGCATTTGGAAGTATCGTGCTTAGAAACTCCAAGTTTGGCTCTGGGAGCATCTTTTTCTCAAGCATCACTGACAGGAACTCTCGAAGGCTGTTTGTTGGACTTTTTGGAAATAAAAATCAACGATGTAACTCCTCTTTCTGCTGGATTCCCAAATGCAAGAAAGTGTCTGACGCCGCTTAGAGTTCTTCCTATTGGAGTTGCAGAGCCTGTTCCTCTAAAGTCACTTTTAATCGAAAACTCAGAAACAAGTTTCTCTTCGCCTCTTTGGTCAAACTCACCTTATGGAACTTCCTATGATTTTCCTGAAGTCGAAATGCCTCCATATTATCACATTCACAATACAAGAAACAAAAAACAAGAAAGGAGTGAAAAAAATAGAGGTTTCAATATTGATATTAATGAACTTAGGCTTCCTTCCGAGCTTAGTAACAACTCGGCAGAAATCAAGCTTGGAGATTTGGACCCTTTCACAATAAAGTTCTGTTGTAAAAACATTCAGAATCCTGATTCTTTGCCATCACTACTTAAAATCTTACTGCTGATTTGGGAATCTATTGGCCTTTCATTGTCTCAGCTTGGAGGAAATTTGATAAAGCCTCAGATTGAAATGTTGGTTTCCATAAGCGAACTTATATACAGACTTGCATCATTCCACCCATCAATTATATTTGTTCTTGACCAAGAAATATTCTCATGGAATGTATTAATCCCAAATGTCTCCCAACAAGGATTAAAAGCCTCTTCTAGATTTGGACTCTTGACAATAAAAACCATTCAAATGCTCAAGGGAATTTCCTCTCTAATTAGTAACAAGAATAATGGAGAAGAAACTATATCAGTTACTTTCCATACGCTTCCAAGACTATTTAACCTTCTTCAGATCTCTCTACAGCCTATTGACCTGCTTTCCATAGACGACGCAGTACATGGTAATTTTTTAAAGCTTCAAGCTGGTTTTAAAGAGTTCAATAGAGATAATAAACAAGTTAAAAAGCAATTAAAGCCATCGGTTTTTGTATCCCCTTGGAACCATATGCCTCACGAAATTCCTATGTATTGGCTTGTTCCTTTGCTGCTCTCATGTGTTAGTTCAAAAAGTCTTGTAGATCCAGCTTCACAAAAAGATGCAAGCTACTATTCTCCACTACTTAAGGGAGTCCAGGGCTTTAACTTTGACGAGCTTTTTAATCTGGTATCAAAGTCTCTGGAAATTGTCGAAAAACAGCTGAAATCATATCCAATTACTGCACAGATCCTTGAATTTGTTATGAATCTCTTAAACTTTTGTCCAGCTTCATTTTGGGGTCTTGGATGGGATAGGCATGCAAGACTTTTATTTACCACTTTGGAGGAATATAGCTATGGTTCATCAACAACTAATAAAATCATTAGAGATATCCACCTTCTAATTAATGACTGCATCATATATCAACAATGCTCGGAAGAGGTAGAGCAGCAGAGAGATTTGTTTAGCTTTTTTAGTAGGATTTCACACTTTTCAATTCACACGGTTCTTTCCAGAATTTCAAGCTGGCAGTTTAATTTAGAATCAGAGAGAAACTTACTATTTCTACGTTCACTATCAGTTTTCGGATTACTTCTAAACTCAATGGACTCTGCAACACTAATCAAATCTGATGAGGATTATGAACAATTAAACAGAAATATGATCAAACCCGAATTCAAAGATGGTAATTCTTACAGCCTAAAAGATGTCATTCCCAGCATTTCTGGAATTACATCATCTAATCATCGAGCTACTATAGCTACTCTTTTAAAACATATTACTGAAACTGGCCTAATACCTTCCTTGCTTACAATACTCTCTTGCGAGTATAGTATTCATTCCCAATCATTTAGGAGATCACGGTATTCACAGATAGCTAAAGACGAATTGAATGACATTCCTGCTCCCTGGGAATTACTTATTTCAAACTCGATAATTGCTCGTGCAATGGAAAAGAATGATTCTCTTTCTTGTACACTTGCTCTCCATCTTCAACATTCAAATTCTCAGGTTATGTTTCTAGACAAACTCCTCATACCTACTTTTGAGTGCAGTAATATTCTCCCTAATCGAAGTGGAGAATTGTTCTCTTCCCCTGATGTAATAGTTGCTCAGCAGGTTGTAACTGAAGTTCTCAAGGTAATTCAAAAGCTACTTAATTCAGTTGCTGATCTTCAAACCAACTCAGATTTACTTTGTTCTTTAAGAACAGCTCTAGTTCAGTGGATTCTATCTTCTTCGCCAAACCAAAACTCCCAGATTTCAAAGAGCCTACTTGACTCTCCAAAGTTTAGTTGGTCAGATACTGACATTATTGCACAGAATATATACTCAAAAATATCTTTTCTTTATTTGTCAAAGAAGCCTGTAATGAATTTGGTAAAATCATTATTTTCTCTGATGCTCAGTTTTGTACCTTCTTCCATGACCTTAAATGCTCCAATTCTTGCAGCAAAGCTCCTTTCTTCATTTTGCTATATCCTTTCATCGGAGTCCTCTCTTAATAGTCATGAGCAAATCCAATTACAAAACTCCAGACCCGATGTAATTCTGGAACAAATTCTCAAGCCCTCTGCTTCTCTAAATTCAATACAACAGGACTTTTTGCTTTCACTAACAAACACTAAGCTCTTTCCTTTACTAATAAAACTTCTGTACCAAGAACTCGACTTTGTGCTTTTGGCACCAATATTTAGTTTCCTAAGAAGTTTCGACTTTTCTGAACCTAAAGTACATAATCAAGACAAAACCCCAATCGAATTTTGTAGAGTGGTTCTCGAGCTTATTAATTTGTTTTCTGCATGCCATCCTTCAATGCTTATTGGATCAACGGGGAGTTTTTCTTTTGAGAGAATGGATCACGTGTTGAATCATTGCAAATCCAATCTCACAATCTGCTCTGGTAATCAGATAGGTGGCCCTCCTTCATCTTCTATTAGTAGAATTGGACTTATTTGTCACGCCATAGTCGGAATTCTCGAGAAATCTAACTCACTATTAGAAAGTATAAGCAAGAAAGATCTGGTCATTTCCTCGAACCTGTTCAATATTTTAAATCTGATTCCGTTATCATTAAGCCTACTAAACCAGCTCTTTGAGAATACGAGATCTAAGGATTTTTTGACTAGAGAAATGTTTCGTCAGTCAAAAGATATTGCTAGCAGCCCGTCAACCACTTCAATCTGGAATATTATAATATCCGTTACACAGAATCTAACTTCACTCTGGAATAATCTTCAAATAGATTCCAATATTCCCCAATCCAAGTTACAGTTATTAACTATAATATCATCATCTATTTCTTGTGCGTATCATTTAACATCCAGGTTTATTAGTCTATCCACTAACATGAGTTTTAAAAACTACGACAAGCTCCCAGTTTTCTTGAGGGAACGTAAAATATTTGACTTTGTTAAGTTTCTTGTTTCGGACAAAGTAATACATGAGATTCTTCACTCTTCAAAAAGCTCAAAACTCATTTTTGGCTTATTTCTTAAGTCAAATAATCACTTTTCAACAATTGAAGACAAACTTGGAATACCGATCGAATACTGTATATTCAGTCAAAACACTTGTGATTCCAATCATGACACAGACTTACCCAGAACTTACAATTTATACCCAGAGAATTCCTTGGAGCAATTTGTTAATAAATACTATTATGAAAGATACCTTAAGTTTTCCCATTTAGTCATTTCAAACGAGTCAATTCACAACCTTACAGAATTTAATATATCAAAAATTTGCAAATTTAGAGATGAAAGTTCTAAAGATCTTGGATCTAGTTCCTTTGATCCTAGTAATCAAGCTTTCAAACTTCCTCCTTCTAATAACAGTGAAACATCTCAACTTGCTACACTTGAAATGGTATGGGAGTCTGGGCAGCTTTTAGCTCCAAAACAGCGTTTTTCTCCTAATAGTTCAAGCCTTGAAAAGAAGGATGGATCTTTACAAGTTAGCGATGAAGAACCATTTATTAAACCTTCTGTAATCAGTTCCAGAGTTAAAGAAAGGTCAGAAACTGCATCATCTTTGCAAATTTCTAGAAAGGAAGTTTCTAATACTGACTTAAATCGAATAGCAGAAATTCCTTCATTGTTGTCCCTAAGAAACTCTTCTTTCATTCACAAAACAAGACAGTGGGGACCTGAATTCGAATTAAATGTCTCTGCAATGCTGGTACTGTTATCATGCTCAACTGCAGCCTGTATTTCTGTTCCTCACTCGAAGATGGACATTCAGACATTAATAACCTTTTCTAAAGAAATAATATTTCAGATTCGCCGAGAAAATTCTTCCAGAAGCTTTCTGGAGTCATTCATGTACCTTTTAACCAGCTATAATGAACTTATATTTTATCTAAAGACACTACTTCCAGTAGTTATTGCAAAGTTTAGTAGCCTAGTTTCAAACTCTTTCCTTTCAGAACTAGCAGTTCTGTTTGATACCACTAAGCTCACTATAATCAATCACTGCATTAATCTGGCTCAGAAAGAGCATCAAGATTGTGAAATAGAAATGGCTGATGGAAGCCCTAAAACTCCACTTCTAGAAGATTTGGCTCTGAAGAAAAAACCTAATTTCTTTCCAAACCTAATGATGACCATAATATTCTCCACATGTACCGATCTATTGACTTTTGATCTTGTATCTAATGTCAGACTTATCGTTGGAAGAGCAGAAATGATTGAGACTCAAAACTCATTGAAAGCTCCCAAGTCTTTTGCTGGAGCAAAAATCAGTGAAAAGAATTGCTCATATACCTTGAATCTTGCCCCTATAGCTTCAAATAATTCATCAGTTAGTCTATCTTCTTCTTGGCAGGATCTAAATGGCCAGTGTTTAAGAAATACCCAAGGTTCGAATAATGAAGCATCCGAGTTCAGAGGATGTATTGGAAACCTGATAAATTATATGCCTGTCTCGGAATTCTCAGAAAAAAGCCAAAGAGCCAGCGTAAAAAGGCTTTTTTCCTTACTTATTGAGCATTGTTGCAGGTATATTATTCGAAATTTAAAGAATATTTTGTTATCCCAAGAAAAAACTATACCATCTCAGATTCAGACTCAGAATAGGAGTGAAACCTGCCAATTAAACTTTGGCTTCAAGTACATTTGGACAATCCATTCTTTTCAGATTATAAAGAATTTCTTTGAAGGCCAAAAATCACAAGAAAATGATATTTGTTTGTCCTGTGATTTAACTGCAGCAGCTTACCTCCTTCTTTTTGTACTCAAACAGTTATCTTCTCTCTCAGAAGTGGAAGATAACACACCCATAATAGAAAGCTCTACAATAGCATTATTGCTGGAGTTAACTTCATGTTCTATGCAGTTTTATAAGAAAAATGGAAAGGTTATTCACAGAATTGCCAATGAAATAGGGAATATAGATTTAAATGGCACTTCACTAGACTTTTTCTCAAGCTCTTTAATTGCTCTCCCTATTCTTTGTCTCTGTATTCCAGCACAAATAATAGAGGTTATATACATCGACAATAGGAAAAAGCTTCTTCAAGACATTTCATCAGAATTTACTATTAATACTTCAAACTTAAAATCCCCAATATTAACCAGAATCAAAGAATTACTCGTATCAAACTCTCTTTTGGACGAATTTAATATCGATCTGGCAGTCAAGGTAATACCAATATTAGATTCTGTAATTCAATTAAACTCCGCCTGTCTTGATAAGAATGAGGCTCCTAGCTATAGCTATCAACAGGCAATTCTCAGAAAAGACCGTATAGAATCTATTGGGTACCTTAAACCTCTTAAAGTGCCATTTCTGAGTTGGAATGAGGCAGCTTACCATTCAATACTGACTTCCACAATGTCTTGCTTAGCAGCACTTTCTTCCACTCCACAGGGGTGTATGTTTATCCTCAAAAGCGGGATACTAGTGCAGATTGCATCAAACTTCTTTCTTAATGGATTCAGATTTGCAAATACTTCGGCTACATCGAAGCAATTAAATGAGAATTCTGGCAGAAATCCCGAAATATCGTCTATTAAATTGCCATCTAATTCTTCCTTCTGGCCCTCAACCTATCTCACAGTAGAGCTTGGAGACCAAACCATTAGAAATCCTATGCATGTTTTATGGTGCAAACTCATTTCCCTTTCTACAAATGTGTTTGCTTCACTGGCAAAGTCCTCAGGAAAAGTATATTCAGAAGATGATAATAATTTGCAAAACAAGAGGCTCAATACATCTGCACAAGGAGGAACTGAATACAGGCAATCCATGAATACTTATACAGAGAGGATATTGCGTGGGCAGTCGGCTCGTAGTCTTAGTACTATTTCGAGAAAGCCTATGAGCGCAAAAACGGAAGAAGAAACAAATATATATAAATCAGAACTCTTTAGAGATGATTCTCAAGCAAAAGAGGAGGTATTGAAGTTTATTCAACTTGTTGAACCAAGAATTCAACTAATCCTTTCCGAACAACGACAAATTTCTCAGCTTGCAACATTAGAAGAATTTAACCTTGGTATTGATTTGATCAGAGCAACAATTGCTTTAAACATCTTCGAACTGAGATACGAATTGACAGAAATCCTCAGAAAGTCCCTTAGGACTGTTAGAAGTTTGTCCGTAGTGTCTCTTGGGCGTGGAATAACAGAAGCTTTTGACATGTTTAAACCAACCTCGAGAATAGAGAGAATTTCAGCCGGGCAAAGCCCAGAAACCTTGAATTTGTACCACCTAGATAGTCTTCCTGCCCAAGTCCCCTCAATTTTCCATCAACGGTGTTGCGTTCTTTTGCTGAATTCTGTTAGGAGTATTATTGATACATTTATTTCAGAATCAGGCTTCTCTCTTGAATTGCGTGGATGTAGAGAACTTCTTATGCAACTATTTCATGATACAATGGATTTAGGCCGTCCAATTTTGCAACTACTAGAAGACATTCCGAATCACAGTTATTCAGCATTCATAATTGTAAAGTCCAAAAGTGGAGATTCTTTTCTGCCTTTATCTTTAAATGTTCAAGCTCTGAACCCTTCAGAACCTTCCATTACTGATCTCCTCCCAGAATATAAGAATGTATCACTGAATAAGAATAACTTGGAATTTAGAGGAATAGCTAGGATTTCAGCCATTTCAGAGTCATGTTGTCTACCCGAAATAATCACTTTCAGCTCATTTTTACATTTACTTAGCTCTCTTGTTGATATAATTGCAATCTGTGGAGCGAAATGTTTGTATACACTTGAAAGTTTAGAGGCTTCAGATCAGCACAACGACACCATTAGAAGATTCCTGGAATTCCTTCACCTTTCCCAAGGCCTCAACTCCTCTTCTCTTTTGGAGTCTTCAAAGAAACTAATTGAAAAAGTTTATGCAAATCTGAAATCCAAGCTTGGTGATCAGATTAATGTGGAAGTTGTTGGACTAGTTGGAATTAAAAAAGATCCTATTCATGCGCTCTTATTTGAAAGACTTTCAAATACAAATAGCAATGTAAATTCTGGTATATAACAAATTCATCCACTTAGGTTTGTTTTATTATAGTAATTAATGATCTAAATGCTTCAATAATAGAATTTTTCTACGACTTTTATGTTTTCTATTATGTGAATTTTTTTCAAATATTTTCAATTTTTATTAACAGAATTACGGAACCAACTCCTCATTTGTAATCCCTATATCCGGGAAATTAACATAACTAATCATTTAACTTGCATTAAAGTTTTTTTCGTTAGTCATAGTATTTGCCTTTTGAATCAATCTTGAATCCTTTTTGGGATTCCATCTGGCAATTAGCTCACTCATTTGTATTGCAACAACTGCAGATGCCGAAGTTGGAGATAACCCTGAATCCTCATCTTCTTTTTGTGTATTGCTGTTATTAAAGGCAATGTTTGAAAATCTACTTTGCTCATTTGTTCTATATATCTTTGCTACTACATCATTATTATGTGGTCTCTTCTTAAGGCTTTTATAACTATTATGTTTGCTAGTTCTTGTACTGCCTTCATCCCCAGTTGTACTTTCGTCCAATGTTTCAGTGAATGCCTGGACGGATGGAAGAGAAGAAGAAGATCGAGGTCTTGTTGCTATTTTACAACTATCTGAACTACCATCGGAAATCAATGAGTGTCTTCTCAATGATTGATTTTTTACTTTAGCAAAAGAAAGTGAAGGGCCGTTCACTATGCTGTTTTCCTTTTTTTCCCTTCCTACTGAGACTTTTCTTTCAATATCATGAAGGCTAGAATCATCACAATCTTGTTCTGTAGGGACCTCGTCTCTTCTTGACCTAAAACCAAATTTTCTTGCATACCTCGGAACTAGGGCAATCACTAGAATAGAGAAACCAAAAATAATTACTGAAATAAAAAAAATCAAAGTCAATGCTTGGGTGCCATTATAAATAATTTCTGAGGTTCTTAAACTATTGTAACCATGAACTTCAGAAATACCATTAACACCATCTTGTTTTTCAATTCCTCCTGTTCTTGAAGTCATCAAAACGTTGTCCATTTTTCCTATTTTACTCTGAGAAGGATTTCTTGAATCTCCAACTTCACTCTTTATTCTCATTTGATTGTTTACCTTAAGGTTGTTGTAAAGTTGGGGAGCATTCACTACATTTCCTTCTACCTTTTGCTCCTGTTTTATTCCGAAAATACTCTCACTTGCTGAAATAACCAAGAGTAATACTAAAAATATTCGCATTCTTTACATATCGATTATACCAAGATATGGAGGAATGCAAAAGGATGTAGTTTGCTCATATATTTAATCAATTTTGAATTTTAAAGAACGGTCCTCGCCTTTTTGTATTTTAGTCTATACATGTAGTTACATGCAATTTTTATTTTTACTTTTTTATTTAAAAATTTAGATATGTGAATTAATTTATATAAATTAATACGAAAGTAACATATTTTTGTTCATTTTAAAACCTTTTACAGATTAAATTAAATTAAATTAATATTGAATTTGTCTGCAATTTATTAATTACATAGTATTAATTATATAGAAACAGTTAACTATTTCCTAATACAATAGATAATTTAAGTTACACTAATCAGTAACTAGTAGAAAACATATAAGTTGCTCTAAGTGGCTTATTCTTTTTTCAAAATTCCACTGATAGCTCCAGAAAAAGTACTAAGTATTTTATTTTGAACAGTATTGTTCGTGTTTCTAAGTTGTTGAGTCTCTCTATACATCCCTGCACGATTAAACCAATAGCTCTGTTTTTCAGAATCTCTGAGCTTTGGAATTAATTTTGCTGCAATATGTCTTGCATCATAATATATGCATATATCAATGATCTTTTCTATGCTTATAGGGGGCGAGGATATATTAATTGACTGAATTTCTGTTGAGAGTTCTTGAAACTTTTTCCCCATTCCAAGTCCTTTAATTTTATATGTCCAATAAATTTTATCTTGGACATTTAAGGCTGTCTTTAACTGCAGAAGGTCGTCTAATAAACCTAGAAACGCAAGGTACTTAATTGTGGTGGAAAGTGAGCATCCCACAAACGAAACAAAATTGGGAATTTCAGAAGTCTTCCAAGATGCCTGCTTAGACTTGCTATCTAGATTTGTCTGATACTGAATAAGCTCTATTTCAGCTATAACAGCTTCGCGTTCAAAAGAAGAACCAGAGTTAGGATTTGAAGAATGAATAAAAGAAATTGCCCGAGTTTTGTCGCTTGTTTGTGGAATTGTACTTTTTAGTAGTAGCAATGATTTAGTAAGAGTATTGTTAGAAATCATTTTACCAAATTCAAGAGATTTTTTTGATTTTAAAGATGAAGAGAAATAAGCAGCTGCATGAGCGAGGTGCTCCAACTTTGCTAATATAGAATTTTTCTCTAGAGTTGCAAGCATAATTTTAACCCAACCAGCATCAAAAAAATTCTCCATTTCTTCAAAAAGTTTAAGAAGCAAATCAGTCTCCCCCAAGTTAGTACAATAATATATCACAAAAGGTACCATTTCGGGAATATTAGCCAGAGTCTCAATAGTTTCAGAATCCCAATAATGCCTTTGAGTTGATTCTGAAGTCAAAGGAGAAACATTCTCAGTATGAGATTTTTCTTTAGATGACGCAAATAACAAGTGAGTAACACAAACATATACCAAGTCTATGTCCCTGTGTTTTATAGATTGCTCAACTGCCAGCTTGAAGGCTGATAGCTTAAGAAGCATAGCAACTCTTCTTTTAAGATTCGGTTCATGTTGTAGCAAAAGGATAGCAAGATGCATTCTCCCTGCTTTTGCTGCCTCGTCAGCTATCAAAGAGAAACAAGAACTTCCAAAACCATTTTCTATAAATTTTTTGCTGGAACCCTGATTTCCAATAATCTTCGATATTATAGTCCCGGCTAATTCTTCATCAGTTGCTTCCAGTGAATGTCTGATTTTGGCACAAGCCCAACTAGATAGTATATGAAAGTGGCTTATATTGCAATACTCACAGATTTTTATTGAAAGCAAATAACATCTATGATTTGCCAATCTGGATGAAAGAACTTTAACTCCATAAGTTCTGAGCTGGATAACACTTGTATTGAACTCAGCACTTGATTGGTTAACTGCCTTTACTATACGAAGATCTCTACAAGCTGATATATAGCTTTTCTCCCATTTCTTTGCCTCAATTTGATCGGAACCCAAAGATTTAATTGAAAAAAGTCTTCCAAATGAAGCAATTTTAAGAAGTTTAATACAAGTTTCTTCCTCGTGAAATTTGCAAACAGAAGCATCTATACATGTTAAACTTGCTTCTAATAGTTGAGAAGAAATTGCCTTGAGAGAATGATAAGCTGTAATATCTCCTGAAATGTGTTTTTCATATGCAAAGTAAAGCATTGCAGAGGGTTCACAACTACCTATTCCAAAAACACTTTCCAAGGATTTTGGAACCCTGTAAAAGAACTCAGAATGTGTTGTTGTTTGAACCTTGACTCCATCGACCTCTGTATTCAGTATTAATGATTGTCTACCATAATTATATGTAAGCCATTGATTTTCATGACCTCCAATATATACTACATTTTTCAGTTTTAAATTTCCAGAGGGATCCGAAGTAGAAGTAACAACGTTTAAAGCAACTGATTCATTTCCACACCAAACCATTTGCCTTAACTTTGAAAATGAAATATTTAATTTGTACGAAAATATAGGATCTTCAAATATTGAACTAGTTTTTCTCATAGAAAAAACAAAAGATTCTGTTAATGAAGCCAATAATTCTCCATTTGGAGAAACACTAAATGCAAGTATCTTTTCTCTTACCTCTCCATCAGAATTAAATGACAAGTATGCTGGGTCGACAGGGCTTGGAGATGCAATGCCATCTTTAGTAATTATGGCAGTAATTCTTGGATCCCAAATACTAATTATGGCAATTGAACTATCTTCAAGTGGAAGAAAAACATTTGTGGGGAATACAAAAGAGAGATTTGAATCAACATTGTTTGGAATAGTTACCGAAATTTCCACTGGACTACACCTAAGTGGTATTTTAGTCAAACAGTAGCTCTGTGACAAATTCGAATTAGAAACAAAATGGACATTATAACTAGATGTTACGAAGCAAATACCATATGGGAGTACTCGAGCCATGATTATACACTCTGTAGATTCTATATTTCGCTTCAAACTTATGATATTCAATTGTTCTAATAAGGGGGAAAATACCCTTATTGTCCCATCAGAAAATATAGACAGCAAAGTACTTTCTAAAGTCCATCCCATAGACACTGGAATATGATCCATCCAGGCAATTCTGCCCAGCTCAGTGCCTCTAAAAGTATAAGTGGTTAGGTAAAAGTTGGAAACCAAGGAATTTCCATCAGAAGGAACTGCCATTAAAATTGCTACTGGGCCCCCGTTATTTGCTATTGCAACAATATTCCTCCTCAAATCTCGATCAGAGACCTCCCAACTCATTTCAGAATCTCTCCTCCTATCATACCAGCAGTTTCCCAACCTTTGCCAGTTATATTTCATTCTTTTTGTGATGAATGACTTCAATTCAGAGCCTATTACTCCTTTGAACCAAAGTTATGCATTCCCACTAAGTGCACATTCGCGCGCGCGGGCATTATAGGGTGTTACTGAAATATTTATATTGTGAATTTCCGATTCACTCAAATTACAAGGGTAATTTAGCTATGCCTACTTTTACCCAAAAGCTGTTGAGTACTTTGCCCTATCTCGAGTTGAATGCCAAAATATAGTTAAGTTATTCTGAGAGTTCAAGAATGAAGCATTCTCGCGAAACAATTCGGCTCATGGCTACAACAGAGTTAAGAAGCTACTCTGATGATGAACTTCCAGTGATTACACCATGTTCTGCTCCTTATTCATCTTTTGATTCAAATAGAGATTCTATTTTAAACCCATTTGGAAACTTTCTTCCATCTGTAAAGGTGTATTCAGAGCAAGATGGAACATATGTGACATTCCATATTAAGACTGCAGAAACAAATGTTGCAGATCTTAAAAATTTTATTAACTCATTAAGAGATACTAAGAGAACGCACCAAAGTAGTATGAATTCTCAGGCATCAACTATGGATTCAGATCTGAATTCATCTCAGCAAAAAAAGGATGGTGAGATGTCGCTATTTGGACGGAATATTTTAATATATGGAGATATACCAGGTCTGCCAAAGAGAATGTTTTCTGACTCTGATACAATTTTACAAGTTATTAGAGAAACACATGATTTGAAGTTGTACTACTCTAGTGAGAGTTTTGAAAATAAAAAGTATTCTGAAAATGAATTAATGGTTACTGTATATCCAAAAGCAAACTTATATGAATTTGGAATCAAGTGTTTAATCACAATTTCTGAGTCTGGATTAAAATTTGTTACAGAAAGAGAAGAGAAATCATCTAATAAAATCATTTTTATAAGCTTTGATGATGTTTGTTCAATTGTTGTATATAAACAAGTAGAAAATTGCTTTCTTATTAAAAGAAAGAGCATTGGAAAGAATCCATTTCTAATTCGAGCATGCTCAAGTTTTGACTTTAACATTATAAAGAAAAGACTTAAGCAGGTTTCGGAAATAAACAGAGACTCCAAACTTATTTCTGATGCAGATTCTAGGCTGGCTTTGTCCAACGCTAATATCAACAATGTTGGATCATTGACTAACATGAATGCTTTAACCACATTTTATGAATTTTTAAGCTCTGAGCTTGGGAGGATCTTTTTCTTTAAATGGATTGAATCCATTGGCCAAGATTCACAGAAATTTTTTGAAATGAAAATTATGAAATTCAAACCCGAAAATAATGATTTGAATAATCTTGTTACATTTAAACAAATTAAAGAAGCTCTACTTAATCAAGAATACTCTTTACTAGCTGAGGAGAAAGGATTTTATGATTTACTAGTTCAGTTTGAAAGGTATGTAAAAGAAACCTCACCCCCTATTGAGGACATATTGCAGGTTAATTAATAAAAAGTATGTTGACAACTAAACTGTTCAATATAATAATTAGCAAGTTTTCTATGTATAAATTTATATATTATCTAATTTTACTTTTCGTCTATAGATTAATTTTTAGGTATGATTGCAATGTATTTCTGTATTGGAATATTATCTAATAGTTTAATTTTCAATATTTTTGAGTAACGTAAAACACTTATTAAATAAATCTTGGATTATTGGATATGTCCGAGAATTTAAATCCAGATTTTCAAATGTATCTGCTTCCGCCCTAAGCAACTCGAGAGAAGTAACTATTGAATTGCACTGAGAGTCAGTATACAGTCTTTGTGGCTTTCTTCCAAGGTTAATAGAACTAACCACCTGGTTGGGATTGAAAGAAAGTAGCAACTCCAAAAGAGCCAAAGATAATACAAGGAATTCATAACTCCTTAATTTTCTAGCTTTTTCTAATATACTCAAAATTTTAAGTTTTTCTGAGAGCTCGTCAGCTTTCCATTGTTTTATGAACTTTTTTTTTGAAGATGAAAGAGCAAGACTAAGAAACAATTTCAAAACTCCACATTTTATTGAAATAGGTGCAGAGTCATTTAAAACAATACTATCCAAAAGAGCTCTACTTTTCTTGGGGTTAATCTTTATGTCAATACCGTCAAGTTTACTTAACTCCATCTTCGTTACATTGCTCATTAAAGATCCATTCTCTTCATTAATTTCTATAGGAAGTCTTGACACCCCCCTTCTGAGCCTCAACCCAACAGAACTTTCGGTATCAAGAAGATTAATAAATAAGTCATGAAAACGTGCAGATCCTTGGCTTTGGGATCTCGCCAAATCTGAAAGTGGTACCGGATTTGTGCCCTGTGTTATATTTGTAATTTGCGTCTCGGAAATTGGAATAATCTGTGAAGAGCAACAAAGTATTAGTGTAATAATCTGTGTAATCATATAAGAAAAATGCTCAATATCTTGGATCTCGCCAGTAACTTTGCAGGTATACTTCCACCAAACCCGAATGCATGATTCAAATCCAGAAGGATTGTTTCTTTCAAGCTCTGCTTCAAGTTGCTTGGAGACGCAACTAAGGAGTGCTAAAGATTCTAAGGTAAAATTAAGTAAAGGCTTCATCTTATTACTGGTTAGAAGATTATGATAGTTTTCGAACTCTGCAAGAAAAAGCCCAAGCATTTTTAATAATTGAAATAGACAGCATGTTTGTGAAAGAAAAACATTTCCATTAAATTTACTCAAGTTTTTGTTTTGTGTAGCCATTGCTCTGAGAGAAGCAATAGTACAAGATCTAAGCTCTCCAAGACAAATTTCTCTGATTTCAACCAGACTTTCAGAAGTTTTCAGTAAAATAAAATCAAGTAACCCAGTTCTAAAGAAACTCTTGTTAAATTTTTTATTCCAATCCCCAAGATCTGATGATCCACTCGATCTGACCTTGATTTTATATAGAAATGATGAAAAATAAAGTACTGGGTAGGATAAATTACTTCCATTCTCTTCCTGATTGTTAATGAAAAGCCAAATATTCTTCAAATCGTCGGTAAATTTTTCAGGAGAAAAATCATTTATATTATTAGTTATTAGCTCTGTGAATATGTCCATTGTAATTACCTGAATGTAATATTGAATGCATAAACTTATTTCTTTGTAAAATTCTTTCTTATTATTCATTTTTGATGGGAAATCATGGTCTAACTCTTCAGAATAGCTCTTCTGAATCTTATAGTAAAATGATATCAAATATATAAAGTTTTCCCATATCCTGAATGCGTGTTTGAAAAGTTCTCTTTTTGGTTCATCCTCTATACTATCAAACAAATCTGAGCTGCTGAAATTTAAAAGAGTAGATACAAGCAGGGCCAATGATTCCTGCAAACTATTTATTTGTTCTAAAGAAATAGAACCCGTTAAGAACTCTGAAGTTATTGAAATCTTACTCGATATTTCAACTCCTACAATCAATGAATAGATTATCTCTACTCTCAACTTTTTATCTGAAAAAACGGATGAGCCTTCAAGTAAAGCAGTCTGGGAAATTTTCACAAATAGCAAAGAGACTCCCATTAATAAATAATTGTTTTTATCCAAATTTAAGCTTGGCATTATTTCAAGAGGTAACTCAGCCCCACTCTTTAACATTGAAAGCATTTCAGACATTCTAAGCAGAATTTCGTTACACATTGAAGACATATTTTCCAAAAGTCTCAAACAAATTTCTTGATTCTTTATTCCTTTGTCAAACAAAGATAATAAAAATGATAAAAGCCTATTCATCTGCTCGTAAGACATTTCCTTTAGTGAGATCTTATTCATTATATTAGCCAAGTGCTCTTGTAACAACCCATGGCAGCTTGGGTTTGTGTTTATTATACATAAAATAAGTTGTATCTGTAAAAGAGAGTTATTTGTACCCATTTCTAAATGAAAAAGTTCGTTAAGAGATGCTGAAAAGAGGCTCAAATTATCAGCAAGCTTCTGGAATACGAAGGCCGAAAGAGGCAAGAATCTACTCAATTTACAAAGAAACCCAAACATCAAATTGGTAAACAAGAACCTTTCTCTTTCAATTCTCGAGTCTTGTATTGATATTAGCTTTAGAAAAGGAGTAATAACTTCCTCTGCAACAATTTCTATGGACTCACTGAAAGTTGTCATTACAAGCTGAATTTCTCCGTCAACATGATCGATATTTTTATTAGAATTGATCTCAATTGGCTTATGGTGAATACCTAAAGAAACATCTAAGAATCTTAAAAGATTGGTAAAGTACTCAAAGAATTCCATGTTTCTCCATTTAATAGATGATTCAATTGAATTGCTATCTTTCAGTTCCGAGTAACTCATGATGTTTATTAAGTGATTTAGACTTTTTATTGATCTAGAGAAAATGAACCCCCAAGAGACTTGTTCTGAGAATTCAGTATTTTCCACATTATTAGGAACTCTAAAGTTAGAGATGACTGAGTATGCATTATGAGAATACTCATTATCCCATTTATCCAATAGAACTAGTTTTAAATTCCAAATTTTTGCTTGAACTTCAAAAGAGCTGGAAACTAGTCCTACGCAAAGGAGCCACTTAAGAATATTCTTTTGTAGAAATATGTTTATTGGATGATTTGGGCTTTCAAATACTGAAATCTTTTCAAAAATCGATAAAACTTTTTTTACAAAATACGAATCTTGAAAACTCTGGGTACAAAGTAGTAAATCAGGTAATTCCCGGTTACAGAGTAAGCTTTTGTTTAGAATAAGTAGCTTTAAACATTCTAAAGAGTATTTTGGATCTTCCTCAAACCATCTTTTAAGAGGCATTCTACTCAATAATTTAGTTACTAGAAGCATGCTAGTGGGAGAATAGACCGAATTTAAGGGATCAATCAGTTTTGGGACTTGCAGTACGATAAAGCTCCATTGAATGTTATTTGGTAAAACTTCAAAAAGTAATTCGCATAAAGCTCCATTACATGAATCTAAACAAAGGTAGATTGTGTCAAAAATCCCGAAGCTGATCTTTGGCCTAATTGTTCCAACAAGATCTCCTTCTTTATCTCTGAAATAGTTATTGAAATAAGATAATATCACGACAATAAATGCAGAATATTTTGAAAGAGACTCTGAGAATGAGTTGGTATTTACAAGTTGGAAAGAAGATAGTGTTGAATGAATAACTTTAAGTGCTGCAAGCATTTTGATGTCAATATTTCTTGACTGAGCATTTATTAAATCAGAATATTTTTCAATTTCAGAAAGATACTCAGGATTGTTCTGGCCCAACAACATTATTAGCTTTGAAAGTACAGAATCAATACCGTCCTTAATTTTGGATATTCCATTTTCAAGATAAATTGCTTGGCTAGTCATTTTTGTCCAAGGGAATGAGAGTGAAAATACTGAATATAAGACCTCACCAAGAGATAAGCTATTTGTTTGTTTAAATCTTTTTCTGAAAAGTCTTTCCAAATCCCACAAAATTCTCCAAATTCCTTGCAATATACTTTTTTGAGAAACTAAAGGTTTGAATGAATCCGTTTTTCTGTTATCAAATATGGGAAGTGAGTTCAGTTCGTTATTTTCATACAAATCCTCTTCATATATTTCCTTATATTCTTTTGTTTCTTTTATTGAAGTCGGAAGAATTAAAAGTTTTTGGGCCAAAGTGGATACTGATAGGTGTGTAATAGTTTTATCAAGCTCTGAGTCATCAGGAGAGTCAATATTTGCAGTATCTAGGATTACTCCTGTTTTTATAATTATAATAAGGATAGTGGTAATGAGTGAAAAAGAGCTACACCTGCATTCTTCGGAGGAACTGAAAATCCAGAAACTTAGGTGGTGAATAAGCATGATTGAGTAAGAGGCAGCCAGATATTCTAGCAAATCCTGCCGATAAGATCTAGAGATAAAAAGTGCATTTAAAGCAACTGAAAGATGGTAGAACAAAGAATCCTCTTCAATTAAAATGAGCTCTGAAATGCCAAAAATTGAATCATCTCCCAGGTTACTTTCTGCAGATTGTTTTTTAACGCAGAAACTTTTACAGTTCAGTTGCATTAAGATCTTCACCAACTCGTCTAGATAAATACAAAACACTTTACATGAAATTTTTGAGGAAGTTAAAGATTCTGTTAAAGTTTTAAGTGCAGAAATTTTTATTTGTGTTTGAATCCTTGGGTTTTTGATTGCAGTTAGTAGCTTTGAGAGATGAAAAGTGTCTGGGGTTTTTAATACTGAAAAACTTGGATTATCCGCACTAATAAATGCTGATTGTTCATTTTTTCTACTGATTTCCATTTTGAAATTCACTGAATGGGCTTCTTCGTACGCTTGTGGTTCATAAATGTTTGTTTCGTCCCTATCCAAGTCAACCAAAACAAATTTGCTAAAAAAAACATGTTTTGTATTCAAATTCCATTTTCTTTCAACGAGATCTAGATTATTTAGGACGATTTCTAAATCTAAATCATCTTTGGAAAAATTTTTACTTTTACTAAGAAGATCAATTAATTGCAAAGTGGAAGTTCTTCTTGAGCTCCTATTTCTAATTATGGAGGCAAGCATCATAGATACCATATAGAGATCTGTAAGATTCTCTACTTCTAACTTTTCTCTAACTCCACTCATAATTAAAGAGCAGTAGAGGATAGATCTTCTAATTCCGCGAAGTCTAGACTGGTAACATTGGATAGATGGCGAAGAAATCATGATTTCTGAAACCTGAGCCCACTTTGAAAGAAAAGATCTAAGACTTGAAATGATTTGTGACGCATTAGGTATGGTTTTTTCATTTTGATCCAGTGTAACATGAAAAGCAATAGCTTTGGAGATCCAAACCAAAGGAGAATAAGCATGGAGGCATTCATCCGAGAGTTTTTCAATTAAAGTGTCAAAAAGGTACGTTAAATTTTTCAACCCATGGCTCTCTTGACATAAAAAATCAAATAAATACCCCAAAGTAATTGGTATTAAGTTTTCAAGTGGCGAATTTTTTAAGTTAAATAAACAATTGAATAAAACACTCAAATGCCTCGAGATACTTTCTTTGGAAGATTCAGATCTTAATATATAAATAATAGACGCAACTATGTGGTTTGGACTTTTAACAAACCTTTCAGCAAACTTTTCTATATAAGAAAATTTTGGTTCTATTTGATTTTCCAAATAGTAATTCGGATCATTTGGGTATAAAAGTGAAATAAAATCATAGACAAATAATGTTTGGCTAATCATAGTAACTGAATCCAAGCTTGCCAAATCACTGCTTTGAAATAAGGATTCCAATACATTCAATATAGTGAATCTGATAGAGTCACTATTTATTATTCTAAAGGAATCGAATTCGATTATTTTTTCATTTCCAAGTAAAAAAACAATACACGACATCAAACTATTTGTTTCAAAAGCGTCCTTTTGTTGGTTGTGATTTACCTCAGCCTCTTGCATCTTTCTTGATTCTGATTCATAGCTGTTCATTCTAATATTCAAGGGTGTTGATTCTCTGTAAAAATTTTCAATTTCTTCAATATTTTCTAAAACATCCATTTCGTTAATCTCGGCAGTTTTATTTGAAGATTCGGATCCTTCAGAGTAATCTACATAAGATTCTATATTTATATCAAACTTTTGGTTGAGAAGAAAGTCAAGCTTATTATTACGCATTTCAACGTCTTCGAAGTAAACTATCTTTAATATTGTAGAAACATAATTGATGAATTGTGAGAAAATGTCTCCAATAGCAAGTAGAGAAAAATATTTATGCCCTTTGTTATCATTAAGAAAGTTAAACTTGGTAAAGGTTGAACAAAGTCGTTGTGCAGAATCAAGAAACCTTAAATTATTAACTGAAAAATCCACTACTTTTATTTCAGATTTATTCTGTTTTAATAAAACCCTTTTTTTAATTCCAATTACGTTAGAATTTAGGTAATTACAGCCCATTAGTAGCCTGAATAAAGCAGACCAAAGTCTACTTTCCTTCATTAACATCTCAGAGTATGTGGAAATCCTTTCTTGAATAATAAAAGAAATTGACACTAGAGGCTCTAACTTACATTCGCAGTGAGATGAAATTGAGGATTTTAAAGAAGAACAAACTAGGTTTGGAACAATTGTTTCTGCAAGCTTTAGAGTATAGAGTTCTATCTCAGACAAATTATCGTAATATATTTTGTTTCTAGTAAATAATTCATTCACTATTTGTACCATTTCTTCTAATAACTCAAGGATCTTTTCTTTGAGAACAACACAACAACTAGATCCCATATAGCCGTCAGTACTAGAAATTTCATAGAAACCAGGAAATAGTGCCTTGGAAGCTGTCTCAGAAGCAGATTGACAGCAACATGAATTCAAAGAATTAATCAACAATTCCCACAATTCCAAATCCAGAACTAACAGAGCCGAGGGAAAATCACCCAAAACATCTTGCTTAATTGCTGCAATAAGTTTTAGCAGTTCTTTACATCCTCTTATCTTTACCTGAGTATCTCCTTCTTGAATCCTTGAAGTTATGCTCTTAAGAGCTCCATTTATATGTTCCAATAACTCCGCCTCTTGATTACTTACACCGACTTTTCTAACGAGCTCCAGGTTTCCACTCTCCAACCTGAAACTCATTTGTGGGAATGAACTTTATTCTGCATAAATTGGCTTGAGTAAATACTACCTTTTTTTCCCACTTCCAAGTTAATTACGCACTCATATTGTGAGAACAATGTTCCCGCCTTTTTTTACAAGTAACTGATAGTCGACTGGACGGCCAGAAAAATGTTTTTAGTTCAATAATTATAAACTATCAAAAAAACAACGCAAGGTAGACAAGTTATAAAGATAAAAAATAAGCAATTAATTTTGCTAGATACTTTTCTTTTGTAGCTCCCTAGACGGTCTTTTTGATTCACAATGAGTAACCAATCTTTTAAACATTTGAATATATTTTCTTGTTGTCTCATCATTCAAAACATGAGCAATATGAGAAGAAAAGATTTTTGTTCTTCCTGCTCTTTCGTGAATACCTACCATAGTTACGCCCATTGGCCAAGGAGCGTTTCCAATAGCCAATTCAATATATTTATCCTGAGCTTTGTTGTAATCTCTTTGGTTACATAGTGTCACAATTTCGAATAATTTGTCGAGAACCTCTTGATCAACTTTTCCATCCGAGGTTTCTAGTGAATTAATTAAAGGCTGGATGTCTCTTTTTGTTTGGTAATACTGAGCAGAATCTTGTCTACCTTTTTCAGTTTCAGATTCTACTTTTTTTCGGGATTTAAGCAACTTCTCCCACTCTTTTAGTTGGGTATCTATCCATCTAAGAATGAACTTCTGATTGCTTTCCCCATCAATATGTTCAAATTCCTCATATATTTCTACTTTTCTGTGGTCCTCGCTTACAGAATAAAGAGAGATGTTTGGATCAAATCCATGCAAAAAAATATTCTGTTGACCAATATTCATTTCTTCGTTCGTTCTACCTTGGAACTCTAACCTCCTTAATCTATTATATCTCTCAATATCACCTTCTCCAAACAAAGTGATTGGTTCCCCAAGTAGTCTCAATCTTCTTATAGTTTCCTTGTTTTGTATAGAAATACCCAAAAATACATTTTCTGATCTATCTTCTAAGTGTTTTGGATTACTTTTCTGAACATCTTCAACAGAAAAATTAACATCTTTCCTCTGATCATCTATACTTTCCCTCGATATACTTTCTGAAATTGAATAATGTGGGGCCTTAATATTCTCTTTTTTAACTTTCTTCAGGTCCTTTTCCTTCTGCCTTTTAATATATTCCTGCCTTTCATAGTCCTGCAATTCGCTCTGAGAAACCCATTTTCGATTGTCTAAGTAGATTTGAAACAAAAAAGTCATTAATGAACCAGTTGAATAGCTATATCTGTCATAATACTTACCTAGTTTCTTCCTGAGCTCCGTTTTCTTAGAATTTATAAGCTCTTTAAGAGAATCCATCCAATCCAAATACTTATAAAACAACAAGATAAGCCATAAAACTCACAAAAGGTGGTTTTAATTGCTGACCTTTCTCATATCAAAGTGGCCCTTGCTTATAACTACACAATCTTAAAACCCTAGGAATTTTTATCACGCGAATGAACCGCGCGCGCGATTTCTAACAATAGTCTAAAAATGTAAAGTCAAGTAAAATATGTTTTTTGCATGAAGACTAAACACAAGTAAAAATTCATAAAAAGAATATGATAAAGATTATTCGAAAAATCTGAAAAGATTTAAAATAATGTGGAAGGTAACAACATTTTATTTGAGTTTTATATTATTCTTAAAAACTTCGAATTGTCAGATACCTGGAGGAAACTACGACAATATCACGGTTGAATCATATTTGGCTCAAAATGGATCTCCATATGGAAGTGATGTAAAGGATCCCAAGCCCACACCTCCATATTATGAAACAATTTGGGGTGCAATATCAGTTCCTCCATTAATAACTCCATGCCAATTTATAAATCCGATAACTTTGACTGTGGGAAATCTAAATAGAACAGATCCTGTAACAGTTGATTTCTCATGTGATACCAAAAATCTGGGAGGAACATCTAAGGTCCAAACTCAATATGGGGTTTTGAGCATTTCAAATGCGGTTGCATTATCTCCACTTTGTGAAGCTGCTGCTACTCTATTGAATGGTATGACTCCAACTGTAATTCAAACTTACTCCTATACTAACCTAACTTACTATATTACAAACGATATGGTGGAGAACCTAATCCTTAAATTTCCACAAACTTATCAATCTTTAGATGGCCAAGGGGCGATTAATTGGCTTTCTCAACATATATATAGTGAAACTTGGTATGATATTAAAGAAGATCTTGGCCTCGCATCAGAGTTAAACCCCAAAATGACAATAGCATTAAATTATAAGGTATTTATTCCTAGTGATGTACTTCCTGGAAAAAATGTTGTTGGATCGAATGGAGATCATTATTTCGTTGATACATTCAATATTACAATTCTGGATGTTTCTTTATTAAACTATTCTCAAGACAAGAATGATAAACTATGGGTTCCGAAATATGGATTGGGTGGTTTTATTCCTACAATAACTCCAACTTATCAAATGAAGGTAATTCCTTATTTGAGTAATGTCACAACTCATTTCAATGATGCTGCTATTACTTGGGGCCAAACAAATATTCCATTTACTGTTACTCCAATCAGAGTCCTGCCACCTTCAAGGTTGCCTGAACAGGTTTTAACCGGTAAAGAAAAATCAAAATGCTCAAGTAACTTTGACTTTTATTTCCCACTAAGACCTTATACAATGGTGGACAATCTCGGAGATGAAGAAGACCCAAGAGACCTTTCACTTCTACTTAGTAATAAATCAGATTCCATATTTCAAAGAAATACGCTTAAAGGAATGGGATTTTTCAATAAATTCATTATCATGAATAGCCCCAATAGAACAGGAATCTTACAAGATACTGGTGCTCCATCAATTATTATTGAAGAGAATTTTATTGGAGGGTGTTTCTTTAATGGAACATTTCCGTTTACACCTTCAATAGAAAACAAAGGATTCTATCAACAAGGTCGTTGCTCCAGCGAACAACTAAATACTAGTACTAGGTATCGAACCCCATTTTATCCTCCACCAAAGATTTTTGATGGATACTTCCAGCCTTCGTTAGACCACCCAGGTTTACAAACCCTAATCCTTCAGACAGTGAGTTATACCCAAAATGGTGGAGGTCCTACAGAATTTGAAGACTCAAAAAAAACATTTATCAGAAATTATCCCGGGGTTTCCGTGATAAATCAGATTTTTTATGGAATTTTCTTACAAGGACCAAGAGTTACATGGCAATCACCGCTATTTCACAATCCAAACAATCCAATAGTACCAGAAGGCTCTTTTTATGCGTTTTCGCCGCAGTATGTTGAGAAAATGTTTGGTTCATTCAACCTTCCAGGAGGTGGAGCCAGTTGTAGGGCTGCTAGAATGCTTCCAATGCCAACAGAAATGGCTGACGTAAATGTTACGTGGCAATGTTATACATCAACCACCCCTGTTTCACTTCTATACTCAACTACTACGCTAAAGGATCAAGCTTTTGAAGTTTGTATGCAAGCAGGCCCACCTGCAGCAAGCCTTGCAAATTGTATTACTGCTGAAAAAAATTTACCCTCAACTCTTAGTACTGGTACCCAGAAGGATAATACTTGGAGCGCTAGAATTGAGTCTAAAGATTATAGTATCACTACACCACTACTTTTTATACAAAACAACACCTCACCATACGTAATATACGGATACTCTCCAACAGGTTGGTGGATTGAGACAATAACATATCCAAATAATTACAATCAATGGTTCCTCCGTACTCAGACTTGTGCCTTCCCTCCTGAGATTCCGATATTCCCAACAGATATTCCTCAGGTATTCACAATTAAATCTGTACCAAAACCATGGGACCACCTTAACACAGGGCATCATTTCAGTACAATACCTTATATCAGCCAAAACACATCATTTAGTTTTGATGTTAAATTGAATGAAACTTCTTATTTCTCTAGTATGGCTGAAATTATCCATTTCAAGTCTCAGCTATTATGTGAAGGTTATCATTCTATTCAACTCGAAACTGTGCCTTCTGAAGCTAGAGTTCAAGAGATACTTTCTCAAGAATCAATAATTGTGTCTGCAATAGTTAAGCCATTTAGCATTTTCTCCGAACAAAATGTCAACTGCTTCCTTGTTTTCCGTGCAATACCTGAAAGTTTGAAACAAATTACAACGATTCCCACAGCTTTCGGGAATCTCGCAAATCAGATTCCTAGTGCTCCTCCAAAAGGGGTTGGCGAATACATATATTTTTTAAGTGCAGATATGCCTCCTCAGATGGAAGAATTTTCAATATTAATTCCAAATCCAGGAAAAACATCTGCAAGTGACACTCTTTATCTTCAGATACCCAGAGTTGCTTTTCCAACGAAAGTACAGTCTTCTGTCTTCCCTTCATTGGGACTTTTTGCGTCGTCTGATCCGGTAATATCATCAAAATCGAGAATTTTAATTCTAGGAGATCAACAACAACTTCTGCAACAGTCAATAAGGTTACCAGCTACAGAAAAGGTTTGGTATATTTTTCTAAAAGCTTCAACACCCTCCAACAGTGGTTGCCTAATTCCTTGTGATAAAAGCCTTAAAAATCACTACATAACTCCATATTGTAGCTACGGAAATGAACCAATTTGCCCACATCAAAAAATAATTATGAATAGTCAAATTGAGAGTCGAGAACAAATCATGGAATTAATTGCTGCTGCAACTCATCCTTTATCTTACTTATCCCTCTTTGATGGCCTTCAACTTGGCACCTCTTTATTTTCACAGCCAGCATCCCAATCTTTAGTTTGGAATGAATATTTTGAAGTATTATTTGAGATGCTTGTGGAGAACCCCAAAAACCCTACATCAGCGGATTTCTCTGCCTCTAAAATTACGGTTTTTGGAATTTTAAATATGATACTCCGTAAAGCATTAGAAAACCCAAACTTACAAATAGATACCATCAGGCCGTTCAATTCTATTTTAAATAATACTTTGATAGCTGAATGTGCTAATAGCCCTGGATTTAAATTTCTCTTACTGGAGACTATTGATCTTATTATTGCAGCAAATGGTTGGGATTTCATTTCATCAAATACCCAATACCTCCAAATAGTTGAATTAGTTTTGCAATCAATTGGAAATAGGCTATCATTTTCAGAACCTATAGGATCTGAATTTAGATGGGCAGGACCTAATTCTAAAATTATTTTCGAAAGTAAAACATTTGCTAAACAGGATTTAAATTCTGGAGTTAGATTTGATACAATTAGTATTCCACATTTTACTTTTTCAAATAATATTGACTTTCAGCTTGCAGAATCCATTTACATGATCCAAAACCCTAAGTACTTTGATCCTCAATTAGCAAAGTCATATTGGATACCTTCTTGCCCAAATAATACTCTCACCATCTCGGTTTCAAAGTATCCAAATGAGTTGATCAAAAAATCCATTCACAAATCTATTTCCAGCGAGAATCTAGCGTTAATACCAGTACTATCTACAACACTTTTTGTATGTTCCATTGACTATTATCTATTTAATATTCCCACTCCAGTTTCGTTCAATATTGATCTTGAACTTGATATACAAGTTAATGTTACAGGCCTTGAATGTGTTGTGAGACAAGGAAACCGCTGGGATAGTTCCTTATGCCAGACATTCCACCGCTATAATGAGTTTAACACCAGAAAATCTCAAATCCAATGTTTGTGCAGTGCATTATCTAGCTTTGCACTTAAAGGAACAGTTTCTCCTTTAAACAAATACCAAAATGATACGACGCCTTGGACAGGATTTGACGGTGATTTTGGTGGATTAATTCCTAATATCTCTGAAATTCGCCCACTATTAGGAAATGCCAGGTCTGGCTTTATATTCCTTCAAGGAGACTCCACTAGCAAGAAGAACCCCAATAGTAATTTAGAAGATGGCCAAGTTGGAAGATATTCAGTCAATTATAAGCGAGAAAAAAACTCCACAAGCGAGACCGTTGGCATTCTACAAGAACAATCAGCATTTAATGGTTTTGCACGCTATGATTATGATTTTCTCTATTCTTGGGAGCCAAAATCATACAATTCAACTTTGAACTTTACTATTGAAAACTAGATTATGAGATAAATAGTCAAATGCTCTATATGATTTGTTAACTCATATAAGAAAAAAAATTCAATTATCTCATAAATGTTTTTTTTGATAAACAAAATATTAAATAGAAAACAATTAGTAAGAAAGTAGGGAAAAATTGGAATATTAATTATATTCTTTTCAGTAGCGTTATTGAATATTCTTTCTCCAATTTTTTATTCTCCCCCCTCCTAAAAATCAGTTATTTGGTAAAACCAACTCTAAAGTGTGGGCATTTGTAGTCAAATCCTGACAAAAGAAAATCCCACATGTCTAATGTGGAAACAAATATTTAAAAAAAATGTATTTAATTTAGAAATTTAAAGTTTTTTTAAAATAAGATTACAAATAATTAATTCTTTTCTTCAGCTAATATTAAAAAATCAAAGCTTAGTTGGAAAAAACAAAATAGAAAATTGAGCAATTATCATGTAATCATTTATTGTATTGAATAGGCCAATCATGTTTTTAAAACTATTATACAAAATTAACAAATATTTGGCAACCTACATTATTTTTATTCTGTTTTTAAGAAAAATAGAAAATAAAAATCGGGAAGTTTTTATTAATTCAAACTTATCACTTATCAAGGTTTTAAATTCATTCGAAAATTTAGAAACAGATAAGATAGAAAAACAAATAGACTTAGAATTAGAAATTGATATGGGAGAATCAACTAATTCTGATATCTTTAATCATGATAACTCAAAACATAGCTCTAATGACTTGGAGGCTTATCTAAAAGCAGATAATAATTCTACAAGTGAAAAACTTAATGTTATTCCTGTCATTGAATTGGATTTTGGAAAAAGAGATTCAGTATCGGTTGATGAGAAATCAGAGACCGAAGTAGAACCTCTTAATGATAATCAAGTGGAATTCGAAAGTTGTGAATTAGTAAATCCTGATAATGTAGGAAAGTTGGAGAATGAGATAGCAGCATTAATGAAAAATGAGAAAAAACTTGTCAGGAAGCTTGAACAAATTGAATTTACTGTTAATATATATTCAAAAGCATTCCTTTCTGATTCAAGTATGAGTAATACAATTAAATTTATCAAAAAATATGAATTGGTAAAAAAAAATTACCAAAAAAATTGTGAATTACTTGAGAAAAAAAAAAGCGATCTAGAGAAATACAAGTAAAAAAGTAATAAACATTTCTATAAAACAAATTATTGAATCTTTTTCACAATTAGATGATTAAAATTTTTACTGCGAACTAAAAATATAATTCAGAAAAGAGTTATTTTTTAGTTAAATTTACGTGTTCCCTTAGCTCTGAAGATTTTTAATTGCAATTGGACCTCTATGAAATTACAAATCAATGATTAATTTATTTGCTATGTTGAATAAGCAATCCTGTTTGATTCATTATGTTTAATAAAAAAGGGAGAATGTTTAATTTTTTTTTTTATTAATTATAAAACACGAACTTTCTGTTAATGTGTTAATAAAAATTTGATAAGCAAACAAGTCAAACATAGAAAAATCAAAAAAAAATATAGCAGTTCAGACAGTTGATTAGTTAGGATAATTAACAAAATATGGATCAATAATAAAAACTCAATGTAATTCGATCTAAAGCTTTCATGGAACTAGATTTTCTTACAAATATACTCGTTATTTTACTGATTTAAAGATTAATTTCAAACATTACCGAACAATATTATTTTTTTTTTTTCTGAAGTATTATCTTCAACTAAATGTTTCTATTCTATAAATTATAAGCGAATTTATTAGAATAACAAATAATTGTTCTACAATTTTTTAATTTTTTTTTTTTGTGAGAGCCAGTGTGTTAATTATTATCCATTTGAAATTTACAAAAAATAATTACAATTTGAACATTTGAAAAAGGGCCAAATTGAATTATTTAATTACAAAATATTTACATTTTATTTTTAATCTCCTTCGAAGCATCTTCAATTATATCATTTCTAGTTATCTCTAGTTCATCACTATCCGCATTAGTGTATGTATTAATTTCTCCATTTGCGGATACATCCGAAAAATTAGATTGGTCCGAAAAATTTTGTGTACCAACATCAGAACTGTTTTCTTGATTATTTACGTCAGCATTTTCCGTAATATGTTCTTGGTCTTCCCCAGCTCCTGTAGAGGTTGGTTGGTTACTATCAGTGTAGGATTCGGTGTCTGTAGAAGTTGGTTGGCTATTATCTGAGTACGATCCAGTTTCTGGGGAAGTTGGTTGGCTATTATCTGGGTAAGATCCAGTTTCTGTAGAAGCTGGTTGGTTACTGTCAGTGTAGGATTCGGCATCTGTAGAAGTTGGTTGGTTATTATCTGAACTTGATTCAGTTTCTGTAGAAGTTGGTTGGTTATTATCTGAGTATGATCCAGTTTCTGTAGAAGTGGATTG